GAAACACTTTGTTTTGGCTGCTTTTCCATTACTGCAAAGTTAGACACAACTTGGGGGTGTTACTTTGTACACAGCTTTGTTGTCCAAAAGTTTTTTCCTTGCAGAAAAAATGTCCGAGGCTAAATGTATGCACCAAGAGGCAACCTCAACGCTTGAAAAATGAAGGTGCAAGTGCCAAAAAACACAGATGGGAGGGAGTGTAGATCGTAATGAGGAACCACAGGTAGGCAAAAGCAAGACCAGATTAGTTGCTGCATTCTGGAACATCTGCAGATGTTTGACGGTGCATGCAGGGAGGCCTGCCAGTAAGGAGTTTCAGTAGTCAGTGTGTGATATTAAAGGAGCCTTTGCTCGGTCCGGTGGAGTCTGATCTCCCTCATGATATGAAGGACTATGTGGTAGAGGATACATGACCTTAACATGTTGGCTGGTGATTTATCATGACACCCAGCTTCTGGGCTCAAGCTGGGTCTATACTGTCCATGCATCCTGTGCGGTGAGTGGAAATATGAAGAGTTTATCTGGTCCAAAAGATCCTTTTCTATCTGCAAATTATTGTCTTCACTTCTTCTGTCAATGTTTATATTGTATTTAATAAAATTATACAAGATACTGCTTCAATATAGTCAGTAATGGAGAGGGCGAGAGACAGAGAAACAGCAGAGAGAGAGAGAGAGAACTGAATGACCTGCAGTCAGAAATTAAAAGCAGTTGTTAAACTGTCTGCCTGCATGTGTGTGTGTGCGTGCGCACGTGCGCGGGCGCATGAGTGTTTGTGTGCATATGTGTTGTATTTGTTAGAGGCATTCCCACGACACTGATTGACCTCCACCTCTCTCTCTCTCTCTCTCTCTCTCTCTCTCTCTCTCTCTTTCCTTCTCTCCTAGTCAGTCTATAAATGGGTCGTCTGGTGGCATTTTGGGGACCAGTCAGACTTAAAAAGGACAAAAAGAGAGAAAGCAAGGGAGGAAAAAATACAAGAAAAGCAAGAAGAGAAAGATATTTTTAGATAGAGAGGCAGAGTTGATTAAAAGAATAGTTCAACAATCTTGAGAGTGAAGCATATCAATCTAAAGTCTGCGAACTCATTACAGTGGTAAAACCATTTCTTTATGGCTCAGGCTTTGTGCACGGGGGGGCGTCGTCATGCTGAAACAGGAAAGACACAAACACAAACACTGTCGTCTGAAATATTGTTTAGATTTCCCCTCATTGAAACTCAACTAAACAGGGGACAACACATCCAGACAAATGCATGTGTCAGGCTTCGGAATAATACCAGAGAATCGCTTCAGCCAGCAACCATTAAATGGGCAGCCAGGGCTGCAACATGATCTTTACCTCAAATCAAAGTGTGTCTACTAAAAGTTCTAGTTTTGGTTCCTAAATGTGCCTGACAGTGTGAAGAGGAAGATGATCTTTTAAAATCATCCTCTCTTTTAAGACTCCAGACTCCATGCACAAAAACCTTGGCATCATGGCAGTCACTGGTCTACCACTGGATTAACAATAGGAAACTCTGTATTTGGTAAAGATAAAGTTTGAACTGGGCTGAAAAGTCACACAATAATATTGTCAAACTGACAGGTCAAGGCAGTTGTAGACCAGTAACTCCAGTGGAGTTTGTGGGCTACCACAGCGTCAGTCAGTCCATTTATTTTCATAACTGTGTGGCTTTGGTGTACCATATTTTTACAAGATTAAAGCTGAGCTGAGTTATTTCAGGCAGGCCAAAAATCAAGTCCAGCCTACTGTGGAACAGCTCATACCAGGGGATAGCTTAACCATTTACCTCTGACATGTCCATGTTTTAGATGTTCAAATATTAGTTTTGTTTATACTGCTGCCTCTGAACACCACTTTGCAACCCGCCTCCATCCCAGCTCCTCCTATTCATGCTGTGTCTAATTGCATCAGTGTCAAACTGTCACTGATGCTACTCTGGGGTCTTTGCTGCTGCTCCCCCTGCCTTGGCTCTTCATGTATGCACATATAAAAGGGGGGAGTTGTGCCGTCTCTGCCTTGGGTTTGCCAGGAGGACAGGGGAGCCCTCAGAATGAACCACACCTAACTGTGGAGCCTTCTGAACCATGGTTTTTTGAATTCGCCCATATGCTGTACCAGGTGTCAATCATAGAAAACATGAACCCCCTAATAACTTTTAAAAACGGAGCTTCACAGAAAAAGGACTTGAGCACAAACCAGACTTACAATAACTACATGTCAACATCACAAGCAGGGGGGAGAAAAATGTATGTTCTGTGTAATAAATTTCTGAAGTTTGTCCACAGCTCTATAAGCTTTGCTGGCAGAGGCGGGATTTATGACCTATACTGCAGCCCATCAACAGAGGGTGCTGTTCTCGGAGTGGCTTCACCCAGCAAGGAGGCAGACTCTGTCCATTCTTTATACAGTCTATGGTCTTGCCATGTAGTGTCCGAAACCTCCGGTGATTGAGTTCACTACATAGTCAACTATATAGTGAAACCCCATATGGGGGATAGGGGTTCGGAATTGAATGATTCATCTCGGACACAGCCTATGTGGTTAAAGACAACTTGTTATCGCGCGATTGTACGTGAATCCGTGGGTTCTTGTGAGTTCTTGCGATTCCTGCTGTTTGTAATCCCCCACAAACAGACCCAGTAGGAATTGGCGTACAGCAAAAATCACTGCCGTTCCGGATGCAGTGGAAATCCCAGGTTAGACTTTCGGCAAGATTTGGGTTCATGTTGCCGCAAAATCGGTCTCAGAATTTCAGTAACAGGAATGTTTGCTTGTGTAAAACATTAAAGCTGTCAGTAATAATACTGATAAAACTGTTTCAGCATGAATGACTTCACTACCAGGTTGTTGCCCTTAGCATCTCCTTAGTGAAGCAGGGCGGCTGGTATCTTTGCCTCACTCAGCTGACTCACTGCACAAACCTCACTGATATTAGCTCACTTCCCAGATATGGACCTGAACACGCACACACACACACACACACACACACACACACACACACACACACACACACACACACACACACACACACACACACACACGGTCTTCAGGGTCTAATTTTAGAGTTGTGTGTTTTATTGCAACACCAAGGACACATTGACTGCAATCACACACATACACACACTTGGTCCAGATGTTTCCCCCAGAATGGGTCCACGGAGACTGAAGACGGGTCACAGCCAGCCAAATTCACGAAAACGATGACGCCAAAAAACTCACCAAGAAGGAAACAACATGGAGGATGCGCAGCAGAGAGGATCTACACAGCTCATTTTAAAGCTTCGTTTAAAGGCTGCTGAGGTTTGACTGTCATTACGTGTTGGTCTGTGTACATAGGATTATGTGTCTTAAAAACTTCATACATTCACTGTGTCTGGATTTCAGGTTTTTGACTGAACGTTGTTGGTTGGCCTCATTTAAATAATTTTAAATGGTTTTAGGCCTGAAATGTTTAAGGACTTATTTTCAGTTTCCCTCACTTTCTTTCATAGTCTGGACGTTTTGTTCTGAAGTAAAGCAGCTTAATCCAGAATGAATGGAGAATATAATCTAAAGGTCAGCTGTTTCTCTTATTTAGGTGGTACAGGTCATATTGTGTCCGTCTCCTGACAGACAGCAGCTCCCTCCTCGTTCCCCCTCATATTCACATACTTCCTGTACTCTGTGTCTGTACATTTTCTGTGGTTTGTGGGTTTTTCCAGCGTAATCCAATAAACCACTTTCTAGAAACATAATCAGATTATCTGATTCGGTTCCTGCAGCTTCTGTGTGACGTCTCTGACCAAAGATGTCGAGTAGATTTCACAGATACAAGCTCTTTGGGCTGTCATTTGTACTAAAACTTCCGTACATTAATTTTAGCCTGTACTCTTACCGACAAGAGGTCGGACCTGTTGATTTCTTAAGTAGATCATGGAGCCTCTTGCTGTGACTCCAACAAAAGAACATAAACGACATTTTCAGAGTTATATAAGACATCAGATCAGTTTTAACACTTCATGACCTGAAAAAAAAAAAACAATCATAGAACCTCTTTTAATACTGAAATCATTTGTTGTGTAAAGCATCAGCTCATGAGTTTCCTTTTGATCCACCACATTTCCACTCTTGAGTGAATGGTGTCTCAAGATCTGTAAATAAATGCATCTCTTCACTGAGGGATAGAAACCACAGAATCCACCTTTAGCTCTGGAGGACAGCCTGACTTCTTAACAGTCAGAAAAAAAGCAGAAGAACAGACTTAGTTTGTTGTCATTCTCTGAGTCTTTTTGGCTCAACCAGATAATTTCATGTTCCTGCTTCAGCAGAGTTTACTTCAGCAACAAAAACTTAAGCTCAAACTTTATTCTGTCTTTATTTTATTTTTATTTTATTTATTTCATCATGCTAACATTAGATGAACAGCTGCACTGGGGCAGTGTCTGAGTTTAATTTAAGTATTGTTGTTTTGCATTGTTTTTTTATACCTAAATTATTCATTTTAACATTTTTGTTGTATTTTATTTTTTTATTTTAACTGATTTTTATTTCTAATTATTTGACTTTTAACTTACTTTTTTAAATTGGCACTAATTCAGACAATTTTAACTTTCAACTCACTTGATTAAAATATATTTTATTTTAATACTTTAATTTTTCTTTGCATCTTGCATAATTTTAAATTTTCTCACCCTTTAATCCTACTTTTATTTTTACTTTTAATTACTTATTTAAACTCTTATTTTTACTTTTATATTTTTCATTTTTGTTATTTATCTAACTTTTCCTATTTCTGTTTTCTTGCATGAGTGTAATACTTTGCCAAAGACGCAAAAACTCCAAACTTTTAAACAATATTCCTGCAAGAGTGTTTAGCTGTCAGCGTCCTCTCTGTAGTTTTTGTGGTTATTGCTGCTGTTTTCCTTTGTTTTGTTCAATCCTGTCTGTTCGTCATTAATGACAGTTTCTCACAGATAAAAAACTTAAAAAATAAAGAGAAATAAATCAATTAAAAGTTGACAATTGACAGTAATTTAATTTAGTTTATGACAGAAAAAGAAACATCTCTTTATAAAACTATAGAAAACAACATAAAATATGAAAAAAAAATTATCAACATATTCTCATTTGAAGTCCATTATCATGTTAAACATTGTGCTTCAGTTAATTTTGGTACATCAAACATTTGTGTCTTCACTTTTTAAATTGTGTGTTTTAAATTGAGTCATTTTTTGTATCATTTTGCCTATTACCACCTTGAGCTGCATTAACACTGATGACTGCTGCCACTTGCTGGACAAGATACAAAATTACACTCTTAATGAATCACATAAGCTTTCATTTTCTTACTTTCTCACTTCTTCATTATAGTAAATATAAAAAACGTGAGTCAAACTTTGATAGAGTACAATACAATGCTGAGCACATCCATGAGGCAGTCACCAGGTGTGACAACTTCCCTTTATTAACAAATGTCAATAGAGGAAGTTGTGGTAAAAAGCAAAAAATAAAGTATATTTTTATGTGTGGTGTTAATTTCAGTAGGTTGTGAATTAATTTCGGAAACAATAAGTTGTATTGTTTGAGCTAACTCAATTAAACTTCCTCTATCAGTCTGTTATCTTCTACACAATTATTCAACCTGATAAAAGTACAAAGACTGCATTCATCAAAGTCACTATTGATAAATGCTACATAATGTTTAAAATATACCTGCTGTATATTTTAAATTACAAAATAAACTCATGACCATATTTATAAAATGTTGCCAAAACTGTTTTGTTTTATTCTCAATATAAAAAATAGACTTTTCAAAGCAAGTTACAAACTGCTTTACAAAGAAATAAATAAAAGGAGTACATCACGAAAATACACAGGGCAAAGTGAAATAACACATCTTTAAAATACTTAAAATTTATTTAGTGATGTATTTTCACTGAGAACTGGTCATTTTAGCTTTTCTTAGCATTTGTCTTGCTGTATTTTGCACAAACTGAGCCTCTGTGACCTGAATAATTTTGGTGAGCTTTCCAGAAGAGCCTAATCCAGAACACCCATATCTGATCCAGAATCAGACCCCTTTTTTTAAATTTTATACTTATTTAGAGCCTTTTAATCATCAACAGCTCCTCAACTACATGAGGCCAAAATCTGGTGGGTCAAAATCTGAGAGTTATCCCTTCTTTCTTGCCTGTCCAGAAAGCAGAGCTCTTCAGAGTTCAGAGGATTTTCTGGGCAAAAGCATAATGGCAGGTACAGCAGTTATATGGTTTCTGTGTAGTTACCACCTCAAAGCTGTGACTGAAACAGAACCCATCGTTTTCATGGACATCCCACAGATTTAGAGGGGTAATCCAACTGCAGAGCTGTGCGACAGTGAAACCACCGTCATAAAGAAGGATATGGAAATTATAACCTTATTTTGGTACAACTGTGTTGGTTTTTGCTCATTTGGACCTACAGCACGCTGTTCGTCTTCATGGTAGTGAGCGACATCTTCCTGTTGAACATGATGATGCTTGTACGCCCACAGCTGCTCCTCCCCTCAGCTTCAGCTCCGTGAGTTGGGTCCTGCTCAGTGCTGAACACCCTCTTCAGACTCAACTGGGCCCTGAAGGCTTTGCAGAAAATAAAATAGATGAGCGGGTCGAGGCAGACGTTGAGCACTGACAACATGACGGTCAGCTCCTTCAGGTAGAAAAAAGTCTGATTCCACGAGCACTTCTTCTTAAGGAAAGCGTATGGCAGCCGGACCAGGTGGTATGGGACAAAGCAGATGCAGAAGACGCTGACCAGAACCAACATGTTTCTGCGAGACTTGGCAAGCTTCTTGGAGCCAGAGGATGCCGGCTGCCTCTGCTGTGCAGCCGCCAGCCTGCGGGAAGTGCTGTAATAGAAGAAGACCAAGGAGACAAGGACCAGAATGAAGATGGCTGCCAAGCAGATGTGGACAACCCTGTAATAGCGGCTGAGATCTTTGCTGTGCAGACTCTCACAGCTCAACGTGCCCGAGACAGATGTCCACGACTCCTGAGTGAGGAGCGACAGGGTGGTATAAGCTGCTGTCATGGCCAAGAGGAAAATCCAGGTAAGTGTGGAGAGGATGTGGGCGGCTCGAACTGTTTGTAGGATGTGAGTTCCCAGAGGATGGACTATCTTCAGATACCTGAAAAAAACAGGTGAGCATCAGCTGATTTTAAAGCAGTTAGTCAAAACCTTCTGGACCTAAAAATGTGCACACATTCCATCACAGTCTGAACTTCCAACCTCAATTTCCCCGTATCCTCTGATGTTCCCTCTCCTCTGTGTATACTATATGTCCTCCCGTATTCGTCTTGTGTGTGATGGTGCAGGTGTGGCCTTCCCGTGATTACCATCCACCTGTTTTATCTGTCTCCAGCCTCTCACCTGCAGCCCTAACACCAATCAGCCCCGCAGGATAAAGCTCAACACTCTGCACACACTCTAAATCAGATTGTGAAGTCCACTGTCCTGGTAAAGTCCTGGCTGTATTCGTGTATGTTTGCATATTTGCATGAAACTTAGGGCCAATCCCAATTGTACTCCTTAGCCCTTGTCTTATTCCTTAGCCCTCGGTTTTGCACGTTCACGTCAAGCAAAGGGGTGTCCCAATGCTCCATAAGGTTAAGGTTAAGGGCTAAGGGCAAGGGTTTGATTTTCATGGTAATGACACTTGTGTTTTTTTTTTTGTTGTTGTTGTTTTTTTATCAAATATTCAATCTGTTGCTACTCCATATAAATATTAGCCATGTTTTGAATTGTTTGCATTTTAAAATTGTGTGTTATGATGAGCTAGCTAACAAAGCTATAGCTATTGATAGCTACATTGATGTCAGACTCGGTTGGCAAATTCACTTCAAACAGAAAGGCATAACGACGTAGCGAGGATTGAGTGGTGTCTCATTTCTTAGGGGCATGTTTTCACCCCTTCCTCTTGCCCTTAAAACAGAGAGCCAAGGGGAAGGGGTATACAGAGAGGTAAGACGAAGTGGAAGGAGAAAGACTGACAATTGGGATGGCCCTTATTCTCTCAATCATTTTGCTGGTTCTATTGTGTTTCTGACTTTGTGTATTCACTTAACATTGTAATTGGGTTCATATTAAATCTTTCATGTTAACACTTGGGTTTACAAACTATCACCTGTCTTCTTCATCAGAAAAACAACAGGAAAGACACTTTTAAAAATGTGTGTTAATGTTTGTGTTGTTCGCCACATGGTCACATTTGGATCTTGTTATGCAACATGCTGGCTACTTTAATCAAACCACAGCTTTTAAACTAGCTCATGTGATCAGACACATCAGTAGACAGAAATGTCCATCTGCAACGTAAGGTATCTTTTTAACTTTCATGTACAAAGCTTACTGAGTGAGTCAGCTTTGGTGAGGTACTGAACCTCTGAGGTCAGGCCTGGACTCTGATCCTCTCATGAGGCTCTAATACTGAGATATTTATGGCATGTTGAATATCTAGCAGTTGAAAAATTCTGCAAAAACAAAATGCTGCAAATTTCACAGCAATGGAAATGAAAAAGTTCTAAAGAATAAACTGGCTGACGTGCTGAAAATTAAAGGTTATAAAGAACAGCAAATGTTTAAACATGTAAGATGCATTTACCTGCTTCTAAATGCAGAGTTTATGCAAAAGAGAAATCCTGTAAATCCAAACACGACATCAGCTCCAAGCCTGCAGGAGCTTGAACTCCTAATGGCTTAAATGCAACAGGCCTGGTTACACATGAACCTGTTTCCATGTCCACATTTCTGTTTTACCCTTTTCATTAAATGCTGTACCTCATTGCACCACAAGAGATCCTTAGATTTTTCCACCTGCACACCCGTTCTAATGCCTTATTAGCTGCTTTTTCTCAGGCTTAATCATAGAACTATACCCTCCTCCTCTCTCTCGTGTTTCTTAGAGACATCACAAGACTAATATTTGCCCCTGCATCCACAATTTTTTTTGACAAGAAAACTCACCTGTGAGCTCACTAAAGTTCAGATAAATCAAACAGTCTAGTCAAAAATTTGGTTTTCAGCTTGAGGAGTTATCAGATTAACATAGTAAATCAAATTAAATGTCAGAAACTTCTGATTTATTTGCAGATTTATCACTTCAGACTTAAGTGTTTGACATCCATCCAGCAGTTCTTGCAGAAAATTATTATGTGTTCCTAATATTTATTATCATAAAATGCATATGTAACATGTACACACTTGTCAGTAAAAACATGAAACATAGTGCAAATGGAGCTAAAACCGGATGTTGACACCACACACACCTACAGCTTCAGCCTGTGAACCACTACTTTCAGTAATTCAGAGTTAACTTTATCTCAAATATCATGATATTTGTAGCACCTGAGAAACTTTGTCAAAAGTCAATGATGCTCTTTATCTGTAGCATTATCTGTACCTTTCTTCTGTATTAGAAAACCACATCTTCATGCTTCTTGCACAAAATGATGCTAAATTCACACTTCTCTAGAATGAGAGTTGGACCTGCAGCAAAAACTGAATATTTATAGCCTTTTAACTGACGCAGAGTTCAGTTTCCCAGCATTGAAACTTTTCTTTAGTCTGTCAAGAAGAACTGAGAGTCTGAGGTTTTTCAGCTGATCATAATCATCAAATAATGTCTACTGTTCATGATGTCTGCTTTACAGACATTGAAACATTTTTCTATCCTTCCCTGGGAGCACGTTTCCTTATGACACTGTTTCATCTTCCCCTAATTACCAGTGACCTGAAGTAACTGAAAACCACAGAAGCAAAGAACAAAATTTATAACTTCTGCTTCATGCAAAGACAAAAAATCGACATACAAGACTGATATTTGAAGGTATCAAAGTGCAAAGAGACACTATCCAGTCCATGAAGCACACAGAGCTCCTTCCAGTAAAACAACCACCCTGCTAACACTGAAAACCCTGACGTGTCGAACCCACTATGAATCTCTTAAAAATTGTCGCAACACGTTATTTTAACCACGGTGATGGTCTTTAGCCCGCTGTAGACAGTGAAACCACATCCTGTTTACTGCGTACGGTTTAAAAACTGATGCACTGAGGTTATTAAGCCTAAAGCTGTTTTTAGACATGCAATCTGGAGAATTCCTTCTAAAATTTCAGGAGCTTTGCCAATAGAATTTCACACACATCCTCTCAGCCGATGCATGAACATCAGTGCGAGGAGGTGCCGATTTTGCAGTTGAGGATGCAACCCTGCATGTAGGCGCTGCATGAACTACCCCACACAGGATGTTTAACCCGCATATGAGTTTTTTCTTTTTTCTAAATCTGTAAAATACTATCTGCTAATGCTCAATAAATGACTTGCTTTTCTCTTAGAGGTGTGTGGTGAGCAGTGTAACAGAAGAGTTCTGTCACTTTGAAGGGTGCTAATACAGCTGAAACTATACTCCATTTTTTATTTTTTTGCCTCTTTTATTCACTCTCATCATTTGTAGTTCAAAGCAGGTACCATTTATCCTTTCAAAATAAAATCTTCACAAGTAACAGTCCTTAAGGTGGTCCTTCTGAAGCTTCAACATAAACTAAATTACTCGTTGCCATACAGATCATGAAAAATTATACTAGTGAACCCAACGTGTTCTTTGGGTATTGACATAGTTGCACAAATGACTTATCTCACTTTACAACTTTTTTATGTGTCTGTGGGTTTACTTAAAAACTAAAACAGATAGTCAAAAGCAGAAAGTTGATTAATTTTACAAAAGGGCTTCAAATAAGTCGAAACGCACCAGAAGGCTGGATTTGCAAGTTTTTTTACATACACATATCTGAATCCCCAAGTTTGATAGTAAAACCAGCTGCTTTGCATTAGATGAATGCACTGTGTATCCCAACCCCATCCTACCTGTTTGCTGCAACATAACCCATGAACAGGATGCTGGCATACATGTTCAGGTAGAAAGCAGAGGCTCCAAAGTTGCAGTAGATCTTTTGCACAGTGACGGACCTGCTGGCAAAGTGGATGATTCTTATGGGGAGGCAGAGGCTGATCAGGAAGTCTGCAGCCACCAGATTCTTCAAGTAGATGGTCACGCTGCTGGACAGCTGCTGCTGAGCGCTGCAGAAGTAAACCTTCAGGGTGAACCCATTGAGGAATAAACCCACCTGTATAGAGAAAAGGATTTAACTCATGAAACTAGAGATCAGTGTAGAGATCACTTTTGTTAAGCACAGAAAGAGGAAATCTGAGTATTTGAGTCTCACCAGAAACACCAGACTGTAGAACAGAATGAAGAAAAGATGGGCAGAGGGATCAGCTTGGCTGCAGAGGGATGAACCACTGATATTTGTGTGGTTGGACATTGGAGACAGGTGAAAGGACAATGTTCCCTCCATGTTCTGCATGTTCCTGAATGACCAAAGAGAGCTGGGGCATCAGAGAGCTTTCAAACATCATGAGATAAGCGGTTCATGCTCAGAGAGAAGTGACAAATTACCACAGTTTCGACAAGGAAAACCTTGACTGAGGGAACTCACATGTGAGCCAAAATAAACTACAGCTAACCAAAGTGCTTGGCTGAACATCTGACTGAGTTAGACCGAACACAAAATTTTGGTTAAATCCCAGCAAAATCAGTACTGGTAGGTACGCTTGAACCAAAGAGCCAACAAGGAGTCCAATCTGCTTATCATGGGTCTTGCATGTAGTCTCTAAAATAAGATAATAAGAGATGAATGATAAATGAGAAAAAGTAACAAAAATGATAATGACTTTTATAATAATAATAATAATAATAATAATAACAATTATTATTATTATTATTATTATTATTATTATTATTATTATTATTATTATTATCATTATTATTATTATTATTATTATTGTTGTTGTCATCTTAGTGATAGTAGTTAAAATATGATGATTATTATAACAGTATTTTATAGCACTTAAAAAAACAGGGTTTACAAAGTGTTTGACTATTTGCAAAAATGAAAGTATAAGACCAGGGATTAGGTTAAAGCAAAAAAATTGGTGGCCAATTGCTCATGCAGGTATGGATATGACAGTCCATTTATTCTAATTCTTTTTAAGTTGTCTCTAATGTGTGAAGAAACTGAAAAGTAAGCCAATAAACTAAATCTAAAACTCAAAACACACTTTGACAAAATACTTTTTTCATGGAAACTTTTCTTTACACAAACCATGTGCCAAAAACTTTGCAGCTTTACATCCCAAACAAATAAAATATCACTTTAAATGCAAATTTTGGCATTAACATTCAGTCTTAATCTCCTTGCAGCACTGCTCAAGTCTTGTGCGCATGTGAAACCAGCTTTTTCATACACTGTGCTATTTAATGTCAGCTGAGCTGTCAGTGAGACTGTGGTCAACCAGTTAACCATTTTGACCCAGCTGACAGAAGAGCTTCCTATGTAATTATCATGAGACTAACCCTTTTATGTTCAGTTTGTTCAGTATGTGCAGAAATACTCATAAAAAAATTACACATAATCATTAGCGTCTAAATAAAACACCTAAAACTTCAAACTTCTGCAGAAGTATTTTTCAACGTAATTTTGTAATAAAACTTCAAGTGTTTGTCAGAGGACCTTGATGCAATAAAGATGGTGTAACACATTATAGCATTCTAAATAACATTTATATTTAGGTTAGATTGTTAATTAAAGCTGACATAAGGTGTACTAGCATTAGTACACTTTTGTCTCAAGTTGGCATCAATCCTAACAAAGTCTGAATTATCTCACTTTCTTAATATCATTCAGAAAGGTTTTCTCACAGTGCTGCAGATTTAATTCAACAAAAAAAGCGTGACCTGAGGTGCTCACCTGTCCGTGTTTGAGTCCTTGCGTGTGTCTGTGTGTAAGTCAATGGTCCACTTCCTTTATCAGTGTTCACATCAGGAAGAACTGAAGAGAAGCAGAGAGAGAGGAAGAAAAACTGCGCACTGATGAGGTTTACAGCACTCATTACGTTATTATGTGCATGACAACAATACACACACACACATACACATACACACACACACACACACACAGTTAGCATCACAACCAAGGGGACATCTCCCACTCTGTCAGTATTAACCTTATTAGTGGATATCTAAATAAAATCAAAGTCCCCAGTTTGATAGGTGCATAAGTATAAATATACACATATAGGGATAAAATATCCGTTAGACAGACTCCAAATTGTCCCTCTTTCTTCAGCCTGTCCTCTGTTGGTGAATATATAATTAAAGCTCAGTTTATTGAAAGAAAGGATTATAAGTATCTATACACACACACACACATAGACTATGTCCAAAACTGACTCTCCAAAATGTCTGTGTTTTGCTAGCTTGTCCGCTGTTGGTAGAAGAAAAAAAGAATAGAAAAAATTGAAGAAGTATGCCAGTATCGACATTAAGTCTCGACATGAGATGTTGCAAAATTCAAAAGTTCAAAATCACTTTTCATCTACATATAAAGAATAAATGACAATTTCAGCCCCCTTCCTTGTGATGTTGACTAGATAGCTTTGGTACCCTACCATGGTCTAGGCTAGGGCACCAGAGAGAATTGAAATTGATGAGAGGTGAAGTGGGGGGTGTGCTATGATGAATTCTTCTCATGGGGCTTTAGGGGTGTTGAAGAAGGGACACTTGAGAACCACTGGCTTAAAGCATATTTAAGAGAGGGTACCCTGGATATCGCTCTTTTAAAGGTTGTCCCCAATTAGTGAACGTCAAGAAATCAAAGTCTCCGGCAAGATAGATATGTAAGTACTCACTCGTGAAATGTTATGGCAAACAGACCAGACAACCATGTGAGCTCACAGTAAGAAAGAGCACTCATAGCCATGTTTTTAAACATAAACATTTAACATAGCTTGAGCACATAAAAAACGAGAAAAAAAATAAATAAATAAATTAGATGAACCCCAAAAAGTAGCACCAATCAAAAAGCTTCTGTCACCATACAGTCCAACACATGATTCCGCTTTATTGGGTTTTACAGCTGAAACTGTGGGCACCTTAAACAGACAGAACAAGTTTAACAGTCCTGAAAAGCATGGTTACAACAATTACACCGGTTAATGAAAAATTTGTGAAAACATACAAAACAAAACTCTTATTACTGCTGCTTTTCAAACTGCTGATGAAAAAAACACACAAAGAAGGTTGGTAAAGGCCACATACCTGTAATCTGGCAATGACCTGTAAGTCTGGATCTCACCTCTGACTTTCTCTCAGAAGCTTTGTGTAAAAGTGAAACACTGCAGAGAATTACAGCTGCAGCAGAACGATGCCAGTGAGAGTGACTTTCGGGAGCAATGTCTGAATTTGCATCTGATTGAGGAAGTTTTTCTGGTTGGGTTCTGCCCAGCAGAGCAGTGAGGAGGAAGAGAGAAGCAGCTGCGCACAGTTGTTGATGAAGCAAAAACAGGAGGACTTTTAGCAGTTTAGTCAGTAAAGTGAGTTTTTTGAGTCCCATTTTCAGCCGTGTCAGTTTACTGTCCTCTGTAACAGCACCCATGTCAATAATTAAATCTGGGTCACACACGAAATCAATCAGAGTGGTCATTGTTGCATGTTTACACTTAAGTCTTATTTTGAAAGTGTGCGGGGGAAGTGTTTGAAGGCTTTCACGTCATCTATTAAGTTTGCAGAGTATCAAACATGCTACTTACACTCATTACTTCCAGGTATTCGGCTGCTGTATTTCAGGCTTAACAATGGTGATGTCCTACACACGCAGTCTGCAAGAGTTTCTCAAGATGAACATTATGGATGTTCATCGGATTTGTAAAACGATCCAAACCCCAGCAGTAAAGTTGATACAGGGTTTAAACTGTATGCCATGTCATATATTTACAACTATGAAGGTAAGGTAACATTAATTTTCTAACAAGTTCATGCTGGCTAGCTAAGGTCAAATATTGTACTACTTTCAACCCAGCCAGTTGGACGTCGTCAGCTGTAGAGGCCTGCCAAAATTTATTGTGTGACTGAGTTATGAATCACAGATAAAACATCATCATCAATCATATGTTGTGATGGTTACTGATGGGCTTTATTTTAGATTTCAGCCTTTATCAGTACCCAATGTTATGTGCAATTTATTCTTTTTAGACTAACATAAGTGCTATGTAATTTGATTTCTGCTTATGGGATGATAGAGTTAAGGGACCGCTACTTTTTAAATCCTGTCAGCATTTAAGGCATATGTTTAACATGGAAAAATGTTATGCAGGCCATGCTGCAAGACCAAAACATTGCACAATTGTTAAAACAGCTTGTAACACCTGTTACTTACCACTTTTATTGTATTATTTTCTCTTATTAAAAAGTAACACCTGTTACCAAACTTCTCTTATTTCACATTTATTTGTCATCCAGCCACTAAATATACGTACGTGACTTTGACGTGTACACAGTAATCCAATAATAGTTGCAAATGTTGACTTTTTACGGTTAATTTTAATATTTACCTCTTAAATGCGCGCTCACTGCAGTCTGTCCCCTTGAAGAGCATGGACAGTGCAGGCTGCGCTTGGAACTATGGAGGGGTACATGAACCATCTGAAGTTGTCGCCACTCTGTTTAATCCACTGCTCTGCTCATCACTACGTCAGTGCTCAGTTAACAAAGATAATCAACATCAGCGATCTGACTGAGAAAAAACATGTACCTCAGCCTGGGGGGAAAAACAAAAACATTTTTTCCATCAAAAAGCATCAGAAATACATGAAAATGTTCACCAAAGCATCAATTCATAAGGAAATATTAAGGCCCTTTTGGAGCAAGTGTTTGAAGAGTGGAGATCGAGTGAGCCTCCCGCTGCAGTAGAAGTTTGTCAAGGTTGCCTCCCCCGGGTAGAGGGTTACTTGTTCAATACCACAGAAACATTATGATGTAGTGTCATAGTGTGCATCATTAAAATGTACAGCCACAGGATAGTCATGAAGTCTTATTGTGCTTTTGAATTCACTGATCCTTTTATTTTATTGTTTCTTTCCCAACATAGGCAAGGCCACAAGGGTAATAAATGTGGCCTTGCCTATGTTGGGGAAAACAAGTTTTTTTTTTACTCACTTTATTTTTTTCACAGAGCTGGTTTGGAATATGACAATATCAATCAGATCAGATGACATTAATAAAGGATTTGAAATGTTCATTCATATTGCTTGGAGTTGGCTTAAAACTGAGAACTAGGATAAGGTCTTTTTAAATAATATAAATATATAAATTCATTGAGCATTCAACATATCAAAACTATATAGAAAATTAGAGCATTGTAGTTTCTGTACTGGTGTGCAGGCTCAAAAAACTTAACAGAACTCAAATAAGAGTATTATGTGTTCACATTGCAAGCCAGTGTGACTACAATCTCTTCAACTCAGGATGAAAAAGCAGATGCAAGTTTAATCAATTTCCACATTCTCACTTGACCCATTTCTTTACCAGGGCTTTGTTTTGGTAATTTGACAGCAGACATGCAACTGCAAAGAGTTCATTGATGTTGTAGGCATGAGACAACTGGATGAACGGGTCAAAAATTCTGTTTTGCTTTATCCTCCTGATTACCCGCTCCATGTGCACACAGAGTCCAGCAATGGCCTGGGTCTCCCTCACCTGGTATGCTGGCATCTGCTTCTGTTTTGACAGAAAAGGAGGACAGTACACTATGCATCTGCAGCAGTCACTGATAAGGAAGCCCATGTCCACCATCACAGCCATGTCTTCTCTCAACAATTCACCTACTCCTGATTGTTTAAAGACCTCTTTGTCAAGAATTGAACCAGCATACAGTTGGGAAATACATGTGACTGGCCCATGTGGAGCGATGCCAACCAAGGCTTTCATAGTGCAGTGGGATTTGTATGTTGAGTACATCTCACTTTGAAGGAGAGTTGAGGTTGGTGTTTGGCACCTCAGCTCTGTACAACACAGGATCACCTGGGTACCTCAGGGAGGTAAGCTTGCACCTCTTACTGTGTAAGCCAAATACGTACAGACACCAGTGCAGTGGCAAGAAAGCTTGTCCATGTTGCAATTATGCGGCTCACTGTTGACTCATGGATGTTGAACCGATGTGCAAGGTCCCTCTCTTTCAAACCATCTGACAGGAAGGTGCGGAAGAGAAAAAAACTCATCAATGGTCTGGAGCAGTTGTCTCCAAGCCAGACATATTCAATCATTTATTTTTAAGAATGACCTGATGAAAATGCCAAGGAGTCCAATATAGGCTGAATTGCATAGCTATAGATTGAAATGATGTGGGAATGTCTTTCTTACATTTTAACATTTTTTACAACTAAAAAGGCAGCTTTGTGTATAAACAAACAATCAATCCTTTAAAACTACAAGAAGCTTGTGTCGTAATCAAATCGATGGATTTAAATAACAATTTTGTTCAGTGTAACACAGTTAAAAGTTCTTTGCCTTAGAGTTAGGACTAGAAAAACACCTGAATGGGCTAAAAAGACAAATGTTGTACTGCTAATGAACAAGACTGGCTGATTAGGATTGCTTTAAATTATGTTTACATGTTCATCACATGCTGTGGGGAAAACAGTGTTTGCGTAGTGAACTGATTTATCCAAAAGGGGTCACCATTGCCATTTCATAATTAAGGCCTACTCAACTGTTATATCAACCCCTAACACTACTGACAAAGCACTAAGTGTATAACCTACCGTGGAGGGGGGTACAGGTGTCTCCACCTCTTCATTTCTCCTGGCACCTGTTTTTGCTGTCTGCGAGGTGAGTCTGACTGAATTAGCGAAAGAATAAGATATGAATTCCTACATATAAGTTGCTTGTAACATTACAATAACGTATCACTTCAATGTTGACCCAGTTTTTACATGCCAACCATAGCGTATAACATTAAAGTCAACGAACGCTTGCTAGCTTGCTGTCAAGTTTTGTTTGTCGAGCTGCTTGTTCTTTTCTTTGTTGTCTATTTAGTTCAGTTTATCTCCTCCATGATTTTTCTTGATTGAGAAATCGGTCTGGGCTCTTTTGGGTTAATCAGTAGCCTATATGCAAGTATGTGTTTACAACACTGTTTACAGTCAAACATTTTAATGCTCTGTAGGCTCAATTTTGATCAATCAAAAATCTGTGTAGTATTTTTTTGAGGACAGTCTGAAGATGCTCTTGCCTAAAGATGCTCATGCATATTTGGTGTCAATTGAGCAAAAAATTGTTGGTGGAGATTGGTTTCATAAGTTTCACAGTTTTGAAGTGAGTGATGGACTTCTTAATTTTCTTGTGTACTTCAGTTCAGTTGCCTTTACTGTCCCCTAAGGGAAACTTGGCTTGCTGACAGGTTTAAAAAATAGACAACTATAAAAACGTAGAATTAAAAACAATCACATGTAAAAACGAGACAGACAAATCACCTGCAACAATCAGATTGATGTGGTTCATTTTGCATTTTTTTAGATATGCTTAATAATTTCTTATCTTCAGACATAAAAATCACAGACATTTCTTAACCCGCTTGACAGTTTCACCTGAGACTCCAATCTTCATCAGAAGCATTATTAGGCCTTAGATTATATTCATTATGGACTTGGACTTAAAATTGTGGTTTTATTTTATGGCATTGGTGCCTTGTCTTTTAGTCTTTGTGCCGTCAAAAAATTGACAATACAAAAGGCCAAGTGGCCTTGCCCCCTAAAATGACGAAATTCCAGGCCTGGTGCCAGATTATTCCCATGCCTCTTATGGTATCCTGGCCTGATTCTGAGTGTTACAAGTTTGAAACTTTTACCATCACACATGCGTTCTTTTCATGAAATCAATCCCTGCTCTCCTCTTCTCTTCTCCAGTGCCTCTCGAGCCCAGCCCCCAACCTCCACCATGGCTGCCACAACTCTCACATTGGATAACTCACCCGCCTTCACTGCCACTAATGCGCCACAGCTCCTCACTGCACCGTACAGCTAGTCCACTATCCGGATATTGGATTCTCTTCCCCATCACCTTCATTTATTATAAATTATTCAACACTTCCCTCTGCCTCCAACCTGCTTTTGGGTTCAGCACAAAACAACATACAGGACACCCTGACAAGTGGTACACAACAGTGCATGTCTCCTCCTGTAATTGGAAATTCGCAGTCCTGAAGACTTTCTTCCTGACAGGTTGAGCCACTTCACTAGGGTTTACATTCATGAAACTACACTGACCTTGGTGGTCACAATATGGTAATTTTTTTGTATTTGTTTTGTTTTTTTTGCACAGTGTCAGATTTGTGTTTACCTCTACACTTCGTATACCCTTTAAAACCATCTTCCCACACTGTCATGACTATTTGCTAAAGCTATGTTTCACAATTTGGGGCAGTAAAACATTTCTTTTAATTTTATTTCATTGCTTTGGCAAAATAAACAGCTCGGAAACATTTTGGAAACAGCGATAAAAGCACAAAATCAAGTGCTTCATTTGTTGTCATTGTTGTAAAGACAATTAAAGGGATAGTTTATATCATACAACTTAAATGCTATCATATGGACAAAAAACTGACATCTTCACAGTCAGGTACTGAAATGGGGACTTCTAACTGTTGGACCTTTTTAACACGCCCCTGTTGATTGTAATGATGCTGCTTCTCCTTTAGCCTGCCCTCTGTGTGCTTTTTCTCATTGGTCTTTTTACACTCCTCCTCATCTGGGCCCTGTACGCTTTACAGAAGATGAAATAGAGAAGTGGATCCAGACAAACGTTCAGGATGGACATCATGACAGTCAGCTCCTTCAGGTAGAAGAAGGTTTGACTCCACGAGCACTTCTTCAGGAAAGTGTATGGCAGCCGGACCAGGTGGTACGGGACAAAGCAGACACAGAAGACGCTGACCAGCACCAACATTTTCCTGCGGGACTTGGCAAGCTTCTTAGAGTCAGAGGACGCCGGCTGGCTCTGTTGTGCTGCAGTCAGCCTGCGGGAGGTTTTGTGATAGAATAAGATGAGGGAGACGAGGACGAAGATGAAGATGGCTACCAGGCAGAATTGTAGGCCTTTGTAGAAGAGGTTCAGCTGTTTACTGTGCAGCTCATCGCAGCTCAATGTGTTTGGGGTGGACATTGGTGATTCCTGCGTGAGGAGTGTCACTGTGATGTAGGTGGCTGTCATGGTCAGGAGACAAACCCAGGTTACCACAGAGATGGTCTTGGCGGCTCGTACCTCCTGCAGGATATGAGTTCCTGGAGGATGAACAATCTTAACGTACCTGCAGAGACAGAAAGCAGGTGTGGGTAGGTCAGAACTCTGTCAGAGTGCTGCCATCTAGACTATGACTTTTTCAAGGAAGACCTTCATATTTCAGAAAGACAATGACAAACCACATTCAGACAACAGGGATTACAGGAGCATGGATCTGTAGTAGAAGAGTGAACTGGCCTGCCTACAGTCCTGACCAACCTGTTAAAATGGCAACACAAATCAAATCAGAAAAGGGTCTTCGATGAGAGAACACCAGCTTATACTCAGCCATGAACAATCTCTGCCCTCTCAACGTCTGGGGAAATTCTGAACCAAGACTCATATACAAATTGTTCATTCACACATTAACTCAACACTGCATCATCACCAAACCACATCCTTGAGATTTTCTGTAAATGATGATTCACATATTTTTACCATGACGTAAAACAACTGCCATGGGAGGCAGCTGAAACTGAATATTTCAAGCCTGCACTATAGGAAAGTTCAGTCTCCGAGAGTTCAGTCTGCTCTACTTTCATATTTTCTACTGTCATGGTGGTCAGAAAGCAGAATCAAGAATCTGAGGTTATTCAGCTGATCACAATCATGGCGATAAACCCTTTTTAAAATTTCTCATCATTCTTCACAGCTGTGTGACAATTTTCTGTCCATTGTAGAAATATCACAATACTGACTGTGAGAGCAAGTTTCCTGCTAACACTGTTACATCATACAAATCCTGATTGTGAGTCTCTCAGTACGAAAACCTTATCAACAAAACAAGTTAAATGAATGATAGGCAACAAAATTCATTCTTGTAGGTTCACAAACTTTTTCATATTACTGAATGACAAAATGTGGATCAGGTCATCCAACATATGAACTCTGGGTCAGTTATATTAGATAAAACAAAGAAAAAAAGACTGTTTCAACATTTCATATGTCTCTGCACTATTTTTTCAATTAAAAATAAGATTAAATGATACGCAAACCAAAACATTTTAATGAACATTTAGTCCAGAATACCAATTTTTTGAAAGAGGAGTTTCTTAAGGATAACAGCTAATGGCTCCTGGACTGCATTTACCTCGTTGATTTAATCACTTTTGCTTTCAGCATGAACATTTTTCCTACTTTAAATCAGATTCTTTTCAAGTTTCAAAGTCCGAAATTACTTAGAGCACTGAAACTGGACTAACACTGCTCCAAAAATCCTGTCCAGAGCCTTCATTTGAACATTTCTACCAGTAAAAATATCCTTAGCCCTCTATCACACTAAAGGACTGCACAGTCCTACCTGTTTGCTGCAATGTAACCCATGAACAGGATGCTTGCATACATGTTCAGGTAGAAGGCATTGGCGCCAAAGTTGCAGTAGACCGTAAGTATGGTGACAGAGCTGCTGGCAAAGTGGCTGATCCGGATGGGGAGGCAGAGGCTCATCAGGAAGTCTGCAGCCGCCAGGTTCTTCAGGTAGATGGTCACACTGTTAGATGGCCTCTGCTGAGTGCTGCAGAAGTAAACCTTCAGGGTGAAACCATTCAGAAGTAAACCTACCTGCAAAGAGGAAAAGTTTCAGTATCATCCCAACAAGAGTGAAAATCAGAGGATTCGAGACTCACCAGAAACACCACACTGTAGACCAGCATGAAGAAAAGATTGGCAGAGGTGTGGACTTGGTTGCAGTGAGATGAATCGTTAACAATCATATGATCAGATGCTGAAGAAAGGTTAAAAGAGAAGACGGTGGACACTGCTTTTCCATTAAGGTCAGGCATGTTTCTGGATGATGTAAGAGAGTGGAAGCATCAGAAAATACACAGTACCTTCAGAACCACCTGAAGACAGGAACACCAAAATAAAACCCCAATACAGCAGGATGTAACACTTCCTGTTTCAGAGATGGCATTTACTGTTAACTAAAACATCAATCACTCTTGAAAAGCTATCAGAAACTTGCCCTTCCTTCTAACATATCTTTGTTGGCCCAGTGCTTGAGCTTGTGGTTGTGACATTTATGTTGCAGGTTATGATAATTGGCACAACAGGCTTCTTAGAAAAACCAACATGTGACTTCAAAGGCTGCAAAGCCAGGGCTTCATTTAGCCCTCATTCAGTACAAAGGTGGTCAAAGCCTGCAGGGTCTGTTCTACCTGTATCTACCTCAACATGTCTGTGACCTAAAAAGTAATGGACACGGATGTGGTTAGATGCTGTAAGGTAAAGGTGAGTCTTGTCTAACATTAGCCGGGCCCCTTTGTTGAGAAACTTAGGAACTACATGAACACTTGGCAGTAAGACAAGGTCAACCTCCTCGCATAATTTAGCCAATCTTATAAAAATGATAGATTTTTATCATTTCAAATGTTATTAATATACTCATTCCAGAACCTTTGCTCAACCAAGGAGTAGCCAAGTTGAATCTCTCTGAATTTTCTGCAATTTTTGCTCTGTGTTTTTTGTATTTTTGTTGTGTTTTGATAGCTGCTGATGGATATTTCTGCTTGGAGAAGAGTTTATTCAAGAGAAGAGCGTCTCTCATTGAGACAGACCTAATCTGGATGACACCTGGAGGTGTTATCTTGGTTGCCGTGCCAATGCAAAGGCGAAGGCAAGGTTGAATGCTAGGAGTTGGAGATATAAACCCTTTCTTCTATCAGTTATCATGGGAAATGTCAACTCTCTGCTTCACTCTCATTAGGTCAGGCAGAGATGCAGAGGGTAGTGGCAAGAAGAAAGAAGGAGTCTGTCTTTATTTGTCAACCCAAGATGGTGTAACTTTCGACACACATCTGTCAAGGAGGAGTTGTATTGTCCAGATATAGTTCCTTTTTGGCCATATTATGTTCCCGGGAAGTTCGGTGTTATCATAACAATTCTTTTATACATGTATTCGCCATGATACTGTTGCCAGGATACAGACTCAACATCCTGAGGCACGAATAATAATATCTGGAGACTTCAACCATGTCACCCTCTCCTCCTGACTGGATTTACACAGTTTGTTAACTGCCCTGCCAGAGATTTTTTTTCACGAGATTCCAGACTAAGGAGTTTCCTATTGGGGATGAATTAAGTTCCTGTATTGTGTATGTATCCTGTATTGTGTTGTATTGTAGTTGTACACATGATTATCAGTGTCCTTAAAAAATTAATTTATTCCCATAATTTAATTCCATCAAGTTAAAAGTTTTCTAGCCACATCAAGTTTTGATTCTGTTCGAATTGGGTATGATTTATAACGCTTAATACCTAAAAGAGGGGGTATTATGCTTATTTATTGTTTTATATGATTTACAGTTCAACAAACTATGAACATATTTCAGATGCTGTCTTTAAAAAACCTAATTTTAGCTGCTTTCTGGGATTTTTTCTTTAAGCCTACACCCCCTTCCCTCTGGTGGCCTCCTTCACTGTTGCCATGCAATGAAGTTGCACTTCTTTTTATAAAAAGACACATTTGCCTTTAAAGATGATTTACTGTCTGCTGATTTCACAATTTCACGAGCAAATCTCATATTAAATGCCTTGAATCCCCAGTGACTTTTTGTATGAGCCATTTTGTTCCCCTGTGGTCCCATCAGGGGATTGCTTCGACACACATTCACCTTCAATCTGAAACTTTGCTCATGTGTAGTACTGACATACAACATTTATTTAAAAATATGAAAAAAAAACATCATATCATATCTTTTATGCAATTCTGGGTTCCATAACTCCCACAACTTGATTTAGTTATAAAAGACCAAGAAAACTCATTCAGCATACAAACAGATCTTTACTTCAAAAGTCAGTATTATTTCACCAAATCCTTGGTGTTTAAGCTGCTATCTGTTTTTGCTTAAAATGTAAAATGTAGCATACCTTTTCTGTACTTTTTAAAAGTTTATCTAAAACTATCAGCCTTTGAAAGCTTTATGATTTAAATATTTGTAGGTTTTTTGGTCATTGTTTGTGAAACTCCAGGTTTTTATTTGGATGCAGTTACAGCTGAACTTTACAATAACGAATAAAGTCATGAGTGAACTAACTATCAAACATACATTTTTCCATTTAATAATAATAGAAATAACTTCTTACAGTAATCAGAACCTGATCAGTTCCTTATTAGCTTTTGTCAGTATTGGTAAAGTAGTGGGTATTAATTTGAAGGATTGTTATAGAGCCTCATGAATGAAGTCAAACCTTTAAAAATATGCTCATAAGTGGCGGGTTTATAGAAAGTGTTACTGAAATCATCTTAGACGCAATGCACACTTAGATTTGACAAACAAGCAAAAAGGTTAAATCACTCATAGGTTTAAGAATCATAAGATAATATCTACACTAATATAGAATTACACTTTACTACACAGGTTAAACTGTTTGTACATGAATTTAAACGTACAACATGTATTGAGTCAAAGAACCAGTTTATTAATTTCATGAAATAACTTTTGTTCATGAAGTTTATATACAGTCATAATAGAGTCACATTTGATTTGTTTTATACTGATCACATTCAGAATTTAAATGTTTAATGAAGCTCCCATTTAATGTTACAATGTTTAAAAGAGGGACTTTTTTCTTCAAGAAAAGTCAAAGACAGAAACTGAAATTAGACTAAATGAAAGTAGCTTAGCTTGATCCTGAACATGTTTATAATGTATTCTACTAAAATCCAAGACTTGAAACTTACTTAAATAAACATAATGAAAATAATCTCTATATCCTACTACTGGTCAAAATGCTCATTTTTAGCTGACTTTAAATTTGTTTTTAATCATTAAAATCAAAACAGATGTCTCACGATAAAACTGTAGCATAATAGGAAAGTAGTTACCTTCAGAGCTCACCTGTCCCTTAGTCGGCTCCCTTGTTAGTGCATGAGTGTTTGTGAATTCTTGACTCGCCTTCTCTCTCAGCTTTTACACCAGAAAGGCCCTCAGAGGCACAAAGAAGGAGGAAGGAAAACACTTGTGGTCATGGCTGTATTAGTTTTGCTCAAGTCACTAACACGTACAATACCCACAACACAATTGCACACACACACACACACACACACACACACACACACACACACACACACACACACACACACACACACACACACACAAACAAAGACAAACTCACAAAGGTTTATAAATTTTCCAGCTACCATCAAACATAAAGTCTCATAATCAGCAATAAAATATAAAATAATAAGACATTATTTCACTTTACCTGAAGAGATATCGTGTCCCCTGTTGGTGAATGTGAAAAGAAATCAAAGTCCCCAGTTTGATGGGTATGCAAGGTAGCAATGTGGCCTTGGGAAATGAGGGTGTTAGAAAAAGCAGAAGTCTGTGCCAGTTATGAAATAGATAAATGGAAATGAACATATTCAAATGCTTTTTAAAATTCTCCCTTTATTAAATAGTTAAAATAAAATGCTTTAGAAGGATTGAATAAATTATTACATTAAATTTAAATAGTCATTTTTAAAAACAGCTCTGTATCATGGTCTATGGACACTACAAAGTCTGGAATATACATGCAGCTTATGATGTTGCAATATTAAAAGTAGTTTATTTGGTTTACTTTTTTTTTTCTCTGTATTACAGACCCATAGGTCCATAAAAAAACGTATATAAAAACAGAAAATACATAAACATAGTACTGGGACAACAGAAAACAGACATACAGTAACTAAAGTTCACACATTAATAGTAAATAAAAATACATGTAAACATGTTAGAAATCTCACTGAGTCAAACTGCACAAGGACAGACTATAATACCCAGCTAAAGCAGTTGGGGAGTGATTTTCCCTTTACCGTTTTAAGTCCAGTTTCAGTTGGACAAATAAACTTCTCTGACAACCACCAAACGGTTGTTGTCCCTTGTTACTAACCTATTACCTGTGATGAACATGTTAAGAAACCAAGGTCCCCAGTTGAAAGGGTGTATAAGTTTACACTCATCTATCCTTAAAGCTAACAGGCCAGACAACCAGGAGTGTAATTTCCATACTTGAGTTAGGATAGAGCCTTTATCAGTGCCAATGCGTCCATCTGGTAGGAAGAAGAGAGCAGCAGGTGAGGTCCGGGTAGTCTTTTAGGTCATGGTTTTAATTTGTGGAGAATTTTTGACACATAATTTTATTTTGGAAGTATACAGTGAAAGTGTTTGAAGGCTTGCTTATCATCTGTAAACTTTGGATGGATAATCACCTCTAGGGTTAATATTCATATTCTTACACTGTCCTCTAGTGGTCACGGTGTGGTATTGCAACACTAAAGGCCAAAACAGCAGTTTTAAGACAGTGTAACTACATACTGCTAAAAACATCCTATTTTAACACAGGTTCCTGATGTGTGGTGGATTTTCTGTTAAAAAAGAAGCAAGCTGAGGTTTTTGTCAAAAGACAGAAAGAGGTATACATGAATCAGTTACAAAAAAGAGGAATTGCTTAGTTAGCAAGAGATGCAATAGTCATCACAAACTGAAAAGCTTCAAAGACTTTATTTTATAAAAGGTTTAGGACCGCTTGCCACTGCATCAAGGGCACAAAACTAAAATATGATGGAAAAATTTGTACAAAAACAGTTATCTTTAGACAAATTATGATAGTTAGATATAACACATGTAAGTCAGAATTAGAAAAATACATGTTATGTACATTTATGGACACAAATAAGCATTTGTGTTACAACAGCACTCAGCTGAGTCTTCTGGAGTGTCGAAGTGTGGGTACACCACCCTCTAGTGGCCATAGAATGATACTGCCATGGGCAAAAAAAAAAAAAGAAAAATCTTTTTTTTTTCTTTTTAAGTTTTACAGACACTAACCACTTAAGAGCACAAATGAGACATGTTATGCATTTGTGTTTAAAGCTTGTTTGGCTCTTTTGTAAAGAGCAACTTTATCTACTGAAAAAAAGAACAAAAATGAACAGCAAAAGGTTATTTTTCTAATAATTTTTCTAAGGTGACTCTAAATGACTCATGCATAATGTCACAGCGGAGGGGAATAAAGGACTGACCCTGTACCCCTTTCTTGTGTGCATAGACTGTCCTCTAGTCAGTTTAAGTCAGTTTTTGAGGTTTTTTCTGCAGCTTAGTCCAAAAATCTGTCCATTTACAAAGTTCAGCCAACAGAGACTCAGTAGTGACTCATGACTACATCAGCTGATTTTACTGAAGGCGGTCCACCACTGCCGTGATAACTTTGAAGGAGAAAGAGTCTGGTCCTGCAGGTTTGATGCCCAGTCATCAGAGTCCAGTTTCACTTCCACGTCAGAGCTTCCCCTCCTTATTTCTTCCTTACTTACCTTAATTCCTCTTGGTTCTTGAAAATATGAGTTCATCATTTTATAGGCTTACTGTTTGTGTAGCTCTGTTTGGGTGTTTTGTGTCTGTCATCTGAAGTTCTTGTTGTTGTCCCTGACAGGCTCAGGTTGTTCTTTTAAGTGTTTAACAACATTAAAATAAGGATCCCTATAGATACAGAGCTTTATATTAGAGAGAGAGGGGGCTTTTGACCTACACTGTCTTTAAAGCCTCCAGACTACACTGATAAAAACAGAGGTTTTTGCTCATGAAGGATGGGAGTTGCTGGTCTACCTCTGCCCTTAGCTGTCACTGTATTTGCATTTTTGTGTAACACTTGTGTGAATAGGACTGATCTAAAATGCGTAGCATTCAGTGTCATAAAAAACAATCAAGTCAGCAGTTAAACAGAAACTGCCACAATATGAGTAAAATGGACGTTTTTTGTCTTGACCTGGTTCTCTGCGGTTGGTAGCTACATCTAGTCTCACATCAAATGGAAATATCCCTTATTTCTTTCAGGATCTTTCATGTAATGTACCACTTAAAATAAATACCTGAGCCTGTGAGAAACAAAACAGGAACTACAATAAAGATGCGTGCTGTCACAATCAGTGCCAACCCTAACCCTAGACTAATCCATCAACGTTCACACATATCTCTAGGTCTTCTTATGAAAAGGTACTTGGTCCTCCTGTGTTTCGTCTCCCCTCCTCCCTTCCATGTCTCCTGACCTTGTTTCCTCTCCTCTTAAATTGACCCGGCTCAGACTCTGGGCCGTAGTCAGGGATCTCCTCCTCTCTCTTCCTGACAGCTTCCTCAGCAGAGACTCTCTGAAGTTTTGACACATCAGGACGTAGATGACAGGGTCCAGACAGACGTTCAGCGCAGACAGGAAGAGCATCCCCTCCTTCAGCTGGAACAACACGAAGCGGGAGTGCTGGCTGAAGCCTGACTCTGGCATCTGGCTCAGAGTGTAAGGGACACGGCAGACATGGTAGGGCACAAAGCAGATAAAGAAGACCACCAGGAGGCTGAAGATGCTGCGATGAAGCTTGTGGCAGACTGTGCTGTTGATGTTGCTGTTGTTGCAGCGCACACGGCGATACGACTGGTAAACGCGGCAGCTGATGGAGGTGTAGCAGAAGGCAAGGACCAGCAGGGTCAACCAGAACAAGCCAATACAGAAGAAATTGGACACCTTGTGCCACTGAACACCCAACTCCGTTTTCAGTTTCATGCAGTTTTTATAGTTTGTCTCATTCGCCTCCCCACTGGTCAGCACGACGTTGGGGAGAACGCTGAGGAGGAGGAGGCTCCAGGTGAGGAATGCCAGCACCCGAGCAAATCCAACACTCTGCAGGAGGTGTGGCAAGGTCAACCCACCAAACCTGGATCTGCAGGAAGGCGAGGAGGAGGAGGCATGTCTAACGATCTTGATGTAGCGCTCAAGGCTGATGAAGCCCATGAAGAGGATCCCTATGTACATGGAAGAGTAAAAGAGCACAGCAGTATAGCGGCAGATGACCACATGAAGGCGCCAGCCACCCAGACCCAGCTGAGCTGCCATCCTGAAGGGGAAGGTGGAGAGCATGAGGAGGTCAGCCACCACCATGTTCTTCAGGTAGACCACCAGGCCTGAATCAGAGGGAACTCTGATGAAGATGAAGGCTGCCAAACCGTTCAGGAAAAACCCGACCATGCAGATCACAAAGTAGAATGGCGGGAGGACATGGTCAGTGAAGATGCTGCTCAGGTCTGATTGGTTGGTGGGTGAGCTGGTGGAGTTAAGGTGATCCATTCCTGAAAACACACAAAAAACACAGTAAGAATACCATCATCAGGAGCAGTATTTTTTTCCTTTCTCGCAGGTCAACATGGCCGAAAAAACCTGTGCTGAGCAAACATATAATCTCATTAACCTGTCCTCATAAGAGTTCAGCGGACTAAAAGATGCTCCAAGGAGTGGACAGGTGAGTGTTAACATAATACACAGAAATATTATTTCTCATCAGACTAAAGGTTGAAGAAATAAGTGATGACAAACGACAAGCTGCAGAGCTCCTCAAACAGGTTTGACTTATTTGGAATATTTGATTCGAAACTTTTTTTTAAAAATAAGCCTTAATTACCCCACAGTCTGAAGAGGAGAACCCATCAACAGGTTCACCATTCTGTGAGAGACTGTTTTAGAATAATGTCAAATGTGAAAGAATGAGTGGATTTGATCATCTACAGAACATCATATCATTAAAAGATTCAGAGAATCTGAAGAAATCTCTGTACTAAAGGGACACGGACCAAAACCAAGACTGGATGGTCCTGATCTTCAGGCCCTCAGGCAGTACAGCATCAAAAACAGACATGACTCTGGAGTGGAAACAACATTTGCTACCATCCAGACAATGAGGTTTTCAAGGAAGACCTTTATATTTCAGTAAGACAATGACAAACCACATTCTGACAACAGGGATTACAACAGCATGGCTTTGTAGTAGAAGATTTCTGCTAATAAATTGGTCTTCCCGCAGTCCTGACTTGTCCTCCATTAAAAACATTCGGAGCATTATGACACCAAAAACAGGACAAAGGAGACCCTGAACTATAGGGCAGCTGAAATCCTCTATCAGGCCAGAATGGGACAACACTTGACTCTCCAGACTCAGAAAACTGGTATGCTGGTTCACAAAGGTTTATGAAAAGAGGAGCTGATGACGCATGCTAGGATTCATGAGGCTGTAATAGCTGATCTTTTGATATACCTGAAACTTTATACTGCATCTAAACATCATCAAAAGAGTCACAAAGCAGTTTCCGGATAAAACCCCCTTTAACTCCCTGCAGAAACCTTTTATCCTTGTATAGTGAACATACAGTGCTCTGTTTACACTGAGGCACGTGCACAAATAAAAACTGCTGTGTACTCCTGTTTGTCCTGCTGTTCACACACTCTCGCCCCCCTCAAATTGATTTATCCCTGTCCAACACCGTCTTCCTTCATCCTTGTCTGTGAAAACAGAACATTTACAGTCAGAGGAGGACACCAGGGTGTCTTTTGTCATCCAGACCTGATTCTTTTATTTTTAGCCTGCTGGCTCGACCCGCAGCAAAATCTGCTTTCAGATGATATCTATACACAAATAAAAAAATTGCTTTATTAAAAAGAAGCTGCAGAGGGAAAGAGACATCAATCAAATTGAAGAAAACAGACAGAATCAGATCTAAAACACCAGTCCACACCAGCCTGGACGCTTAAGAAAAAAGAAAGAAAGCACATGTGTGGACAGGCCCTAGTGTCTTTATATACAGTATTTGTGTCTCCAGCTGGTAGCCATGTTGTAAAAGGTTTCAAGATGACATGTCTAAAAAAATGCAGCGTTTCTGCAGGAAGTTCAACCCAGACTTTTCTCGTCAATTTTTTCTCTTTTTTTCTGAAGATGAGTCACACTTTAGGTTTTTTTTTTTGGGTGGCAGAGATGATGTAGATGCTGATCCACAGCAGAAAAGCTTAAACTTCTGCTTTCATCTCTCCTCTGATGACCGGGGTCAGGAAATGCTGTAACAACCCTCTGTGGTTTTTTAGAGAAGATGGCATCAGTGCTCAGAGGACACACATCTGTTTCTTTTAAAGATTGTGCATGAGATAAGAACATTTGTTAACCAAAGCTGCCTCTGAATGTGCCTCTGTGTGGCTGCAACCTGAGCGTGCATGCGGGAGGAGCTCAGTCAATGCTTTTATTATTCAGATAGAAAAAGTCAGTGTTTCCAGACATCCGTGCATAATAATGAATAAAGTTGTAGCTTTAATATTTTCAGCAAAGGGAAGACTCTAAAATCAAGCTTCAGTGTTCAAAGCTTGTTGTTTTGGCGCTTCCCTTTTGCATTTAGATAAACTTCGCATTACACAATATTTGGACAAAGAATGAAAGAAACTGTCAATCATGAGAAAAAAACGATGATGGATTATTATCATTTTTTTTTTTATGATGATGATGATGATGATGATTATGATGATGATGAAATCTGCGGGAAACACAGAGCTGCACTGAGAAGGATGTGAGCTCCTGTACATTAATGAAAAGACTCTTTTATGCACAAACAAATAAACCTCTGAGCTTCAGGTATTTGGTTCCAGTCTGTTTGATGGGGCAGAAACACTTCCACATTTATCATACAGTCTTTACACCACAGACACGCTCCTTTATTTTATTTTTTTTAGGAAACCCACAAGTACCAGCATTTAGACACAACCCATTTTCTTTTCATTAAATAGCCTAAAAGTTTATGTGCACATTTTAAGTTTAAATCAATTTGATTATTACAGCTTAAAAATTTTGACTAGTATCACAAAGGCAGAGGCATTCATCTTGAAAAGATTTTACCAAAAGTCTGAAGCTGAAAAGAGGAAAAATGGCGTTTGAAACGTAAATCAACAGCTGAACAATGTATTTTGTCTTATTTGGTCATTTGCCGAATGGTCAAAATAAAAACAGTGAAATTCACAAATAATTAGTTAAATTCACTATTTCCTGTAGGGTTTAAATAACTTGTTTTAATGATGTAACTGAGCACATACAAATTTCATAGAGCTTAAATGATCTTTTGTGTAAAAATTAGGTTTTCATTTTGTGGATTTTGTGGCGTTTAAGCTCTTTGTGTTTTCACTGTTCATAAAGTAAAACTGTGTCTGTAAAACTTTGTAAATCATCAGTTTAAGAGTCAGATTTTAAATTAAATCTCTTTTTCTTGTCAACTTCAGAAAATTTATGCCAAAACTACAGAAGAGTTAAAAGTGTATGTAAGGTGAATGATTAAATCCCCCTCAAAAGAAACACAGAGCTCAGTCTCAAAAATTGTGAGTTTCATCATATTTTCAGCTATATTTTCCACAACTTTTCCCTTACCTCTCCTTTAAAAAGTACACTTTTATCTCTAGAATTTTCTTTTACTCTGACTTTGATATTCGTTATTATAAGAAAGATAATTAGAAGATTTTTAGTTTACTAAAAAACATCCCATGATTGACTGTTACCTTCATTCTTTGTCCAAAGAGATTTATGCAGCTCTAGATCTTCCACTTCAGTTTCAGCTTTCAGCTTTGTTTTTGTTAAGTCCTGCCGCTTTTATGTATATTTTTATCTCACATGTTGGTGAGATGAATAATGTCAAGTAATATTGAGGGAAAATGCTGGATGATGACCAAATGGTGTATAAAACCAATAAAATAGAATAGAATATCTATCTATCTTGTCTACTATCGTACTATTGTACTCACCATATGAAGTGTCAGACGTTCTGATCCACACAGATGTTGCCTCTGGTTGTAAAATGAAGTTTGTCCCTGGGCTGTTAGTCTGATCCGCTTTAGAGTTTCACACTCTCTCTCTCTCTCTCTCTCTCTCTCTCTCTCTCTCTCTCTCTCTCTCTCTCTCTCTCTCTCTCTCTCTTTACAGGAGACAAGCCAAAAATCTTCACGCTAAGAGGAGCGTGAGACAAAGCTCAGTGTGACTCCGGATGTCTACAAAGTTTATCTTTTTCCTTTTATATGATGTTAGTATAGTGCATATGCAGCTCTTCATTGTGTATTTTGTACATTTTTTCGTACATTTTTTCTCCATCTCTGTGCTCATTGGTTTGGCACCAAACAGAGACCAACTGAATCAGATTTAGGTTTATTGCTGATGCCTAGGACATGTGCAAACCCAACTCCACTGAAACTGGGATGTTGTCTACAAAACCCAATTCCATTAAAGTTGGGATATTGTGATTAATGTAAATAAAAACAGAATACGATGGTTTGCAAATTTTCAACCTATATTCAATTTTATACATTACAAAGACAAGATATTTAAAGTTCAAACTCATAAACTTAATTCTTTTTTGGCAAATCATATTTAACTTAGTAGTTGGGACAGGGGCATGTTTTCCACTGTGTTACATCACCTTTCCTTTTAACAACACTCAATAAATGTTTGGAAACTGAGGAGACTAATTGTTAAAGCTTTATAGGTGGAATTCTTTACCAGTCTTGCTTGATGTACAGCTTAAGTTGTTCAACAGTCCGGGGTCTCCGTTGTCGTATTTTACGCTTCATAATGTGCCACACATTTTCAATGGGAGACAGGTCTGGACTGCAGGCAGGCCAGTCGAGTACCCACACTCTTTTTCTACGAAGCCACGCTGTTGTAACAAGTGCAGAATGTGGCATGGCATTGTCTTCCTGAAATAAGCAGGAGCGTCCATGAAAAAGACGTTGCTTGGATGGCTGCATATGTTGCTCCAAAACCTGTATGTACCTTTCAGCATTAATGTTGCCTTCACAGATGTGTAAGTTACCCTTGCCTTGGGCACTGACGCACCCCCATACCATCACAGATGCTGGCTTTTGAACTTTGCGTCGATAACAGTCCAGATGTTTTTTTTTCCTCTTTGGCCCGCAGGACACAACGTCCACTAATTCCAAAAACAATTTGAAATGTGGACTCGTAAGACCACAGAACACTTTTCTAATTTGCATCAGTCCCTCTTAGATGAACCTGGGCCCAGAGAAGCCAATGGCGTTTTTGGATGTTGTTGATAAATGGCATTCGCTTTGCATAGTAGAGTTTTAACTTGCACTTACAGATGTAGCGACGAACTGTATTTATTGACAGTGGTTTTCTGAAGTGTTCCTGAGCCCATGTTGTGATATCCTTTACACATTGATGTCGGTTTTTGATACAGTGGCGCCTGAGGAATCGAAGGTCACGGGCATTAATGTTGGTTTCCGGCCGTGCCGCTTACATGCAGCGATTTCTCCAGATTCTCTGAACCTTTTAAAGATATTATGGACCGTAGCTGTTGAAATTCCTAAATTCCTTGCAATTGTACTCTGAGAAACGTTGTTCTTAAACTGTTCGACTATTTGCTCATGCAGTTGTTCACAAAGTGGTGAGCCTCGCCCCATCCTTGCTTGTGAATGACTGAGAATTTTTGGGGAAGCTGCTTTTATACCCAATCATGGCACCCACCTGTTCCCAATTAGCTTGCCCACCTGTGGGATGTTCCAAATAGGTGTTTGATGAGAATTCCTCAAATTTCTCAGTATTTTTTGCCACCTTTCACAACTTTTTTGTCATGTGTTGCAGCCATGAAATTCTGAGTTAATTATTATTTGCAAAAAAAAAATAATAAAGTTTATGAGTTTGAACATTAAATATCTTGTCTTTTTAGTGTATTCAGTTAAATATAGGTTGAAAAGGATTTGCAAATCATTGTATTCTGTTTTTATTTACATTTATCACAATATCCCAACTCCAATGGAATTGGGTTTTGTAAAATATGAATAAAATATGTGGCTCGGATGGCAACAGATGTTGTTCCTAAACCTGAATGTACCTTTCAGCAGTGATAGAGCCTTCACAGATGTGAGAGTCAGCCATGGGCACCAACACACCCTCAGGCTATCACAGATTCTGGCTTTGACCTTTGACCTGAGATCAGTCTGGATGGTCCTTTTCCTTTTTAGTCTGGAAGACACTACAGCCATGATTTCCAAAACCTGTCTGAAAAGTGGACCACAGCAGGTTTTCCACTTTGGGTCAGTCCATCTCAGATGAGCTCAGGTCCAGAGAGGCCGATGCCATCTCTGGCTGTTGTTGATATCTGTCTTTGTCTTTGCATGGTAGAGTTTGAACTTGTACATGTAGAGACCAACTGTGTTTACCAACAATGTTTTTCTGAAGGCCTCCTGAGCCCGTGTGGTAAAAGTCTTTACAGACTGATGTGGGTTTTCAATGCAGTGTCACCTGAGGGGTTCAAAGGTCATGGTCATTAAGTGTTGGTTTTGAGGCTTCTGCTTATGGGCAGAGATGTCTCGGATTCTCTGAATCTTCTGACGATTTTATGGACAGTAAATGATCAAGTCTCTATATTATGTTTGTCAGCCATGTCTCTGTCTCACTCTGTCATTCTGTCTACCTTTCTGTCCATCTGTCTGTCCGTCTGTTTGTTTGTGTGTCAGTAGATAGCAGGATGTGTGTCAGACTGATACTGTACTGAGTAAACATTCTCGTTCAGTCCTTTTTTAGCTCAACATGTTTCTATTTTAGTTTTTTTTTTTTTCAGTTCCTTTTGTGCATTTTTCTGATCTGAATTAAGCCTTACAGCCACACAGATTTACTTTATCCACTATTAATAGTGTGTAGTAGTATTACAGTAAAGATTTGCCGTATTTAAAGTATTGTACTGTACTGCAGCATTTTACAGGTGGGAAGCACCATTATTTTAAAGTCATATGAGTCAATGCAGCATATCTCAGGTTTATGGTATATTACTATAATTTTTCCTGTGCACCACAGAAGACAAGTATTTAGCGTCTTGTACTCAGTTACCTCACTAACTACAGTAATGTGTAACTTGACTGTAGTTTTCAAATGGCTGTGCAAAAAGTGTATAGTGCTGTTTTGGGCATTTTCAGGTAGTTTCACAATGATCTGACTTGTTTCTTTTTTTTATCATTTGAAACACTGACGGAGTGAACGGTCAAAATGAAAACATGACAACATCATTTGACAAACTTGTTTAGAAACAGTGTCAGGACTCTTTATTTTAATGACACAGACACCTTCATTGACATGAATTCTTGCTTTCAAGGAATGAACTATTTATTTTGAGCAAGTGACAAGCTTTTGCTGGTTATCGACCTGGTTTTATAGTTTGTACGAATTGTTTTCAGAAATGCACTATCTGTTGTGCAAATGTAAATAGTTATGTGAGAAATGCACCAAAGCCACTGAGAAAAACTGTAAAAAAAAAATGATAATAATAAAAAAAAAAAAACACAGTGTGGGAGTCCTGGTTTCTATCTGATTGTGTTCTTCCGAAACGAAGATATGACAAACCACAAATTCTTCTCTAAGTTCAAACTCTCACGGACTAAGTTGTTGGTAAATATGGTACAGACAGAGGTTTGTTCATTTATATTTATGTGTTTTCTCCATTCAGGGTGTGCAGATTTCACATGCCACACTTTAGTACCTTTAAGACTTAAGACATCACTGAAGGGCAGAAACTTCAGCTTAGTGCAGTACATAACCAAACACTAAAACCCTGCAGCCTGTATGATATTTATTGATTTATCCCCTGTGTGTCTTCCGCCCACGCTGCTCTGTTCTGGAGGAGAATAGGAGGAAGAGGAGTCCAGCCGGGAAGAGGAAGATCTCAGACACAAGAGGAGGAAGTGGAGCATCTCTCTACATCTCTGCTGGAACAACAGTGAACATCTGCACCTCTGTCCATCTCTCTCTTTCTCCATCTCTCTCTATCAGTCTTTCCTCTGTCCATCTCTCTCTTTCTCCACATCCCTACCCCCCAAACACAGCTCAGTTTCAGCAGATGTCTGTCTCACATTGGACTGGTTCTGCTCGAGGTTTCTGCCTGTCAAAGGTAGTTTTTCATCTCCTGTTTCAGGGTTGGGTTTTTGTCAGTGCAACCAAAAGAAAAGGCTGTTTTGTTTAGAGCCATACTGCTCAAAATGAACAAAGCTTTTTAAGCATAAAATTATGATGATCGCAAAAACTGACAAATCAAAAACATCCTGTAAAAACTGGCACTTCTAAAGAAAAAAATTGGTACCTCTTCGGATTATGTTACGCACAATGTAACATAATCTGTGCAGTATTTCTGTTGGTCGTCTTTGTATGACCAAATAAAAAGTCTGGGTGTGGGGAGCCCTTCACCTGCCCTGATTACCTCCTTACGTGATTCTCTGATCCTGCAGCCAACAGTCTTTAAGTTTCTCCAAAACAAGACTACGAAATTAACTAAAGGGAAAAGGATAGTCAATAAAAAGGCAAAACTGTCGTGGATTGAATGTAGAGGGGTGGATTACTGTAAATAATTCTCCATGAAATATAGTTTTTTTTGTCCTGCTCCTGTTTCAAATTCCAGTCCGTGTTTCCTGTCTTCTAACCCTCAATCTTGAATACAGTCCGGGTTTTCTCTATCACTCTCCGGAAGTCAGGAAGTTGATTTGTAACAACAACGGAGACTGACTGTATCCCAAAAATGGATTAAAAATCAGAAATAGTTTTATCGATTTGAAGACTCAGGCTGTTGGAGTACCTGATTTATCTGATGATGTCTAACACGGCGAGGAGTGGGGACATTATTCACCTGAATGTTGGAGGGAAAAGGTGAGGAGTGGCTAACTCCGGCTAGCTAGCTAACAAGCTAACCGGGTAAATACATGGATGAAGGGTCGTTTATGTCTGTTATTGTCCCACTGAGGAGGGATTTATAAGTATTTGAAATAAAAAAATAAAAGCATCTGCAGCCTCTCTGACTCTGTTGTAACTCGTTTACAACTCAAAAAGTCTCGATTCATTAGCTACTTTAAAGGTGTGTTGGATTTATTTGATTTAAAAATCTGTCAATTATTAGTTTCTTTAACTTTATATACTGATGTTGTTTTGCCCAAAAAAACTGTCACACACAAAGCAAAGAAACTTTAAGAGGCTAAACTGAAGGGCATATATATGTATGTATATATGTGTGTGTGTGTGTGGGTGTGTGTGCGTGTGTGTGTGTGTGTGTGTGTGTGTGGAGAGAGAGACGGGGAGAGATTATTATGTCCTAAAGATATGAAGGACTCCTCTGTTAGAACCAGGCTCAGCAGAACTCAGTGAAATCACAGCAAATCCTTACCTTACTCCAATAAATAAACAGGAGGCAAGTCAGTTGGTATTGGCTGATAATGCCGATGTCACACTGTTGATGTTTTTTTCTGCATTTGACAAACAAAATAATTTAACAGCAACAAGAGATGAGAAATCCTTTATTCTATGTTCATTACAATCTATCATAGGTAGTTACGTCAGTGAGTGACGTGTCTTAGATGGACTTTAAACGAACTGATGAAAAAAGAGAAACACGCAGGGTTTTGCTTTAGAGCACATTGCTGACATTTGTGTTAGAAGCGCATTATCCCAAACTTCATAACAGAGCTTATATTAAACGCAGGCAAGTGACTGTCTTAGATTAGATTAGTTGTTATTTAGGATGTGTAAAATAGTTTTCCTTAAGAAGAGAGCTGTGATATCAGCCTTGTGAGGGATGATGCTGATAAAGTCAGAATACCAATAATTGGCCCAAAAAATTGGCAAAGCAATTCATTAGTTTATCTCTAGTTTCTACACTGTATCTACTAGGTAGCAGCTCTGGGATCCTCACGCTAAGAAGGAGCTTTTACATTTGAATATTTGAACAGATTTTAATCTCAGAGACTGTGTTTTGAAACTGAAACTTTAAGACATATAGAAAAAAAGTCAAAGCTGAAGAACTCTGTCGTATGAAGAAAAGTTAATACGTTTATTTTTGTTTGCTTGAAGGTTCAGCACCTCCCGGCAGACGCTGACCTGGGTACCTGACTCTTTTTTCTCCAGGTAAGTAAAGAAAACACTCACTGTCAAAATTTCAGCAATTGGCAGCTCAGTAGAGTTGTTTTTTTTTTTTTTTTTTAAGAGCAACAGTTTATTGGATTATTTGATTTCTGCCAAAATTCAAAAAGCTGCTTGTTTAAAATGCAGCTCTACACTGCTGATAATTTTCCCCCTGAGTTTACAAAGAATCAAGCATGTTACCTGAGTCAAATGAAGCCCATCAGCAGAGTGTTAAATAAAAGTGTAAAAACTGAATATTTCTGAAAGTTTCGGTTTCTCTCCTCAGTCTTCTGAGTGGTCGAATCTCCACTCTGAAGGATGAAACTGGAGCTGTAAGTAATGACACTCTCTGTCAATGTTAGCTCATTAAGTGACCTAGTGGTCACATTTTGACTCCTTGTCTCTCCTTTCTCGCCGTAGATTTTCATCGACAGGGACCCCTCCCTATTCGCCACCATCCTCAACTTCCTGCGGACGAAAGAGCTGCACCCCCGCTCCATTAACGTGCACATGCTCATGCATGAGGCAGAGTTTTATGGGATCACACCGCTGGGTGAGACACTCAGACTTCTGCAGAGACTGGACAGAATAAATCTAATGTAGCACGTACAGAAGTTATTTTTGTTTTTATTTCTTTAAATTTTTCTCGAACAAAACTTCAGCCGTTTTGTTTTACTTTCATGTTGTTGGTTATCAATTGAAATCCATAAAGATCTGTTTTATCTATCAGTGCGTAAGCTGCAGCTGTGTGATGAGCTGGACCGATCGTCCTGTGGAAACGTGCTCTTCAACGGCTACCTGCCTCCACCAGGTAGGCCACCGAAAATCATACAGTGTGTTACTGCGTCATAAATATCAGATAAAACTCACTTACTTCACCACACTAAGTGTTTTTGTAAATGTGGGTCCTGACTCCCTGCAGAGAACCAGATTGGTTGGGATTTGTCAAACAGAGACATACCCCTCAGGAGATCTGATCCCTGACTCCTGGATAAATTCTGTTTTGCCTCTCTGACCGCACTCCTGTCTGTGTCACCCCAGTGTACCCAGCAAAGCGTCGTAACCGTCACAGCGTGGCGGGATCACAGTTCATGGCAGGCCGAGTCATGTCAGCAGAGAGAGCACCGGTCAGACGCAGCAACACGATGCCTCCAAACCTGGGAAACTCTGGGATACTGGGCAGAGCCAGCACTGAGGAGAGGACGCCTGGAGGTAAAGACACACAGTCAGACATACACATGCTGAGATTTACAGTTTGGATACTTTGTTTATTTAAGTTTAATGTTCCATTTTGAGCAATTAAAAATCTACCACTGGTGAAAAGTCAAAAATTACTTCTGGATCAGGATCTCTTCTGGGCTGTAATGATTCTGTCTGGTTATTTAATTCTTCCCTCTAACATATGATTGGTTCGTTTATCTGCAAAGCTTGTCATTGTGAGTATAAGTTTACCTGAGTGTGTGTGTTTGTGTGCAGGCCAGCTGTCAGACACAGGCCTGGTTAGGATCATCTGCGGTCATCACAACTGGATCGCTGTGGCCTATGCACAATTTGTTGTCTGCTACAGGTAAACAAAAGTGAGAGGCAGAACTGAAATACAGTGTGTTGCAGTGAAAGGATGTAATACCTTGTTGGCCCAGTAGATGGCATGTGCACTATGGTCTAGGTTGAGGAAAACACTTTTTTGACCATTAAAACTGTTGTTCCCAAACTTTTTGGAGGATGAAAAATGCTCATATTTTAAATCTGATTCTCACTTTATTTTCTGTCAGAGTAAAAGAGTCAACAGGCTGGCAGCAGGTCTTCACCTCTCCTCGTCTAGATTGGGTTATCGACAGAGTCGCTCTGAACGCCAAAGTGATGGCTGGCTCGCTGGGAGACAACGATAAGATGGTGGCTGTTGCCTCAGGGACAGAGATCATCCTGTGGGCCATCTGCCCTGATGGAAACGGGAATGAAATCGGTGTGTTTGCCTTGAATTTTACAAATACAGAGACACATTTTTTCAGGAATATGTCAGCAAAGCATCAGTGAAGACGACAAACTCTAAAAAAATCTTTTCATCTCAGCAGCTCAAAATTAAAACATCCCCTTGACAGTCGTGTGGTTTCTCCTTCAGGTGTCTTCAGTCTGAACGTGCCTGTGGAGGCTCTCTTCTTCGTTGGTAATCAGCTGATTGCTACCAGCCACACGGGGAAGGTCGGGGTTTGGAACGCTGTCACTAAACACTGGCAGGTGGGTGGAGCCATGGATCCAAAACCATCTTTAATCAGACACAAAAAATGTTCAATTCAACCTTCTGTCAGAATAGCAGACGGCCAATCAGTGTAACGAATATAAACACAGGCAGATGGAAGGTGTAATGTTCTTTTCTGTGCCCCTGCAGAATCAGGATGTTGTTCCCATCAGCAGCTATGACACAGCCGGCTCCTTTCTCATCCTCGGCTGCAACAACGGATCCATCTACTACATAGGTGAGCCACAGTAACCTCCTACACACACACACACACACACACACACACACACACACACACACACACACACACACACTTTCTCTTTGTGTACAGCTGTTAAAGAAACCTGTATGAGTGTTTTTCAGGCTGATTTAATGGCATAGACTCTCTAAATATTGTTCTTATTTGAAATGTTTTGTTTAAAAGTTTTAATTACTGTTTTTGTGTTTTTCTTTTAGATGTGCAGAAGTTTCCTCTGAGGATGAAGGATAATGACCTGCTGGTGACAGAGCTGTACAGAGACCCGACTGAGGATGCCATCACAGCACTCAGTGTCTACCTCACCCCTAAAACCAGTGAGGAATACTAATAATACTAATAATACTAATAATACTGCTCATTTTTTTCCTGCTACTGTAGTTAAAACCTTTAAAGCACATTTAAAAAGTTTTCAAACTTTCAAAACAACTGAAGCAAGTTTACTCCTGCACTGTTGCTACAGACCCCATAACTGTGCAGAATAATCTATAAATGTAGACTCAGTCTTTAGTCCAAGTCTGAACCATGTTGGTCATGTGATGATCAGGTGACAGTGGGAACTGGATCGAGATCGCGTACGGGACGAGCTCAGGAACAGTTCGAGTCATTGTTCAGCATCCAGAGACAGTTGGCTCGGGGCCACAGCTCTTCCAAACCTTCTCAGTCCACCGCAGCCCCGTCACCAAGATCATGCTGTCAGAGAAACACCTGATCTCAGGTAAGTCTGAAGGGCCAGCTTTTGAATGGGTTAAGTTAAGACCAGAATCATGTGGGTATTTCAATTAACATTGGTCCTGAATTTAAAAAAAATGAACTTGATCAGATCAACCCAATCAAGATAAAGACTTAAAATGATCAAATACAGATTATGAGTCTGATCGAGACCATGTGCCGTGAACTTTGTCCACAGGGGGATGCCAAAATCCACACAGACTGAAAGATGCTGATTACTAAAACAAAGGTCCCTGTGTTTTGCTCTATCAACTAAAACACTGAAGTAATGCTGATGTAAATAGCAAAAAAAGTAAAGTTTTTCTTATTGTCTACACATTCATAGGTTTTTTTTCTGATGCTAGAGGACATATCATGAGAAAACTAAGAGCAAAATTGCATCTCTTGAGTATTTCTGCATTCAAACAGCTGTGAATCTCTGTCAGACCTAAACAGCAGGTTCAGACACAGAGGGATTTTCTAAGTCACAAGTCCATACTCTGCCCCCCGCGCCCCTATCTGCAAGCCAGACCCCGAGAAATGCAGAGGACAATCGCAGAACAAGTGTGTGCAATGCTCGTAAGAAAGCTTATAATGATATTAGCTTCCATCATGTCTCCGAAGACATTAGTGTCCAAGAGCGGAATAGCTCCTATGTTACCTGCCACTTATACTACACCAGCAATGTTAGGCTGCAAGCTAGCATCTCCGCCCACGACTCAGGGGTGAATTGTTAAGGAGCTACTGGAGCTCTGCAGAAGAAAAGCCTTTAAAAATGACACAGGTAATGTGGTATTGGCTAAAAACAGAAAACACTTTAAATAGTAAAAAAAATAAATTGATAAATGAGATCCGACAGTGACTTTAAAATGTTTCCTCTTTGAGTTCTGTGAAACAATACTCTGAGGGTTCAGGAAAGTCCTGGTTTTTGGGATTAAAGTTACCCCTAACCTACTGAAAAGTTTGACACAGAAACAAGATTTGATTACCTGGACCAATCTGATTTTCTCGTCCCTCTGGTCTTGAAGAACCTTTTTTTAAGATTTGATACAGTCAAGAAGCCTTATATCCGAGCCCTGATCTTAACTTTGAAATTGGGCGCTGTGTTATTCTTAGTCCTGTCTCTGATGCTCTCTGTGTCTGTCGTTCAGTCTGTGCAGACAACAACCATGTGAGGACGTGGACAGTGACGCGGTTCAGAGGGATGATCTCCACCCAGCCAGGATCCACGCCACTCACCTCCTTCAAGATCCTCAGCCTTGACGACATTGACGGACATGGAGGCTGCAGCGCCGGGACAGAGATCGGTAACTCACTAACAGACAGAAGTGTGAGGGCAGAAGGTCAAAGGATGATTAATAAGAGTCTTTCTATCCTCAAAGGTCCACTTAAGAGTTTCCTCTTTCAGCTTTCAGGGCTCCTTTAGACCAACAGTCATGAATAATTAGACTGACAGCAAAGATCAAAGTGAGACAGTGACAGTGGTTCTGGTTTTAGGTCCATATGGGGAGAGAGACGATCAGCAGGTGTTCATCCAGAGAGTCGTCCCGGATACCGACAAACTCTACGTCAGACTGTCCTCTAATGGGAAAAGGTGAGAGAGGACGCTACTCCTTCAGTGGCATTAAATATTTGGCAGGAATCAGGGGGACATGGTTTCTTTGTTCTGGAATTATAGGAAATAAACGTTACAAATAACCTTAATTTAACAAATCAGAGAATTTAGTCAAACTAAAATCAGCTCCTGAAACATCTCTTATTTAACATATAGCTGTTAAAACCAACCTGATTTTACCTGTGTGTGCGCGTGTGTGTGTGTGTCAGGGTGTGTGAAGTGCGCTCAGTAGATGGCACCTCCATCACAGCCTTTATGGTCCACGAGTGTGAGGGCTCCAGTCGAATCGGCTCTCGACCGCGGCGCTACCTGTTCAGCGGCCACGGCAATGGCAGCATTCAGATGTGGGACCTGACCACCGCCATGGAGATCGCTGGGAAGGTCGACATCAGAGGTGAGACTGGACAGCAAACACAGTTTGCGCAGTTTATGAATGGTCCATAAACTTTTGTGTGATGGCTGTGAGCTCTGTGATTGGTTGGAGAGTAAGGAAAGTTCTCATTGTTCTTTCTGCAGCTTTGGGCGGGCCTACAGAGGAGGAGCTGCTGGAGCTGCTGGATCAGTGTGACCTCGCTCTGACCAGGACACCTGACAGCACTCCAAGAGCCTCCACCTGCAGGTACACACACACACACAAGCACAGAAAAACACACATTCTTCCTTAAAGATAAATCTTGTGCCAACATTACCTACAATGCCTCTGAGTTTGGCTGTTTTTCAGTAGTCTGACAGCTTGTGCTGTTGCTTAGAAATGGTTTTCTATTTTCTTTTATCTCAGACATGTAACCTTTTTATGTACCTTGACATGTTTCGGCAGAAAGTTTCGCCTTCCTTGGAAATGTGACATTTTTGAGGAAGGTACTTTCCTCTTTCTGACGCACTTTTTGTTCCGCCGAAACATGTCAAGGTATGTGAAAAAGATGACATGTCTGAGATAAACAAAAATGGAAAACCATTTCTAAGCAACTGAAGACATAATGAACATCATTCAACTTGTGCTGTTGTTGTTGACTGATGTTGTCTTTGTTGTTGTTGTTGATGACTGTTGTTGTTGACTGTTATTATTGTTGTTGTTGTTGTTGTTGTTGACGACTGTTGTTTTTGTTGATGTCTGTTGTTTGCTCTCTGTCCCTCCAGTCTTCACTCTCAGTTCAGTGACACCTTCCGGTCAGAGCGTCTCCACTCCTCAGGAGGAGGAGGGAGAGGAGGCGGAGCTTTAGGTTCCTCTGCCTCACTCTGTGGTAGCCTCCCCAGACAGGCACCACCCCCTGTCCCCCTCACCAAACCTAACTCCACATTCTCACCTGGACCTGGACCACCTAGCCTCAGTGTTCCAGCCTACGCTCACAACCCCTCATCCAGTCCTCGCCCCCACAGACACCATGACAGGGACAGGGAGTGGGGGTCTATACGCAGGGGGAGCTTCGTGGAGCGCTGTCAGGAGCTGGCGAAGGGTTCAGAGGCATCTGTGGGTTCTGGTTTTGGAGTCCCAGCAGGGTCAGAGGGTGTGAGGCGGAGCTTAGCTGTGTGCAGTGAGCTAGAGGCCAGATTTGGCATCAAGACTCCCACCACCTTCTCAATCACACCTGGTCCTCGCCAAACTCCAGGAACACCTTCATCATCCTCATCACAGCGCAGGACCGCACCTACTTCCCCAACAAGCCCCGCCCCTCCTCCACCCCCCACTGTAAGCCCAACGCGCTCTCAAGCGCCTGTCTCACCACGCCGCAGTGCTGGGGCGTCTCCTCAAACGTCTCCTGCGACCCCTCCTGCTGATGTCACAGCAACTTCAGAGAGCCCAGCCAATCCTGACAGTTCGGCTTCAGCCCCCCCCACCAGCCCCAAACCACACATGAATGAGACCAGCTTCTGATAGGCTGTTTGGACTGAGACTATGCATCAGATAAGTCAGAAACCAGGAGACTAAAACTTTGACGATTAATGAGGACAGGTGATCGAGTAAAAAGACAACAAAGGGCTTTAAGTTCTAAATCACAAGCCCCGCCTCTTTTTATAGCTGTACTGTAAGTGTCCAAAAGTCTAAAAACTCAAATAAATATTGTCTTTAAACCGTGCTAATATGGGATCATGTTTCTGTGTATTTTCTGTCATCTCTGCTGCTCCTGGTGGAGGAAACATGTTACTGCAGCTTTACCGGCACTGATTGTTATTTTGTACCTTTTATAACCAACAGAAAAAAGTTTGTTTTGTTGAATTTGTATCTTTTTAACTGAGCCTTTTCTATCAGTTGTTTGTATTAAAGAAAATTTGTATAGAGACTCTTATTTTTGAAATGTGTTTTTGGTCATACACTGTGATAAACAAACAAACTTTGTCTACAGCCTGGATGTCTTTCACACTTTCAGCTCTGCTGTTAAATCTACCAAATTCAAAACTTTCTCCAAAAAGCAAACCAGCCAATAGAAACTAACACAATCACTTTATTTTATCAGCTTATATTTTTCAGATAATTCCTCAAGTTATGCATTTATAGAAGTCGGACTTTATTTGGAGAAAATCCCACCAAATTTAACATCATCCTTTTTTTGGTACTGAGATACTTGGCTGTTTGCTTTGACTTGTACTGAATACAGAATCTAAAAATTACTTTTTTTCTGTTTTCTTTTTTTATTATTAGTTTTGGAAATTTTTGGAACAATATCGGTAAAATGTGTCACTGTAACAGTTTATTTCTTTCAAATTAATTTTGTAAAACAAGGACGGTCATCCATATCTACACCTCCTGCTTCTTCACCTTGTTATGACCCCTTTTTTAACTTTTCCTTAAATGTTTGTGAAATTGTGATGTCTGTTTCTTCATATGGTTTGTTTCACTTTTCAGCAGATTTCAGCTTTAAAACTTAAGTTTCTCTCTTTGTCTCTGTAAACATTTGTTCTTCAGTCTGTTCGTAAATTCAGGAGTTTCCTTGAACTTAAAATAAATCAAAATAAGACTAACATTGTGCAACTTGGATCATGTAAAAGCTGCAGCCTTTGATTTAAGATTTTAATTTTACGGGGCCCAAAAGTGTTCAATATAAATTAATTAAAAGGCCATTTCATAAACAATGAGTACAAACTAACCAGCAACTTTAAAAATTAAAGAAACTTCAGGTGTTTGAGAGGTGTTTGTATATGTTTTGTCAGTCATATGAAATAAACAATCAATCACAAATTTGCTCCAAGTTTTTTTCACTCTTCAGGATCATAAAGTGAATAGACTGTAAAATAATTTGCTGCTTGTTCCCCATTAAGAAAAAGTCACTTCAAAGCTGCTTTAATATTTTCAGACTCATAAAAAATATCTTTGGATCGGGAAACATTTGACAGACTAATGTACAATTTATCTGAATAATTACATGAAATGAAAAAATAAACAAAAGAGCTGAACTCAGATCAGCACTTTGTTTACGTTTTCATTCATCAGGTTTTAAATTGTTAAAAATTGAAATATTTGACAAATTAAATAAAAGTTTTTATTCCAAAAGCATTAAATGAACAGCTCTTCTCTTTGTAAAGTTAAACTAATCAGCAGCAGATAGAAAACAATCTGTGGCAAATCAGTTGATCACATTTAGACAGTAGATATCAATAAAACTTGAACTTTTCTTTGTTTACTGAAGTCAGATGTTTTTCTGACTTGAACAGCAAACCTACCAAACCTAACTAGAAAAACAGCTGGACCCCCAGCAGCCTCTGAGTCCGTCTGATGGAAGGTCAAAGATCCGCGCCCCTGAGTTAATTCAGTTTGTTCATCCAGGATGATGATTGTGGTCTCAGATTGTAACACTTCTGGACTCACGATGGCCCTCGTCTTAGTCTGACCCGGTTCAGGCCTTGGCATCCAGCATCTCCAGCAGCAGTTTGTGGAGGGGGACTCGGCGCTGGCGGTGCAGCCTCAGGAGAATCTGCACAGCTCTGTCTGCGGTCTGTCTCAGCAGAGGGAGAGTCATCAACAGGCGGCCCACTCTGCGCAGCTCTTTCCGGGACGACTCGTAGTCCTGCAGGGCCTCGTGGAGCTCATCCTTGAATCTCTGCACCAAGTCTGGACAATCCAACGGGTCTACGTCTTAAGGACAGATAGAGGACAGTCAGACACCATGTACTCAGATACCATTCTTGGACCCAGCCTGCAAGAAACCTCCTCCACTGTTGGCATGCTTTTAAGTAGTCTTTTGCTGTTTAAAGGCACAGATTGTAAAACACAGAGGCTTGCACTTTAAATCCGGAAAGGAACAACATCTTTGTTTTACATTTCAGAGATTACCAAATCCAAATTTCCAAAACTCGAAATAGGACTACATGTGACATATTTTGTACACAGGGGGCGCCAAAGTCAATACAAACTGAATGATCCTGCTCCTGAGCAAATGTTTGGATTTACAGGTGCAGACTGTAAAGGGACTTTAGCTAAACAGGTTTATCAGCACTTGTCCTCTGCTGTTTATTTTTTATGTCAGTATTACTCTGTGAAACAGGAAGTTTTTTTTTTTTTTTTGAACAAAGGTGTTTATTTGCCGTTATGTTGCAATACAAAACAGGAAGTTTTTATTGCTCAGTCATACAACCTTCAGTCTTTTTAATATTTCATATGCTTGATCAAGGTCCATCTCATCTACATGCTCATTTCTTAATAACACACCAAGTCCGGGTGTGTTACTATCTGTACATACACTCATGTATATAGAATAAGTTATTCCAAGTTGTCCATTGTCTGTTGAACTTTGTTCTTCTGCTTAAAACCACAGAGAGCAGACACAGACAAATAACTGACTGAATGAGACAAAAGAGGGCATGAGACAGTCAAGTGGGAGACAAAAAGACAGGTCAAGGTCAGCCTGTGGGTGTTTGTACCAGACACACGCACACACACAGATGAGCATCCTCTTCCATTGTGTGTGTGTATTGACATTCAAAGTGTGTGTATGTCCTGAGTAGACACTCTGTGTGTCCTCCAGCAGACTGTTAACAGTTTATGCATCCAGAGACGAGTTTATCGATACACAGTATTGATCTGAGGCTCAGACAGTGAGAGACTGACCAGATTCAGCTGGAAGGACTACATGCTGTCCCATCATGCACTGCTTCCACAGGGGTGTTTAATACAACCGCAGATGTTATTGATCAGCTGCCTACACACAGCTGTTAGCATCATTAGCTTCAACAGCAACAGCTGATGCTTCAGGCTGCTTTGATCTGATTGGTCCTCTTCCTTGGTGTCTCATTTTAGTCTCTTATGTGAAATGTTTCCCTGCAGGCCAGAAGCCTCCTCCACTGCTGCCATGCTTGGAGCTGAGAGCAGCAAACAGAGAGTCAGAATGTGTGTTAGGACTGAAATTTAATTGGACGAAGTCATAAGATTTGTTAATCAATGAAGACTTCATTCAGAATCAGACACACGTCAGATCTTAATGGAAAAAAAGTACACCAAAGACACTGAGAAAAAAGGAAGGTTTGTGGAGTTAATCAATACTGTGATGCTTCATCTCCCAGAGTCTGATCAATATCAATAATCACTCCTCTGGGATCAATAAGTAACCCCATCAGCACCCAACTAGACCCCCTTATGACTGTGGATCAATATCTGAGTGTGTGTGTGTGTGTGTGTGTGTGTGTGTGTGTGTGTGTGTGTGTGTGTGTGTGTGTGTGTGTGTGTGTGTAAGTACCAGAGTTAGCCAGAGCCATGGCCTTCAATGTCACCACCTCCTCCGGGTCCAGGTGCATCACCTGGTATTTTGTGATGAGGTGACGTAGCGCCTCATACAGCTCAGCCAATCCCACGGCTCGACACTGAGCCTCACCTAGTTGCAAGTTCCCAGAAAACACAAGCTCCTCCCCGACAGCCCCATTAGACCTCCAGGCCACACCCACCAGCAGAACCTCCATCCAACCACTCTGCAGCAGAGACATCTGGTCAACCAATGAGAGCATGGAGAAGCCTGAGAGGGGGCCGGGCGTAGCAGGAGTTCACCAGAGGTAAAATAAGGGGAAAGAAAATAAATATGTAAAAAAATAAAAAGGACAAAACAAACTGTTGAAAAACAAACTTAAATCAACTTTGAAAAGTAAAAGATGAAATGGCCAGGTTGAGGTGAATCAATATAGCAACTTATATTTAACAAAATAAAATAAAGATATGATTTAAAGTAATTCAGTGAGACCGACATCTAACAGCATGAAACAAAAAAAAATTAAGTACTTTTGCCTTGGAAAAAAATTGCTAATTTATCATCTGTAATTACATTAATGTTTTCTGTTTTGTTTTTCTGGGACTAAGAATTGGGAGCACATAACTCCAGTGCTTTCCTCTCTTCACTGGCTCCCTGTTAGGTACAGGATCAATTTTAAGATTCTTAAATTTGTTCTTTAAGTCTCTGAATGGGCAGGCTCCGGAATATCTGTCTGACCTTGTTAAATTGTGTCAGTCCTCCAGAGCCCGAAAGTCAGCTATCAGTTGGTTTTAGACGTTCCTCGATCCTTTTTTAATATCTAGGGGAGAGCGAGCATTTTCTGTAGTGGCTCCCACTCTGTGGACATGCTTTAGCTCTGACAGTGCGCACTGCAAATAGCCTTTCCATTTTTAAAACACTTCTGTTCACCTGTTCACTTTAGCTTTTGGGGAAGTATAGTTACGTTTATTGGGTCTTTTATTTATTTGCCACGTTTGTCTATATTGTTGTTTTATATGTTTTATGCTTTTATTGTTTTTATAGTTTCTGGCTATTTTACTGTAAAGCACTTTGGTAGGGCACTGGCTGTTTTTAAACGTGCTATATACTGTACAAAAAGCTGACATTGACATTTTATTCTGGGTTTTTTATTTGTTTTGTTTTGTTTGTTTTGTCTAATTTTATGTTGTGTGTGTGTGTGTGTGTGTGTGTGTGTGTGTGTGTGTGTGTGTGTGTGTGTGTGTGTGTGTGTTTTATTTATTTATTTTTTTTGTACCTGGGATCTGTTTGGCCCAGCTAATCAGGACCAACAGCTCTCTGTTCAGGAGGTCACACAGGGTTAGCAGGGTCCTCATGCTGCTGTCATTGGTTGATTCATCCAGAATAGCATCCAGGGGGGCGGGCTCGGTCAGCAGCAAATGAGAAATCACTTTGTTTCCTAAAGAAGGACAGTTATTAGAAAAAACATAAACCTGAAGTTTGATTATATTGAAAACCTTTGGTATGAACTCACGGCTGCAGACAGGCAGGGCATATGAGGTCTTTGAGTAAAAATTGAGTCCAGGCTCTGCCCTCCTTTTATACTTCTGTCGCCCTCCTCTCACCCGGTCCATACGAACACCTGAAACATAAACACAGGAAGGGTTCAGTGTTTTTTTTCTTCTTGATATCTTTAAACTTAAACTCAGCTTTCTAACTACATAACCCACTTAACGGCGAAACTTTACCATGCTGCAAAGGCTCATGGGAAGTTTCGCTGACAAATCAAAGGACATTTTAAAGTTCTTTACCCTCTCTCATCATCCCGGCCTGGAGACACTTCTGGAAGCGGCAGGCCTGACAGGCTTTCCTCCTTCGCTTTGTGATCTCACACTCATTCATCACCGGACAGCTGTATTCAATGTTGCCTTGGTAACCAAACACAGGGAGTACAAACAGTGACAGTCAATGACTTCACTTTAACTTTAAGATAATAATACAAATAAAACAGAATATTCAAAGTCTTTGGAAATGACAGAAGACAGCAGGGGTAGACTAGCAACTCCTGTGACAAAACAGCTGTTAAATTTCCTGTTTCTTCTTGAAACTTCTTATCTTTGTCATTTTTTAATTCAGCGAGTTATTGATTGTCAGTTAGACCCCCAGCCACTCTCTAAACTATCATTACTTCAGCTAACACTTCTGATTCCTGTCAGTATAGATGAGAGCAGATACAGACAGACACTCCCAGTCTCATCATGTTTTAAAGCTGATTTTCTCTTTTAGCTTCACACACTAATCAATGCACAGAGCGCTGATGTATTGATCACTTCCTCGTATTAATTCACTTATTGACTGACACAAACACACTGGCTGCTCTCACCTTGGATGGTTCTCTTGAAAAAAGCTTTACAGGCCTCACAGGATGCAACGCCATAGTGATACCCGGAGGCATAGTCACCGCATACCAAACAAAGTCTCTTTGGTCCTGTGGACCCCACTGGCACCAGGTAGTCCCCTCTTAGGATAGAGTCCACCTGCAGGGTAAACCCAGCATTACTTCTGCATGGTACAGCAGTCAGGACTACATGGTGCACTTGCTGCAGACTTATTTCAGAAGGTACAGGATCCACATTCGGAGCTCTACTGAGTATTCAGACCACCAGGTGTGCAGAAAATTTACCTGTACTGCAAATGAGTCCATCTGTGACAATGAAAACACCACTGAAGCTTCTGAGACCATAGCACCACCTCTTATGTTTCCTCCACCAATGGAACTAGGCCCTGTTGGAGAGTCAGGCTCTGGCATTCCACAGAAGAGGCTGTAGGAGGAGGAGGAGGAGGAGGAGGAGGAGGAGGAGGGAGATGGGCTTGGCAGGAGGAAGGTCTGGTGCGGGGGGCTTGGATCCAGGATAGAGGAAGGACTAAGGGGGGAGGAATAGAGGAGGGAGGAAGCTGGAGACTGAGCTTCATCAGTGGAGGGCGAAGAAGAGGTAGAGGAGTCCAAAAGGCTGAATAGGAAGAAGAAAAAGAATTAATTTTAACCTGATGAAGATCTGGATCCTGACTTTATTAAAAAAAATATACATATTATAATTAAAAAAAAACTCTGCCTGTTGACACTGTGGCAGTGTTTTAGTCTCACTCTGTTTTGTTAGTGAGGAAATAATGAATAGAATTAAATATTAAGTAAATATTCTCATTATGTGAGATTCTGGATTTTTCTTGTTCATATGCTGTACAAAAAAATCACTAGAATTCCGGCAAAAGACATTATTATATTAAAAGAATTATTATTTTAGGTCCAATAAAAAAACTCAGGATTTAAAACTGAACAATAAACAAATGAATGCCTTAGTTATCAATGATAAAGTTTGTTGTGAAAATTTTTGGTCCAACCTATAACTCTAATGACAAAATGTAGCATGAAATAAAATAAAATAAAAAAAATAACAATGCAACATCAAATAACATTATAAATCAAAATATTTTTTTATTTAATCTAATTAATGGAATTAATGACAAACTTTAATTAAATCACATTTAAATACAGTTGAAATTTTATTAAAATTGTATCAAAATTTTATTTAGACAGAAAGATATTTAGATATGTAGGTAATTATAAAATAACATCGGATTACATTAAAAACTCAAATCAAATCAATTTAATTTAGAAAAAAATAGTTATTAATTTAATTTAATTTTAAATGATCTCATTTATAATATTAAGAAATTCAACATACATTCAGTTAAAAACAAGTTCCTTTTCATTTTATTATAACATTAAATTTAAAAACAAAAATTTGATTGATTAATGTGGTAAAAAAAAAAAATATATATATATAAGGCATAAAAAATTACATAAAATAAAGTATGTTAAATAGAATTAGATAAGATTAAATACCAACAAAATGAAAATTAAGTTAAAGACAAAAAATAGGGATAAAATACAATTTAATTTATTTATTGTGAGTGCAAAGATATTTTTGACTTTGAACAACAACAACAACAACAACAATAATAATAATAATAATAATAATAATAATAATAATACTGTTATTATTGTTATAAGGGTGTGTTGTCAGCAGTTCCTCACCACTGTGGATTTAGGAAGTGATAGTCGTCTTTTAGACAGAAGTCCTTCAGCTCCATCCTGATCCTTGTCCTGATTCCAGTTCAGATCCAACAGCCTGACCCAGAAAACTCCCAAACCTGACAGATCCAGAAAAAAAAAAACTTCTTCAGTTGTGAATTTACAGACTCAGCTTTCACAAAAGCTTGCAAAAAAGAGATTCTGATGCTACTCCAAGGTCCAGTCAGAGAGTGGGAGAAAGTTTCCTGACCTCCTAGCAGCGTTCAGACCTGTTGGGGTCTGAGGTCTTTGCTGTGGATTTATGTGACTGTCCTGTCATTATATTTGAAGAGAAAGGAGGGGCCAGGCTTGGAGGATCAGCCAATCAGCATGCAGCATCACCAGTCTAAACAGGGATTGACTTCTTCTTCTTCTATCATCTCTATTGATTGGGACAGTGACAGATGTGGGTCACGGCGGCCCGAGGCTTATCTCTGCTGATGACAACCTGCAGCTTTAAAATGTTTTATACGATCAATAACAAAAAAAATCACAGCATGTGTATTTTCTATTTTACGAATGAAGAATCATTTAAGAAGAATACAACTATGATTGTTACTTGGTCAGTAAGAGGAATTTTGAAGGATTCTCAACTTTCAGTGCAGAACATCTGATTTTCTGTCTTTTTCACCTCTTTCTGTTTTGTAAACAAGTGGGTCAATTTAGATGAAGACTTCACAGAGTCTAAAATCCTCTATCAACTCTATAAAACAGTTATTCTGTTTGTGAAAGCGCCAAATACAGACAAGTCAATAAGTGGGAATGAATTAACCTCTGGACCACCCTGGCTCAGAACTGGGACTGATTTAAAGCACCTATTAGTAACTTTGGGTTTCTATGAACTCTTGCACCCCCTGTAGACAAAAGAGTCTTTGCTTGTCTTGTCCTGTACATAGACTGTATATACTATGGACAACTTGGTTCCATCTACCGCCTGTATACGGATTTGAAGCCAAAAAGCTCTCTGTATTTCAGGGATTTTTCTTCATTTCCTGAAACCAGCACTGCACAATAGCGATGCACGCATTCACCTGCGCAGTCGCTGAGAGTTGCTGATGACGCTCGGCTCAAACAGCATATCCCCCGGGGTGAGCTACGCAATCCCTGAACGCCCATAGGCTGTATCAGGTGTTAATCATAGAAAACACGAACCCCCTAATAACTTTTAAAAACTGAGCTTCACAGAAAAAAGAGGACTTGAGCACAAACCAGTCTTACAATAACTACATGTCAACATCACGAACAGGGGGGAGAAAAATGTATGTTCTGTGTAATAAATTTCTAAAGTTTGTCCACAGCCCCATAAACTTTGCTGGCGGAGGCAGGATTTATGACCTATACTGCAGCCTATCAACAGAGGGTGCTGTTCTCGGAGTGGCTTCACCCAGCAAGGAGGCAGACTCTGTCCATTCTATATACAGTCTATGGTCCTGTATATGCGTTAATTTTGACAGAAAATCTCATGCTGCTCATTTTTAACAGAGTAAACAGCAGACACCATTTGTCAAACAGAAATACTCAACTCAATTAACTATTTTAAGAGTGTCCATTTCATTTTTGAGAGTGCAAATGGTTAAATCAGCTGGTTTGTTGAGGGGTTAATGAGACGTGCCATCAGCAAAGAAACGCTTTCAGATGATGTTGAACTGTCAGAAAAAGAGAACTCATAAAAGTTCTCTTTTTCTGACATAAAACTCTAAAAGTTGCTGTATGTCTTTTCAAGTTAATTTAACAAACTGATTTTTAGAGGACATTTTGAAACATTTTAAAGAAATTTAAAGTGAAAACATGTTTCAGGTTTGTGTTGACAGGCAGACATAGAGAGTGGCAGTGAGGTGGAGATTAACACACCTGGAGGACGCTAATGCAGCAATTTTAAACCTGAAGATGTAACAACACACACACGCACAAAGACACACACTCTCTCCATCCTAATCTGACCCTCAGACGTTCAGGCTCAGATCTGTCTCACTTATGTCTGCAGTTTCATAAGAATGAAAAACTGGGTCTCTCTGTCCCACCCTTAGACAAAACTAACATTTTTCCTAAGTGTCAACAGGCAGAAGTGAAATGTTTTCAGCCTCCTGCAAATTGCCCTGACGTTTGTGATCAGGTTTACCCTGGTGACACTGTGCTATTGGGAATAAATCCTTCTTGTTAAGGGATTTTCAAAAAACAGAACTGAGTGTTTAATGCAGCTGATAAAGTATGATAGGAAACATAACACTGCCTAGATCCTTTAGACTTTATGCAGACTTTAGACATGTCTCAAAAATGTTTGAAGAACTTGCATGAGTCTTTTAACACACTTCCATGTCCAGAGTCTGGTTTCAGTTTCTGAGGATCCTCAGGACCTCCTGGTTTACATATGTACCTGTTTTTGAAAATCATCCAACCCTTTCAACATCAGTTTTGTTAACTTTCTTACCAGAAATGATCTGTAGTATCTGGAGTACTACACCACTATGCATTGCCTTAAGGTATTTCTCAGGAATAGCCTGAGAAACCAGTTGTGAACTGTGGGCGTGTGTTTATCTGTTTATCATTAGTGATACCTGGGGTGAGATAGCCTAGGAGGGGCACTTCACTGGTTACAGGCCCCAGGTCATAAAACACCACTCTAGGTTTACCAAACACAAGATGGTAAGGAAAGATAATTTGGGAATGTAGGAGGGCTTACATCCCTACATCTATATAACAGGGTCACAAACTCTGGTTTGGGAGAGCTGGACATCATTGGCAGTCCTCTCCCAGCAACTGCAGTGCTGTATTGATACTGGTTTTGTCTTTATAATAAACTCCTCTTATACAAGCAAGCCAGTGTCACGAAGCCTCCTTCTGCATCTACACATCGAGGACAGCCCAGACACAACAAATTGGCGTCACGAACAGGATCAGCTACGGCCTTCAGAGGATCACGGCAGCTTCAACGCATCTATTCCTGCACCACATTGGCGCCAGGTGAGTGTTTGACTCACATAAAGTGCTGCTGGTTTAGTTGTTGGAGCTGTTGTGTTCAGCTGTTTGGTTGTACTGTGTAAAAGTACTTGTGTGGAGATGCTGTGATGTGCTGTTGAAGAGAGGCTTCGTCTAAATTTGGGTAGAATAGGAAAGAAAAGAAGTTGTAGAGAAGATGTTAAAATAGACGAAAAAGAGATGCCAAAAATAGAATAGCAGAGACTAGTAATGGGAGTGTGCTAAATAACCTTGCAAGATTAACGAAGAGGGGCCCATATCTTCTTAACGGTAAGACAATGTGTAAATTAGTGACTCATGTGAACGTCTAGCTCCAAAAGGATAGTCGAATTCGGGGCGGGGAAAGAAAAAGTGAGGAGTAAAACCCGGAGCCCAGGGTAATTGGCAAATAAATGATAAAAAGAGATAAAGGGTAAAAAGAGAAAAAGGCTGAGATAGCCTAGGCTGAGATGGCCGAAAAAGAGAAAAAGGCTGAGATAGCCAAGGCTGAGATGGCCGGAAAAGAGAAAAAGGCTGAGATGGCCTAGGCTGAGATGGCCGAAAAAGAAAAAAGTTAACTTAAAGTTAGGGAAGTCGTGATTGGGCATACAAACCGGTAAGGACAGTTTAAAGAAAAAAAAATTAAGTTAACATAAAGTTAGGGAAGTCGTGATTGGGCATACAAACCGGTAAGGACAGTTTAAAGAAAAATAAATTAAGTTAACATAAAGTTAGGGAAGTCGTGATTGGGCATACAAACCGGTAAGGACAGTTTAAAAAAAAAATTAAGTTAACATAAAGTTAGGGAAGTCGTGATTGGGCATACAAACCGGTAAGGACAGTTTAAAGAAAAAGAGATAAAGTTAACTTAATGTTAGGGAAGTCGTGATTGGGCATAACAAACCGGTAAGGACAGTTTAAAGAAAAAAAACAAGTAAGTTAACATAAAGTTAGGGAAGTCGTGATTGGGCATACAAACCGGTAAGGACAGTTTAAAGAAGAAAAAAAAGGCCTATAAACTATAGTAAGGAAACATTGAGCTCTGTGAGGAGAGGTGTGTTGGAATTTCCGTGTGTGAGAGAAGCTTCTGGTGTGTGTGTGAGAGGAGTGTGTGTATGAGTGCTGAGCTGTGAGTGTGAGTGCAAAAGAGTCTGTGTGCAATGAGTGATGTGCACAAAGTTGGGGAATGATCTAGCATAAATATAAGCGATTAACTTATGATAAAGTGATAAATGATGTCTTATTAAATATATAATAATATGATATAAGAAATTAACATATAAGGGAAGAGATACTGTTGCCTTTGTAGTGTTAAAAACATATGAGCCCTGTTTTTCTTTGTACAGGGACATTAATAGAATAAGTAACTGCTATGAGCCTCTCAGGATAAAGAGGACGTTTGTACACGTAATAGTAAGAAATGAGCCCCTTATTAGATGAGGAGGACTTTGGATGGTGATAACATCCTTAACTAATATTGAAATTAAAGAAGTGTAAAAACCAGCAAGGACATTTGTGTTCATACAGCTACAGGAAAAAACAGAGTAAAAGATAGGAGTGATTTGCTAACTAATGGGTGTGGTTTTTCTCTGTGTGTGTGTGAATATTTAAAGTGAATGGTCATTTGCTGATGATTATGTTTAGAGGGAAAATCCCAGTTAAAAATTGGAAAAATCTAGGGAGCCTTTCCTCCCTCTTTCTTTCTCTTCTTACAGGCCTGAGAACAGAAAGAAAGCTAAAAAATCCAGTTTAACTATTTTAGATGTGTGAAAATTTTAAATGGTATACCATGGTAAAGGGGAATGATGTATAATAAATTTAGGTAGTCTGATAGTGAAAAAAAATCTTTAAATAATGGTAGTAAACATTTTAAATTGTATTGAATGAAGTGATTGTGATATACTAAACATTTGATTTGTGCTTGTCCCTTTCTCTAATGCATGAGAGGGGAGAGAAGAATGAAAGGCATCTGACGTTGGAGCACCCATAAAACAGATAAGGAGATAATTGGCTGTGCTGCAACAAGAGGGGGCTTGCGGATGAGAGGCTCACCAGGACCTGCTCCCATTTGACAGGCCAGTACAGTTTTATCTACAAACTCTTCTCCTATGCATCTGCTGCTACTTAGTTGTACATACATACAGTTATACCATGAACACATTTAGTTGGGTGTACACATTTGGTAGTGTTAAACAGTAAAAGCAGTAGGTTTGTTGGTAAAAACAAAGGCTTGGCAATAGACTGACCAGTTGAAAGGGCTGATTAGGTACCGGATTATTGTTGGATTAAAAGAGCATTTCCAAGAAGTCTAAATTTTGCTGAAGCTTGTGGATGTGATTGTCATTGCTGCTTGGTAAAATCACACAGATTGATCTTTTGTGGGTTTGGAGAAGGTTTAAGTCTTTGGGGCTGGCAGATTTCTTTGGCTTGTCTTGTTTGAAGGTGAAATAGCTAAACTGCGCTGTGAATAACGTGTTTGGTCATCTGTTGGTGCTTTGGATTCCTATGAAGACATTTAAAGGCAGTAGCACAATGCCAAAGATGGACGTTAAAGGTGTGAAAGCTATCACTCCAGTTGATGTAGTGATAAAGAGTAATCCACTTGTTATGGGTATTGAAAAAATGTCTAAGAAATGGAGTAAGAGGTGGCCTGACATTGACCAGCCTTGGCCAGTGGAAGGTACTCTTAATCCTGAAGTGATTAAAACAATGCATGTGCTAGTGTCCACTTATAAGGCAGAGCAAAAGAAAGGACAGAAGGGAAAGAAACGGCAAGAAAAGAGACAAAGGGAGCTTAACATGTTGCAATTATTTGAGCAGGAGGGGCAGAAGATGCTAAAAGCTGATAAGGAGAGAAAGGACAGGATTGTAGAAGAAATAAACAAAAATGTTAAATCAACAGAAAAATTGATGGCAGAAGTGAATAGACCTTTCTCGCACACGACCCCAGTGAAGAGCCCCCCACCGTATGAGAAAGAGATAAGGTACGCTGATGCCTATCCTCAGCTCCCCGTAATTAAACAGGAGGGCGTGTATCACATCAAAGATGAGGAGGAGCAGATGATAGAGACAGGAACAGCTAAAACAACTATAAAGATGTACCCAAGCAGTAAGAGTAAAAAGAAAACAGGTCATCCAGCAGCTAGGGGTGAACAAAAATACAGAACAATAGAAATGGGACATGATAGTCATAGTGATTCAGAAGAGGCTTTTGGAGGATACGACCCAGCAGTTAGAAACATATTAGCCAGAGCAGAGAAAAGAGGAGGAAAATCACTGAGGAAAAAAGAGCCAGCAAAAGACACCTCAGAGGAGAGTGAAGATAATGATAGGGATGAAGAATCAGACAGTGAAGAGTCTTCATATTCCCTTTGGTCAACACCAAGGACTGAAGCTGAGGCACAGCATAGAGCTTGGAAAATGATTGAGAAACGCATGGATAAATGCTATGGTGACCTAAGTAGTGCTATGAGTCCTGAAAAACATAGAGAATTGAGGGAAGAATTAGAAGAGTTACAAATAATAAAAAATGACTTAAAGAAAAAAGGAGTTGAAAAGCCATCCACTTCAGGGTACTCCTTACACCCAAGAAAAGGGAATAAGCCATCTGGGAAAATGTGTCCAGTTATTGTTCGGGGACAGAATTTAGAGTACAAGCCTCTACAAAATACAGACATGTCAGACATTCTTGAAAAGTTGCCTACTCTTCAGGAAGGAGCTCACCCTTGGATTTCCAAGTTAGACGAAATTATGGTGGGATGGCAGCCTGCTATGGGAGACATCAAGAGACTCCTAGCCAGCATTTTAGGGGTCCCAGCTATGGAAGAGATCTTGCAGAGAGCAGGGCTTAACCGGTATGCAGGGACGGCGGTAAATGACCCAGAACTGTTTGCTGCATGTAGAGCTCGGATGTGGAGATCATTGAAGGATGTATTTCCAACAAATGTACATCCAGATAACATTATAATTGAATCACTAGGACCACAAGAGAATCCAAGAGCCTATGTATCAAAAGCTCATCAAATTTGGAGAAATATTACAGGAAACGATCCAGACATGCACCAAATGGAGCAGTCTATTTTGAGAGCCAAAATACAAAAAGGGTTGCCCCAGCCAGTGAGAAATAAATTAGAAGAGGTGGTTGGTCTTGGTAGCATGACAAAAGGGATATACACAGACCATATAGCACATCAAGTTGAGTTGTACAGGAAGAAACAGAACGAGCAGAGAGAGCATGATCAAGAGATCCTGAGACAACTTAACCAGATACATTTGGGAAATAGCAAAAAGAAAGACAAGAAACAAGCTGTGGTTATGCAGAGCCAATCTCAATCAGAGGAGACAGAAATGCAACTGCAACAGGAACATATGCATGACCGACCACCCCAGCTGACGCCAGTAGCTCCTTTAGGTCCATATGCACAACCAGTCTTCAGTCAGTTGCAGACATGGAGTGGAAGCGGTGAAAACAGAAACTTCAACCCAAACTTCCAGACATTTTCCGAAGCATGTTATAGGTGTGGACAACTGGGACATTATGCACTTGATTGTTATTGAGTAAAAGAAAGCTCTGTCAGAGGATGAGTGAAGGGAGAAAGTAAGAAAGTTTTTGGTAAGTAAGAGATGGTTCTTGTCAAGGACATTGATTATTTGTGGAAAAGAACAATTCAGGAGGCCAGGGTTAACAATGATGCAAGGGGGGAAGTTACAAGAAACATCATAAGCAGATGGAAACTTTCAGAGAAAATATTCTAAGATAATGGAGAAGAGTGTGTAAATAAAACAGTGAAACTGATTTGAAAAAACTAAGAACTGAACAATGTTTGGGAGCTGTGTACCATCCGCAAAGCCAAGGTATCTGTGTAAAATGAATGGGGTGATGAAAAACCCTCTGGGAAAGATTGACCAGCACATAGTTTTACATTTTGATGTCATAAAGGGGGAGTATTAATTAGGGGGAAATATGATAAACATGTCAAACAAACAAAAATGTATGTTTTTGGCAAGATACTGCTTAATTTTTTCATCCCCAGGACAGCAGTTGGGAAGACCAGATGAAGAAAGGTGGCTCTCCAGAGATCTAAATAGCCTTAATGGACCCACACCTCCCAACAAGACAATCAAACATGGACAATGTAAACACAACTGAAACCTGACAGAGGATGTGAACAAGGACATTGCATTGGATACACAAACGGAGAACACCCATAGACAAGAACACTACACAAGCAGCCAAGGATGTTAAGGAACAAAAATTATTATTCATTTTTAATCATAGAGTTGTTAATGTATAATCTGGGATTGAATGTCAATTTATCTCTCTGTGTTGTATTTTAATGTTCATGCAAGTACCAAACAGCATAGGAAGAATGGAAAGTATGAAAGGGGGGTTAGTGGTGCATAGCTTAAGTTGTAAAATTAATGTATTGGGATCTCAGGTATTTTCTTTGTTTTCTCGTTTTAGGAGCAGTGGTGTTAGGCAGGGATAGGTCCACGGAAGGTCCGATGGGATGACCAGCTTGACTGTGGATAATTTAAATTTTATTTCTGAGATTCCCAATAATATTTGCGCCAAACATTATTTCCACATAAAGTTTAACCCTTACCTTATAATTGGATTGGAGTACTATAGGTGGTCGCCTAGGGCAGAGGGACCGTGAGTGACTTTTTCCTGTCTAGATTGTCTGATGAATACTAATGGAACGATAGCTGCCTGACAGGTTTTCGCTCTCACACTCCAAATTTTAATAGTAATTAGAAATTGTAACATTTCGTTGCCTTTTTCGAGACTCTATGGAGCCTCGAAGGGGGGAAATATGTAGTATCTGGAGTACTACACCACTATGCATTGCCTTAAGGTATTTCTCAGGAATAGCCTGAGAAACCAGTTGTGAACTGTGGGCGTGTGTTTATCTGTTTATCATTAGTGATACCTGGGGTGAGATAGCCTAGGAGGGGCACTTCACTGGTTACAGGCCCCAGGTCATAAAACACCACTCTAGGTTTACCAAACACAAGATGGTAAGGAAAGATAATTTGGGAATGTAGGAGGGCTTACATCCCTACATCTATATAACAGGGTCACAAACTCTGGTTTGGGAGAGCTGGACATCATTGGCCGTCCTCTCCCAGCAACTGCAGTGCTGTATTGATACTGGTTTTGTCTTTATAATAAACTCCTCTTATACAAGCAAGCCAGTGTCACGAAGCCTCCTTCTGCATCTACACATCGAGGACAGCCCAGACACAACAGATCCCTGAACACAAAGAGGTAATCTAGGTATAAACGTCCTGTGATGAATCTGGATCTGCTTACTGAAATCCCTCTGAGGGCCTGATGGCGCTCACACAGCTGACACACTCTCCTCCTTCAGATGCCACTCCTGCTTCACTTTTCAGCCACTCAGCTCTACAGACTCTCAGATCCACATGAGATTATCAGAATTCTTTGTTAGATCAAGCAGGAAACTGTGAAGCTTACATGGAAGTGTCAAACACTGCATGAGAGGCTGCTTCCAAAAGTGAGTCGGTCCCCGTAGAGCCTCACGTTAAAATGTCCAACTCTACAGCAGAAACACAGGTCTACCTCCTGAAACAAAAAACAGTTAGAGACTATTAACTCTCACTCTTAAACAGTTTTCAATATGGTGTGTGTGTCCATAAACAGCCTGTTATGGTGAAAGCTGATATTCCGCTGGCTCACAGTTTCAGCCTCAGTACTGGATGAAGCTTTGTAATCCCTTTAATGCTGCCTGGGGATAAAAGGTGTGCGTGTGTGCACTGTGTATGCATGTGTGTGTTTGTGTGTATGCAGTGTGTAATGGACAGATTGGCCTACAATGTAAAGTGGCTTACTGGTCTGGGTCTACATAAACAGAGCAGGGATTAAGGTTATGGATCCAGGTGGAAGATCACAACACTCACATGAGCATCACCTGAAATGACTCTGCACATACACACGCACGCACAAATGCACGCACGCACGCACGCTCTCTCTCTCTCTCTCTCTCTGTGCACAAAGGGTTGAAACCATAGACTGTATATAGAATGGACAGAGTCTGCCTCCTTGCTGGGTGAAGCCACTCCGAGAACAGCACCCTCTGTTGATGGGCTGCAGTATAGGTCACAAATCCTGCCTCCGCCAGCAAAGCTTATGGGGCTGTGGACAAACTTTAGAAATTTATTACATAGAACATAATTTTTTCTCCCCCCTGATTGTGATGTTGACATGTAGTTACAGTAAGACTGGTTTGTACTCAAGTCCTCTTTTTCTGTGAAGCTCCGTTTTTAAAAGTTATTAGGGGGTTCATGTTGGCTATGATTGACACCTGATACAGCCTATGGGTGTTCAGGGTTTGAGTAGCTCTCCCGGGGGATATGCTGTTTGAGCGGAGCGTCATCACAGCCACTCTCAGCGACTGCGCGTCCCAATGCGCGCTCATTATGCTCATTATGTGTATATGTAACTCTATCACACTATCACCTGGATCGGGATTTGAACCATCAACTTCTAATCCTGCTGTCAGATATGCTGAAAATAACAAAGACGAGACGTTTGGGTGTCAATAAAAGTGTGCAAATATATTTCCATTTCTTGTCATACAAACAGCACAGATAAAAAAGTGAATCTTAAAACATCAAAATGAACATTAAAAAAAAAAAAACACCAGAGACTGAAACTCAATGTACAAAATCTCCTGTGAGGACACTGAGGCAGGTCTCTGGCTGATACAGTGCATGTTGTGTTAAAACATCAAACTTCAGGTGCTGAGCAGTAAAGTTCATCATCAGAGAGTTAATCCAGAACCATGATGAAATCACTTTTGACAGTCATGGAAACAGTGAGGATTACTGCAGAACCATATATGAGCGGTTTTATACAACCTGTGAGACAAATGTGTGTGATTTCATGAGGTGGAGCTACAATGAAGGTTAAATTTATACCCTTGAATAAAAAAAATATGAAATTTAAAACACTGAAAGAGGAAAACAGATCAACTTTTTCTTTCACACTATCATATCTTTGTATGGATGGTTTAGGTGTTTACAGGGTAATTTGAGGATTAGTTTTCTATACAGAATTATTTTAAAACAGGAGTAATATAACCAAATTAAAGTAAAATTGTATATTTTATCTACATATGATGGAGTATCAGAGACACACAACAAAAATAAACTCATACAGAGCTGAGCTGTAAAACTGAAAAACAGAAGAAAAGTCCAAGTACTGCTGGAACAAAGTCAGGACATAATTAAACCTTTTTTTATTTTTTACAAGAATTACGTGTAGTCACAATTTGGTTAAAATAAGAAGACAAAAAAAAATTATCCCAAAAAATTTTCAACTTCTTTCTCAATTAAGGAAAAAATGTCCTTTCTGAAACTTAAGACATAATTTTTCAGATTTTTTGAATCAGAAGATTTAGTCCGTTTTGACAGTGTGACTTTTAAAAACTTCATAATTATTCCTGTGATCTCATTTTTCCTTTTAAAACTTTATTTTCGTAATACCTTGTTATATACAGTAAAAAAAAATTCGAATTTAATTTTGGAAAAAAATAACTTTTTCCAAAGAATAGGATTTTATTCTTGAAACATAATTTCATTTTGGACAAATATGGACTTTAATGACAAAAACTTTACTTTGTTTTAATGTTTCCTCTTCATGAAATGACCTCATGAATTTTAACTCTCTTCTTGAAAACTTAAAACTTTCCATTAAATTATTATTTTTTAAAATCCCCTTTATTCTTTTGAAATTACATCTTTTTAAACACTTGGATTCTCATGAACATTTTCATTTTAAAATTTTAGCTATTCTTGTTAAGTATTACAGAAGCATTTTAAATTTGTCAATATGATTCACTTCTGTGAAATACTGTGAAAAAATCTCTCTTTTCTTTCTCATTTGGTTAGGACTTTTCCGTCAAAAATTTTTATATTTTATTAACTTTTTGTAACAGAATTCACTTCAAATTTTAAAGTTTTCCCGAAAAACATTTTAGTGATATCTTGATTTTTTTCTCTATACATTTAGACTTTTACACACTTTCGGTATTTCACTGACAGTGACACCTGCACCCAAAATACTACGAGCTTATCACCTCCTAGCTTGTTTATTAGCCCCTGATCTTACAGCTATCTTACAGTTGAGAGGACGTTAAGCTGTCCAGAATAGTCCGGAATAGGCCCGTGGTGAGTTGTGACTTCATAAAGAAGCTAGCATTATTTGCTAATATGCCAACAAGTACAGAGTATGCTAACCAAAGCAAGTGGTGTCTAGCTAGCTGATAGCTCACTACTGATGCAGTGTTTGGTGAATAAATGAAAATAAACTGTTAACTTGAGTTTCTGCAGAAGAAACAAAAGAGTTCTGACGTCTGCTAAGAGGCTAACAAAAGTAACACATTAGCTTAACGCGTCTGCTACTACATTAGCGTGACTAAAGCTACAGTATTAGCAGAAACTGTGGTAAAAATAGAGGAGCAGGACTGTAAATAAAGCAGCATTCTATTACTAAAAAGATGATATTGTCTGCTAATTAGCCTCAGCTAACACCTGACGATCCTTTTGTCAGCAATTATCAGCGTTTGTGTTAATATTGGAGCAGGTGTCGAGGTTTCTTAATGTAGATATTTAGATTTTATTCCTTTGCTCTAAAAGTTTAAGTAAAAATATCCTTTTTCTCAGTTTTTCCTCATTTATTTTCTTAAAAGCTGAAATATAAAGTCATTTTTAGTTGATCTCAGTTCAGTTTTCTCTGCAGATCAGGTTAGTTTCGTAAAAACAGTCACTCACCCACCCACCCACCCACCACACACACACACACACACACACACACACACACACACACACATACACACAGGTTTCCTCTTTTGCACACCCTCACACGCCTCTGCCACTGAAAATAACCATTTAAAAAAAACCTTTAATACTTTAAATTCGATAAAGTCCAGATAAAAATCCCGGCTGAGTCTAGAAGGTCAGAGCGGTGAAGATGAACTCTGACACACCTCAGTCCCAAAGGAGGATTAACTCAATTACTGACTGAGCAGAGCTGGTCCAGACGGAGAAGAAAAGCTGTGAGTTTGTCCTTATTTTCATGTGAACACGGAAGCACAACAGGCTGTTTTTTCTTTGCTAAGCAGTGTGGCGTCTACAACTGAACCAGGACCATGTTGATCCTGACATGGAAACAGAAATCAGCTGAGATTGTGGTGACAGACTCTTCTCTTGCTGATCTTTCTTTTTAAGATTGTGACCTGGTGAAACACCAAACCATTTGAGCCGCTCTTATTTCAGTCTACTTAGTCAGATCTGTTAAATCTAGTCCAGCTCAGTCTGCTGCTGTGTTCTCGTCCTATTAGTGTCAAACCAGTTTGTTTACACTGGTTAAACTGAGTCGAGTCTGCCCTGGTTCAGTCCTATCCGGTCCAGTCTACGCTGCCACACAGTGGTTCGGTCTGCGGGACATCACGTATCCTCTCCTGCAGACGCAGCGGTACGAGCCGTCAGTGTTCACACAGCGAGCGTTCACACATGGGTATTCCAGGCTGACACCGTCCTCGCACTCGTTTATGTCTGAAAACACACACACACACACACACACACACACACACACACACACACACACACACACACACACACACACACACACACACACACACATAAACAGTGGTCTGTGATTAGGACAGGACAGCCATCTGTCTGTGGTTAGTTTAGAGTCTGATACAACAGCAGGACATATGAGCTTCTGTGGTTACTTCAGTGTCAGTGGAAAATATTAGTTGCAGAGTGTGTTTCTGCATACCTATACATGTCATTGAGGTCATATCCAGCTCGTATCCTTGGTAACAGTCACAGGTGTAACCCTCAGCGACACGAATACACCTGCCATTCTCACAGCCATGCAATATCCCACAATCCTCTGCTGTGCTCAGGCCAGCGTAGGACTCATAACGTCCTGGCAGATGAAAGGGAGATGTGACGATTCTTAAAAATTAAAACAAGGAACAGAGAAATATTCATTACTCACTCTCATACAGCCTTCTCGGAGCTCCTCCTCCTCCTCCTCCTCCTCCTCCTCCTCCTCCTCTTCCTCCCCCTCGTCTCTGGTCAGTAAAAGGAGGAAAAGGGGGTCCTGGCCTCCACGTGTCCCCCTCCTCTTCCTCCTCCTGCTCCTGGTATGGGGCTCCGGGCAGTGGGGCCAGGCTGAGCGGAGCACCATCAGCTCGGGATGGAGGAGGAGGGCGGGCCCCAAATGCCCTCTCTGTGCGGGGGTCTGGGGGGAGGCGGAAGGGGGGACCTCTGGGTGAGGAGTCGTCCCCGATGCCAAAGTCTCCTTCAGGGTAATAACCAGTGCTGATGGCCAGACAGACAGAGAGAGTTGATGATTAAAATACTCCATAATACGAACATAAAATGACACTGAAAGGGATTACAAACATGTTTGTTTTCATTGACAAATATATTTGACATATTTCAGTGTTAGAAACTCAGACTAAAAAAGTGAATTCTTTATAAATCTGTCCTTTTAAGACCACACAGGAAAAAAAAATCATGGGCTGTGAACTCTGTCCACACCTGTACTCAGGCCGACCAAAAGAGCCATCTGGGCTGAAGGAAGATGATGTCCTCCCCCTGAAGCCGGACCTGCTGCCCCCTGCTGGAGAGTAATCGTCATAATCAGGAAGACTGAAGTCTCTGCCGGGAATCACCGCCGGAGGGAAGGAGTCAGGACTGTAAGGGGGGAAGTATGGAGGACCTGAGGAGACTAGAAGAAGAGATGATGAGAGTGAGGGAGGCAAAGGGAGGGAAGAAGAGTGAGGAGGAAACGAAAGGAGAGGAGGAGAGTCGTGGATATAAAAAAAAGGACGGGAGTTTAAGAGGAGAAAGGCAAGGGGAAGAACAGGAGAGCAAGGTGGAGGAAGATTAAGGAAAGGAAAGGAAAGGAAAGGAAAGGAAAGGAAAAGAAAAAAGAAAAAGAAAGGGAAGGAAAGGACAGGCTAGAAAAGGAAATAAAAAAGGAAAGGAAAAGCAGAGGAAAATAAAAAAAGTAAGACATGTAGGAGGTAAGGTTAGGAGAGTAAAGATGATAGCAGACTAGGAGAAGAGAGAGGAGAAGAGGGAAGGAGAAAGCAAGAATAGAAAAGGACAAATGGAAGACGAGGAAAAGAAACAAGTGGAGATGCACAAGAGGAGAGACAGGGGAGAGTTGAAAGAAGACAAAATCAAATGTGGAAAGGAGAGATGAGACAAGGAGAAGTGCTGGAGACAAGAGAAAAGAAATCAGACAAGGATACAAGAGAAGAAGACAAAGGAAAGGAGAAGATGAAGCAAGGAGAGGATGCAAGGAAAGAGGTTTTAATAAGAGAGAAAGAAGATGAGAGGAGTTTAACACTTGTAAAAAGATAAGAGCTGAAAGCAAAAATCCAACAAGAACTGAAATGAACTTGAAATGATAAAATCTCACCTCCTCCACCTTGTCCTCTTCCAGGTCCTGGTCTCACTCCAGTTTCAGGTCCAGGTGAGTCTGGATAACTCTCAGGGAACAAAGGAACAAACGAGCTGCACAGACTGGCGTAGTCCTCTGTGAGAACAACAGAGCAGACTTTTACATCTAACTGTGTATAAAGTTTCTGGAGACATGCAGGTACCACTCTACAGTAAAGCGTGGCCTGTCAGGTTTGTGTACCTGAGTCAGGGGAGGGGCAGAGGGCACACTCCATCCCCCAGCCCTCTCCGTACAGACAGCAGCAGTCCATGAAGGTGACCTGAGCTCCCAACAGAGGACTCTGACAGACCAGGTCTGCGGTGACATGCTGCCAGCACACAGACAGGTTCTCATCTGGAGGAGAAACAAGGAGAGAGAGTACCTGTTCAAGACCACAGCTGAATGATAGGTCTAATGATGGTCTACATGAAGCAAAGAAGAAAACTTCAGAGATGAAGGCAGAGAAAGAACTAATGTGAGGTCAGGGGAATACTGAGGGTGAGGACAAGTGTCTCACCTATAGTGAGGTGGGAGGAGTTGACACAGTTTCGTTGAGTGTCGTCAAGCACCAGGGGAGGAGGGCAGCTGCAATAATACGAACCAACCGTGTTGACACAAACTCCTCCAACACAGCTCTCCTCCTCACACTCATCGTGATCTGTTACACACGCACACAGATGGAGACATAAAAGTTTCAGGTAAACTCTCTGCTGCTGTCTCACTAGTGTGTGTGTGAGTGTGCATGTCATACGTACCGACACACTCCAGCAGCGTGCTGTTGTAAACGTATCCACTGGAGCAGTAGCAGTTGTATCCTGGGATGTTGTTGACACACACGCCGTTCTTGCACACCTCAGGATGGAAACGTTTACACTCGTCCACGTCTGGAAGATTCAGGTGTGTGTTCAGGTTTGAGTTTGATTATTGACACATCGTTTAAAGAATAGTTCAAACAAATTCAGAGAGTTTTTTTTCCAAGAGAAGAAAGTTTTACCGCGGCAGAAATTTGGTGTAAAGGTGGTGAAAGTCGGCTAAAAGGGAAAGTTGTAATGCAGCTTGTATACAGTGTGTCTGTGTACCTCTGTAGCTGAAGGCTCCAGGTCCTGCAGTGACGTATCCTCTCCCGCTGGGACACAGAGACAGATACTCAGCTGTGTGGACACAAAGAGAGAAAGCTCCTTTGATAACAAGCAGAGGGTGAAAAGGTCAATCACTGGACATACTGTCTTTGTGCCTGATGTCTCACCTGTGTTCACAACAGGGCAGGTGTGGTACTGACAGCCCAGCCCCCACCCCTCCCCCACTGTGCAGCAGCACTCCTGCTGGGTGGTGTTGGTGGCCAGCAGGCTGCAAGTTCCTCGCTCGGCCAGGTTGTAGTAACACTCCCTCATCTCACCTGGACGAGCTGGGGGGAGGGGGGGCAGACCGGGGGACAAGTCCACCACGTTCCCAGAGCCAGAGGAGGAGGAAGATGAAGAAGAAGAGGAGGTGATGGGGAAGCCAGGGACTATCCCTGCTGAGTAGAAATGCAGAGGTTTCTCTTTGGTTGGTTTGGATGATCAGAATGTTTTAAGATTAAGAAGAGAGAAAAATTCCTTTTTCAGCAGCCAAAAAGATCCTAAACAAAAACCTCTTGACAGTTGACCTCCAGGATTTATTCTCTAAACATTGCCGCTGCAAAAACTGAGTTTTCGTACAAAAATCTGCATTCTTGCTTGCATGAATCTCCTAAAGTGTGATGGGACAATTTCTGCTTTTCAAACTTTAACTTTAAGGGTCAGAGAGTCCTATTAACATGCAGCTTCAACCCAACACTGCAGTGTCTGCAGAACAAAGATTTTTAAAGGCCCGATCCCATCGACTGTATATTGAATGGGCACCATCTGCCCCCTTGCTGGGTGAAGCCACTCCGAGAACAGCACCCTCTGGTGACGGGCTGCAGTATATGTCATAATTCCCGCCTTCTCAAGCAATCTCTATGGAGCTGTGGACAAACTAGAAATTAATTACACAGACTGTAAATTTTTCTCCCCCCTTGCTTGCGATGTTGACATGTAGTTACTATAAAACTGGTTTGCGTTCAAGTTATTAGGGGGTTCATGTTGTCTATGATTGACACTTGATACAGCCTATGGGCATACGAAGATTGCGTAGCTCACCCTGGGGATATGCTGTTTGAACCGAGCGTCATCACACCCACTCTCGGCGACTCTCCCGCCGAATGCGTGCAATGCTATTCTGCAATTTTGGTTTCAGGAAGTGGAGAAAAAAACGGAAATACCGAGAGCTTTTCGGCTTTAAATCCATATAATGACAGAAGGCGGAACCAAGTTGTCCAAAGTATATACAGTCTATGCCTGATCCTTAAACTGAAAGAATAACACCTCCATGCTGTACCTGCTCCTGCTGTGTTGATGCACCTCCTGCTGTTGGTGTCAAACTCGTATCCCTGTCGGTCACATTCGCACATGAAGGATCCCTCCACATTCTCACAGCGAGCTGAGCCACACACACCGGCCAGAGACTCACACTCGTCCACATCTGAAAAAGAGAGAGTCAGGACCTTCACATGAATGACTGCACTTTGCTTTTAGGAACAAGAGCACTGCAGCTATATCAGATTTATTATCTTAACTGCACATTTTCCACACACTTCCAAATCTACCATGGAGCCCGGAGCCTGCAGCCCAAATGAACAAGTGGACATGGAGGTTTGCGAAGCTTCACTATTAACTTACAGTTTTTAAATTGAGAGATTGGCTCAGTAGCTTATTAAGTCATATGAGAGACAGACTCGTACCCAAGCAGGCCTTCCCATCAGCCGTGGAGATGAAGCCCTGGTCACACACACACTGGAAGGTTCCCAACAGGTTCTGGCAGAAGGCGTGTTCCCCACACACCGTCTTATTGACACATTCGTTAATGTCTAAGAGAGAGGAGAGAAAAAAGAGGGGAAGGAGAGAGCAGAAGGGACAGAGGAGAGAGGGCAGAGTACAGAGGAGAAAGGAGACAGGGGACAGAGGAGAAAAGACAGAGGAGAGAGGCGAAAGGAGAGTGTAGAGGGAGAGAGGGGAGGAGAGAGGGGACAGAGGAGAGAGACGAAAGGAGAGAGTAGAGGGAGAGAGGGGTCACGATAGTTCACGTCAAAGTGAAATTCAGGAGAACCTTCACACTCAGAACTGTTCCTTCAAAATCTGAGTCAAGTCAAGAGTTTGAATCTGTTTATTTTATTCTCAAGAGGTTTCATATATGACCGACAACTCTCAGCTCTGATATAAGAATAAATAAAGACATGGTTTGTAGGTTTACAGGCTTGAAATCTGCTCTTAAACTCACCTTCACACCTGCCGGTCTCTGTCACCTTGTAGCCCGGCTCACAGGAAGTGATGCAGTGGTACGAACCAATCGTATTCTCACACTGCCTCGACCCGCACACTGACCGACCAGGCAGGGCGCACTCATCAATATCTGAAGGAGGCGGAGGACAAAAAAGGCTAAATGTGACTGTTTTGGGAATAAAAATGTGTGTAAGCGTGTGAGGGAATGAGTGTGTGTTTTACCGACACAGGCAGTCCTCTCCGGGCTGCTGGTGAAGCCGGTTTGACACTGACACTGAATGGAGCCATCGACGTTCACACAGCGACCGCCAAAGCAAACACCTGACCTCACACACTCGTTTACATCTAGAAAGAGAGAGAGGAGGAGAGCGAGAGAGAGTGATTACTTATAAAACACTTACTCACACTCATACATGGTGTTGTGACTAAGGGCCAAAGATGAAGTCACCATTACATCAGCTCTAAAACAGGGAGGCCAAAGCTGCAGATGCACACACACACACACACACACACACACACGCACGCACACATGCATGCACGCACGCACAAGCACACACACATATTTATTAGGACTGTCAATCTTCATCTACAAACCCATTTCTTTGCTTATTATTTGTAATTTTGGAACTAAATTCTAATTTTTATTCTCAGACTTTGTTATTAAGATTTAATAAGTCTGCTCATTCACAGTAATCCCTGTGGCTGCTCTCCTCCTGCTATCATTTTATTTTAATTCTGTGTTTTGGAGACAGAAAACTTGGTCTTTCATCAGGTCATAAGTTATTTGACAGAAATCTTTTTTTTTTTTTTACGTGATGCTTCATTGAAGGCTTGAGGGAAAAATGGCGTGACTACAGAAAAGTTCAGCAGAGAGCCAAACGAAGAGTTTTCGAAGATCCTTCATGATAAATTCATAGGTTCTTCATTATGAAACATGAGCTGTACCTGCTGCCTCTGTGTTGATGCACCTCCTGCTAGTGGCGTCAAACTTATATCCCTGTTGGTCACATATACATGTGTAGGATCCCTCCACGTTCTCACAGCGAGCAGAGCCGCACACACCGGCCAGAGATTCACACTCGTCCAGGTCTAAGAGAGAGAGAGAAAAGTTTGTGATATACTGCTCCATATTGACTGTAATACACACAGGTGTTGAACGTGGTGGTGGAAGCGTCACATACCTGAACAGGCCTTTCCTCCTGCACTGGAGGTGTAACCGTCATTACACACACACAGGTATGTTCCTATGACATTCTGACAGATGGCATGATCCCCACAAACTGTCCTATTGGCACATTCATCAATGTCTGAGAGAGAAGAGAGAAAGGTTCAGTCTAATGGTGTTTCTGTTCCTGAAAAAGGTCCTAAATTAACTGTAAGGCAGGAAAAGTTCAGTTTCAGAGTTTTCACTTTTTATCTGAAGGTTTCATTAAAGGTGGGGTAGGCAGGATCTGAGGAAATGCCAGTTTTTGGGCGAAATCTTGAATGTAAACACTACCCCTCTCAACCAGTTTTCCCCTCAGCTCCTCCTCTCCCTTCCCTCTCTGCTCCAGCAAGCCCCGCCCACAAACAGACGCTCCTGCTCGCTCATAACGTTTTAATTTAATACAGATATAATACAGATAAATACTCAAGATATTTACAAATGGGGCCCAGTCAACGTGAACGTAAACAGCATTGGTGCTGCTGTAGATGCCAACAGACCACCAGCAAACACAATGTTTGCAGGACTTCTACAACCAGCAGAAAGTGACATACTGCTGGAATTCCCATCGTTTATGCTAGCTTCACTGATGTTGACCCAGCTTCTCTCTTGCCCGGTCTACCTCCGTTTTAAGCGCCCGTTATTCTGCCAGAGTCTCCGGTATTTACTTTGTTTTCTTGCTTGTGTCGGCAGTCGTGGCCAAAGGAGGATTCTGACAATTGTGTGTACTCTCTGGTTGGTTTCTATTGTCCGATATTGTAGCATGCTAACTTTATTTTGGCTCATGAACGACACGGGGAAGCAGTGTCTGCCTCACAACAATCAGGTTGGGGGAGGCCAAGAATGGCTTTGTTTACAGTCAGAAAAAGCGGGCCTATCAATAAATTTAAAATGTTGACCACACAGACATAACAAAACACAGCAATATCGTTATATTCCCAAATGTCATCAATTACTAATAGCTATTGACTGATATTTAAAGCTTTTTTGTATATACACCACAAAAAAAGATGCTTCTTTAACAGAATCCTGCCTACCCCACCTTTAAATGATCTCTTGTCAGAAATCTCTGCCTGTATTTAAAATGAAGGTTTGTAACACACCTTCACACACGCCAGTCGCTGACACGCTGAAGCCACGGTCACAGGAAGTGATGCAGCGGTATGAACCAATCGTATTCTCACATCGCTTTGACCCGCACACTGACCCACTGGACGAGACGCACTCATCAATATCTGAGGGAGAAAACCGATGAGATGATGGACTCGACTAGACTTGTGTGTGTGTGTGTGTGTGTGTGTGTGTGTGTGTGTGTGTGTGTGTGTGTGTGTGTGTGTGTGTTTACCAAGGCAGGCCGTCTTTTCAGGGTTGGTGGTGAAACCGCTTTTACACTGGCACTGGAAGGAGCCTTCAGTGTTCACACAGCGACCGTCCACACACACACCTGGTCTGACACACTCATCCACGTCTAAAGACAGATGGAAACAAAGGATGTCACTGCATGAGAAATACACACCTAGGCCTGTTCATTCAGCAAACATGGGCCAAGATGATTTCACCATTACATCATGGCTAACACCAGGACCAGAGAGGGCCAACGCGGAGCTGTGAGCTGCGTAAACTAAATGAACACTGACACATCTGTCTGCAGACACTCCAACATACAGAACCTGGAGTATTCACCACAGCCAGTGACTCTTAAAGCCTTCAGGGTTTCTGCCTCTAATTGAACATGTGAAAAAGGGATTTGAAGACAAAACCAGCAACTGAAGAAAAAATGTGCTCAATTTTCTGATTTCTGGTTATTTTAAAGAATTATAGCAAACTGGAGAAACACGTGATCTTTAACCAGTGAGTGTCTGAAAAGAGAAGAGCTGTGACATGATGACTGACCGCTTCAGATAGGGAGGAGAGTGTTGTCTTTATTTTTGTTCAACTTCCTGCACAGTCAACCACAGTAATACACATTGGATGAAAAAAAAATGCACATCTCAATACTGACAGTACAGTAAGATCTAAACATCTGCTAGCACTCACCTAGGCAGGCAGTTTTGTTGCTGCTCAGTGTGTATCCCTGAGAGCACACACATGCGTAGGATCCTGGTAAGTTCATACACTCTCCTTTAGGGAAACAGAAATCTCCCTCCAAACACTCGTTGATGTCTGAGGAATCAATCGCACCATAAATTCAACACACTGCCACAGAGACACAGAGACATCAAAGAGTAGAAGAGGCTTCACTCATTGTAAAGACTAGAGGAGGTTATTAATCATTCATGTTCCTGTCAGGCTTTAAACTCACCTCTGCACTGTCTCCCCAGCCCAGAGGTTCGATACCCAGGTGCACAATCACACCTGAACGAGCCGATAGTGTTAACACACACTCGTCCAGCCTCACACGCCCCAGCACTCGCGCACTCATCTACGTCTGCAGGAGCGATAAAAAGAGAGAGAGGATGATGATGATGACGAGGATAATGATGACTGCACAGGTATTCATTGTTTTGTCTTTGTCATGCAGCAAAATCAGAGTTAGGTCTTAAAACATCAAAGCAGTTATAATTCTCATTTTTATTTGGGTTTTTAGCCAAACATCAGCTCACGCTGCAGACTGCTGATTTGCACGTGTTTCAACCATGTGAGTGTGTGTGTGTGTAAGTGTGTGTTTGTGTGCCACCTTGGCAGGAGCCGTTCTTGCTGCTGTATCCGGGCTGACAGGACACACAGCGGTACGATCCCTGTGTGTTCACACACCTCTGCCCGGGACACTGAGAGGCCTGCTCACACTCATCCACGTCTGAAACACACACAACAACCTGTTCAACTATTTTTACTCTGACAAAAAACAGTATGAGGGGACTTCACACTCAACACAATGTTCCTGTGTGTATGTGTGTTTACCTGTACACAGCCCGTTCACACTGTGGTATCCCTGCTGACAGTCCACACAGCTGTACGACCCTTCAGTGTTCACACAGCGCTGGCCAGGGCAAGACCTGCTGTCCTCACACTCATTTATATCTGCAGACAAAGAGATGGTGTGTGTGTGTGTGAGACTGTGTGTGTTTTATGGCACGGTTTTATGGCACGGTGTTTGTACCTGTGCAATGCCTGTTGGTGAGTTTGTATCCAGGTCGACAAGACATACAGCGGTACGATCCTGCAGTGTTCATACACATCTGACCCGGACACTGAGACAGCTCTGCGCACTCGTCCACATCTGAGACACACAAAAACACACACGAACACACACAAAAAGTATTCAGATTTTGGAAACACTGTCTCTTCTCTGTCTTTCTCTAAACCTGTGGGTAGTTAGCCTAACTTTACATAAAGAATGGGGGAAGCCTTGGAGGTTAGCTGCTGCTGCCTCCAATTTACCTATACAAGTGTTGTTTTGGAGCTTGTAACCATGGCGACAGATACAGCGGTAGCTTCCAGGTGTGTTTTCACAGCGACCGTTGGAGCAGGGAGCCTGGCGACACTCATCAATGTCTGCAAACATCAAAGCAACATAAAAAAAGACTGAGTGGAGCCCTGTTTAACAGATATTTAATGCTGAATACTCTCAGAAAACCAAATATGTGCTCTAGTCTGTCTAAAATATTCAGGAGCAGCTAGCTAGCCAAGCAGCTGGTATGTGGTTGAAACAGCTGATGCAGGTGAGTTACCTGTACAGAGTCTGTTGAGCAGCCCATATCCAGGCTGACAGGAAACACAGCGGTACGAACCCTGACTGTTGATACACTCCTGACCCGGACACTGCAGGGCGTCTTCACACTCATCCACATCTAAAACACACACACATCATTACACATGTGTCATCACACACACACATACACAGACACAGGCACAGACACAGACACACACACACCTCACACACTCTACCTGCTGAATCGTTTTCAACTCTCTGAATGTGTTCATGTCGCAACAAATTATCTATAATAAATTGTTTGAATATTTTACACTAACAAAGTTTCTTTGAGTTGATGTGCCATCATGCATCTTTACCTGTGCAGGTATTGCCACTGCTCCTGTAACCAAGGCGACAGACACACCTGTAGCTACCAAGTGTGTTTTCACAGCGCCCATTCCTACAAGGGTTCTGTTGGCACTCGTCAATGTCTGAGGATTTCACAGACCGAAACTTAATTAATTAATAAAAAAAAATTATGTTTGCTTGATTATTTTTTGTGTGTTTGTTTGTTTGTTTGTAGCTTAAACATCCTGAATGTACAGAGGACAACAAACAGCAAGTGCACATTACCTTGACAACTGGTCTGCTGACTGTTGCTCTTGTACCCAGATGGACACACACACCTGTAGCTTCCCATAGTGTTAAAACACTGTCCTACTGGACACACAACTGGAGACTGCACACACTCATTCACATCTACACACACACACACACACACACACACACACACACACACACACACACACACCAAAAAATAAATAAATAAATAAAATTTTTGTACCATATTTTACCATATTGTTTTTTATGAGCTCTTTTAAAATAGTTTAATTTTTAGAAGAAATTTTTTAAAAGAAATTATTTTGAGAATATAAAAAGAAAAAAACATACTTGGCATAAGATCTATTTACTGAGAAATTTAACAAAATATCGGAAAAATATCGAAAAATTGATCTTGTATCTTAAAGTGCAAAAAACTGTGGGGAATTGGTGTCAAATAAACCACATAAAAATTATAATGAAGAGAAATTACTTGTAAACTGAATGAAAATATTCTGCATTAACACAATCTTAAAGTACACTGCATTAAAATTTTGTATGACTTGACCATTACTTTATTATCACAATTTGATTACCTAAATATCATGAAATAAAGTCTGAATTCACATGAAATTCTGACTTCACTCCCACCTAATACTTTTTGGATTATCACAACTTTATTTTATCATTATTTTATCTTGGAACAGAACAATTTTATTCTTGAAATCTTAAATTTTTCTTCTTTGTGGCCCTTATTCTCCACCGTAGAGGAGGACAACAGTGAAACAACTGAAAAATGGTTTGTAAATATGAAAGAAAGCTATGAAAATCATATGGTTACCCATAATTGTAAAACAAATCCTCAAAAATTCAGTCTGATATCTAAACACTGCAGTCTGTTTGTATGCATGAAAACATTGTGTTCAGAGGTGACTATAAAGCACAGACAGCCTGAGGTTTTTGTCACCTTGGCAGAACGTGCGCTGAGAGTTGGGCTGGTATCCCTGATCACACACACAGATGTGTTTCCCTCCTGGCTGATCCACACAGCGGCCACGCCCACACACACCTGGTCTGCTCTCACAAACACCCCTCAGAGCTGCAAACAAACACACAAGAATCCTTTGTTGGTCTCCATGTAATCGGTTACAGATGACATTATTATCTCCAGTGTTGCTGTGATTTAGTTTTTATTGGTTCAGACTGTAAATCAGATCAAAAGACATAAAGTTGCGTTTTAGATCAATTTTAATCTTTGATGTAAAATCTTCCTCAGACGTCCTTCTCTGTCTAGATATCACTAATACTTATAGGAGAAGTTCAATTCTTAGAGACAGATTTCAGCTGGTATTAAATTCAGGTGCAAAAGTAAGAAAATGTGTGTGTGTGTGCGTGCGTGCGTGCGTGCGTGCGTGTTTGGTATGTCTCATCTAACTGAACACAGATGCAGCCCTCCTCAGAGTCTCTCTATGTCCAAATAAAATTATAAGACAGTATTCACAGCGTGCCAGAGGCCCAGAGTTTGAAACAAACATCACATACTGTGATTTAAGCGTCCCAGGATGATTCCCTTCTTAAATAACACAATTACTGTGAGAGATTTGTTTTTGAATGATTAAGTCTATGGGGCAGGCTAAAACCAGCAGCGCCAAAGGAGTCTGTTTTTTTTTATTCTGAAAGTAAGAATTCTGGGATGAGTGCCAGAACCCTAAGATAATATTAAAAATTGAAATAATAAGATAGAACTTAAATTCTGAGATAGTGCTTAAAATACTGGGATTAAAGATGGAATTCTGAGATAAAAGTTAAAATTCTGAGATAAAAGTCAGATTATTGTCATAAACTTTGAATTCTAAGATAAAAAAGCTGAAATACTGTAATAAGAGTTAACATTCTGAGATAAGAATCTGAATTCTGTGCAGGTCAATCCTCAGATTAAATTGAAATAAATTCAGGAGCCATTATTCTCTTTATTAATAGTTTTATTTATGGAAAAATGTATTTATAATTTAATTTATATATTCATTTGTTGGGTAGACAATTATGTAACCTGAAGTGATCTGTTGTTCCGTAACAGACTTTTTAATTAATTTTTAAACCAAATTTAATCACAGAGACGGATTGATCCTCAGATACTGATACAAACAGAGGTTGAAGCACACTTCCTCTCTGATCTGAGGGTACTCACTCTGTACTCTGGCTGGGCGGGTCGTGGTTGTGGTTATAGATGGTCTACCCTGCAGAGGAGGCAGACCTCCACTGGGCCTGGATCCACCATCCGGGCTCTGTGGTGGTGCCGGAGCTGGAAGAAAGTCTCCTCGAGCTGCAGTCTGATCAGGCCAGGACAGAGAGGAGCGACTGCCTGCTGAGAAGTGCATAAAATATATCGTACTGAATCACTACAACATATCAGATCAGAGTCACAGACAAACTGTGGTTTAACACAGCAGTATTACTTTTCAGACCCCCTGTTACCTTGACTTCCTGTTGATGGAGGCTGTGGTCGCTGTTGTATTGTGATGGATGTGGAAACGTCTGGTCGACTCTGCTGGGTCCCAGTTCTGTCTGGAGTGTGGGGTTTGTCCTGAGTGGTCAAAGTGTTGGTGCTGCCAGACTGAACGACCCTTGAGGAGTCACCTAGCTGTGGTGGCTGTGGTTGGGGTTGAGGTGGACTGGGTCTGATGTAAGTACTGCTGGAACCAGCTGTTCTGACACCTGAAGTAGAACTCAGTGAGGTGCCAGACCCGGGAGCTGTCACCCCAGAAGAGGAGGGTGTCTGAGGAGATCTGGAGGCTACGCTGGTACTGGAACCAGAAACAGGACCTGATGGGAGGAGAGCTGGATTGAGGTTTGGACAGAACTGTAGGTTGGTTGATGACTGTAGTTCTTCATTAACTTAATGAAATCTGAAAAGATTTTTAATCAAAGTATCAGATATTTCACTGAACATGTTTCTTTTTGGCTATTTTGCCGTGTGTGAGAGCTGTTAGACTGGTCCAGAGGAGACTGTGTGCAGTAAACTCTAAAATGATGTAAATTAGGTACCCTGGTTTTCTTGGTTGTCAACCAGTGATGCTCCTCGGCTCCCCAGCTGCTCGTTGACTCTCTGGTTGAACTGCAGAGCTGTGGCTGAGTAGTGGTAACCAGGACCAGCTGGACAGATCTCCTTAAAGGCCACTGGAGGAGGGGACATAAAGGCAGGGCAGTCTTTTGAATTATGTGGTTATACTGCATCATCTAGCACTAAGACACAGAACCAGTAGGCCTGAACATGGCTGACTACCAAAGCACTGCACACTGAAAACACCAGAGCATATTTATCTGCACCAGTCCCTGGTAACCAACCTGAACCAAAGTAGGGACACCTCTGGCAGTCAGGTCCCCAGGCTTTTCCGACCCGGCTGCAGCAGCAGATCTGTTTGGTGATGTTCCTGAGGATGGGCAGGGAGCAGGACGATGGACCCTGACCCTGGCCCAGAACCCGATAACACTGACCCTTCTCCTCTGAGATCACTTTCTGGGCTGGGGAGGGGGGGGCACAAAGGAGGACAGAGACAAGTTTCAAACACATCCTGGAGTAAGTGAGGAGTTCAGACAGACTTAAAGCAGAGGCAGCAGCAGAGCCCTGCATGCAGAATCAGAAACATGCTGTTCAAACATGACAGCTTTGACGAGGACTTCACATAAATCAAGCATGCTCTGATAGCACAGCCTAACTTGTTCTGGACTTTTCTTGGACAGAAGCAGCAGAAGAAATTAGACAAATAGGAGCAGAGCTTTTTTTATGTGGCCCCTAACAGAAAGTGCGTGGAGGAAGAAAAATCTAAGGTGTCCATCAGGATCATGGATCAGAGATCATATTAGACCTTCATATTTGGAAATCTGGAATTTGGAAATTTGCTTCCAAATACAAAAAAGTTTGCACATGGGCTTGTTCACCATTGAGTGTCCACAGCTCTTCTTTCCCCAACCTTTTGTGGATGTTAGTAAACCCAACAGACCCATTTCTGGAGTCTGGAAGTGAATTGTTGTCCATTCTTGCCTGGTAGAGAACAGTTCAGGGTCTCCTTTGTCCTGTTTTTGGTGTCATAATGCTCCAAATGTTTTCATTGGGGGACAAGTCAGGACTTCAGTAAGGCCAGTTTATTAGCAGGACTCTTCTACTACAGAGCCATGTTGTTGTAATCCCTGTAGTCAGAATGTGGTTTGTCATTGTCTTGGAGAAATATGAAGGTCTTCTCTGAAAAAGTCTTTGTCTGGATGGCAGCAGATGCTATTTCCATTCCAGAGTCCTGTTTGTTTTCGATGCAGTGCTGCCTGAGGCCTGAAGATCAGAACTATCCAGTCTTGGTTTTGGTCCTTGTCCCTTTAGTACAGAGATTTCTTCAGATTTTCTGAATCTTTTAATATGATGTTCTGTAGATGATTAAATCTACTCATTTTTTCATATTTGACACTTAGGAACTTTATTCTAAAACTGGTGAACTATTAGCTCACCCAGTCTCTCACAGAGTGATGAACCTCTTCTTATCTTTCTTTCTGAGAGACTCAGCCTCTCTGAATGTCCTTTTTATATCCTATCATGTTACTAACCTGTTGGAAATTAATATTTAACAGAACTTTTTGTCAACTGATAATCCAAAGAAACACTGAGAGTCTCTCTCTCTCATCAAGAAAACTGTTTTTTTGGCATTTTTTTAGAGGCTGCTTTATAAACAAAGAAAGAGAACACACTGCAAAAGCAGCTAGAACACAGGGCCACACCAATGACCATAAAGCCTTTACACATAAAAACACACACATCATACAAACAAATACACACACAGCATACACACAGGTCTATGAGCATTTCCAGCCAGCTTTGCAGCAGCAGGGAGACAAGTTCAAGCTTAATTAATCAGCTTTGATTAGAACATTGTCATAGTTACCAGCATCCAGCAATTCTCCTCTTCCTCTTAGTTCTCCTCTTCCGTGAATGCCATTTAGAATAAGCAGAGCACTGATCAGGCTTCACTGACCCATCTGAGCACCAAACGTCCGTCAGATTTGAATCATTTTAGCAGAACAAAGAGTTCCTCTGATCAAAACAATGAACCCACAGAGCAGCGACCGAACAACAACACTCAGTGACTACAGACAAAGAAGGACACAGACCAACAGTCACTGAAGGAGGATTTAAGTTCATGAACTCTCTGACTCTGAGGATTTTCTGCTGATTTTGACTTTATTTTTGAACAATGTGAAGAAGACAGAGGGCCTGACTCTGAGTTTAAAAGGACACCAATTCTTGCTCCAGTACTAATTTCAGCTTTTAAATATCAATGAGTTTGTCAATGTTTGAACTATATTTAAACCCTAAAATTTTCTCCAGCAGCCTCAATGTTCAGTAAAAGAAGATTATGCAAAACAGAATCCTGAGAGGGCGAAAAAGACTTAAATTTTAAGTTGGTAATGCAATTTGCATAACTGCCTGTTCACTAAACGTCACTGCTCATACTTTCATCACACTGAGGTGGTTATTTAGACACTTTGAGCTCAGATGGATCCAGAAGCCTTGAATCAGCGTCTGTGTTATTCCTCAGTTCATTCCCATGCCGGCGGTTGTGTGCGTGTGTGTGTGTGTGTGTTACTCACAGATGCAGATTCCGTGTGAAGCATCGAGGATAAACCCCGGCCTACACACACAGCTATAGCTCCCTCTGGTGTTCACACAGAGCCCGTTCTCACACAACCCCGGCTGGAGGCACTCATTCACATCTACACACATTTACACACATTAACACAAACACACATACATGCACACATATTATCTCTCGTGCATCTCAACACCTGTGACTGCTTTGAATTTATTCACTCATGACAAAGGTGAATGCTCAGTTCTGATAGGACGGCTGACTTTAAACAGCGCTACGCTGGCCTCTCATTGGACCATTCCAGGTTAGGTGATCACAGATAAAGCTTCTGATAGTTCGACAGTCCAAAAGAAGATATTAGCCTCAATTTAATTCACCCCAAAATGATCAACAATTACCTTCATTTCTGAGGGATCAGATCCAGACAGCCTCTGATTTTCTCTGTGGGATAGAAAAGCTCCTGGAGAGTTTGCATCCTGTAAACTGCTGGTCTCACAGTCCAAGTAGATTTTCAAGTAAGCCACGATGCAGTGTTACATTCTTGCAGCTGATATTGTAAACCCAACAATAACAGCATTGACCCCCATTAATTACTGAACCCTGATTATTAGATTATCCTTCATTTTGGAGACTTACCTTGAGGACTTCCCAGTCTTGTATCAGCGTAAGTGCACAAAATTTGATGTTTTTGCTGGAATAATACATGCTGAATCCAATTATCAGACTTGATGAGCTATTTTTCTTCATTTACATACAGATGTGTGCCCAATCTTGACATGAATTTTCTTTGAAATCAGTAAACAGCCGGCGCTAGGTATGGGTAAGTGGACCCACACTTTTGACCCTGTCACACATATTTTCAAAACCATAAAACACACACATTGATGCACAATCAAGACTGAGAATCTGGGTGTCTTTTAAGAGTGCATAAAAGCTTCTGTGAGCTCAGAGACAGTTAAAAATCTATAAGATGTCCATGGATCAAAACGTCAACACAGAGAGAGTCATCATTATCTAGGTTAGCAGATGTTCTATAAACAGATCCACACTCATCATGGTAGAGGAAAATTGATTTACAACCATGATAAGTCACCAGGCATTTCTGGAAGTGAGGCTATAGGATGGCACCACATGCAGGTCTTTGTAGAAAACTTCAAACGAGCCCCTAAAAATAAAATCAGCCAGACCAGAAAACTCTGAAGGAAGATCAAAAGATGCACCTCTAAATATATTCTCAAAGACCTATAGACATTTCTGTGGTCAACAACGAAGGATTCAGAAGGTTAGTAAACACCCTGGATCCAAAATCTAAAATGTCCATCACTCTCTCTGTCTGAACTCTAATCTGCTCACACTGAACAGTTTCTCTGTGCAAAAAAAATTTACACAAAGCTGGAGATTTCATGACTCAGTAGGATGTGTCAATATACGATTTAATTGCGATATGCGATGTTAAACGGCCGCGATTATAAAATTGTAAGGTACAGTAATTATTGTATCACAGTTATAATTTTAACGTCGAGTTGCAGCATTATTCAACACGATAAGCGAAGCCGAGTAATAAAAAACCTAAGCTTGTAGTCTTACCCACGGTGTCAAAGCCTCGGTAGCAAAATGTACAAACAAACCACCACAAAAGTTTTCCCAAATCCAAAAAACTCTCGAATTAAGTACAATAATGCCAGCCTAACAAAAACGGGAACATTAAAAGAGCAAATGAAGAAATTCTACAACAAAATGCGTGGCCACCCACAATGCATTGTGGCCACTCAAAGCACTGTTGGAGCGTGTCCACAATGCATCCTATCCACTCATTAGCTTCTTAAAGTGGAGGAGATATGAACTGATATTTTAAAAACACGAGTATTGGATCATGACAACATGTCAAATGGAGCAGCAAACTTTCCTTCTGTTTTTATGTGTCCCAAAAATGCACATATAGAGATGTACTTGGATACATAAACTGTACAGTAAGCTGTCAAGGTAGAGAACATTATATTTTTCGGGACAGCAAATATTCCGAATCACAGGGCTATTGTTTTTGGCTTATCTGAATATTCTGAATGAAAACATTAAAGGCACACGCTTTTGAATCCACCCAACGTTAAGGAAAACCTGGATTATTTCGCCTTGTTGTGTACTTTCATCCGCGCTCCGGTCAGGGGTGCATTCTACGGCATAACACAGGACCAAGAACAGTCGGAGACTGAAAATGACGAAACGCCTCGGCTGTATCCTCCTGTTAAAAAGGTTTCGTCGGCAGTATGGCCGTTTTACAGCTTCACAAAACAGACGGAGCAGGTAAACCTGACACCAATCTGCAGGTTATGCTGTAAGGAAGTTGCAGCGCCGTTTTTCTAACACTTCAAACCTACGTGCCCACCTCCGTGAACACCATTCAGCATCGTTCGCCCAAATCAAGGTAAAAACAACATGACCGCAACAAGTTTGGTCTACTCTACTGCTTATTATTGACAACATTAGTGACGTTTCTGCTAAATTTAGCTCCAAAAACCTAATGCTCCCAACATTGCGTTAGCTGCCCCTTGCTCATATTGTTTGTTTGTGTCATGCTGTGCACAGAGAAGTGATTTTGCAGTTTTTTACCATTTTTAATAACGTTAAAAGCACTGCGCTAATATCGTGATAATATCGTGAATCGTGATATTTGGGGCCACCAATATCGTGTTATCAAATTTTGATAATGACTCTGTTTTCCCATTGCATAGATACTTGCTCCACACCTGAACCACTGCATCCACATTTATCCACCTGTGTTTGACCTCTGACCTTCTGCCTGTATTTGTGTGTGTGTGTGTGTGTGTGTGTGTGTAAGACTCACCAACACAGTCCGTTGCATTGGCTCTCTCAAAACCGATGGGACAGCTGCTGTTGCTTAGACCTGATGATAAAAATGATCAGTTTCAGGCTATTGATCACACAAGAAACAATCACACAGGGAGCAGGAAGCTGTGTGTGTGTGTGTGTGTGTTTTAAGTGTGTGTGTGTTTGTTTATGATGTATTTTTGATGAACTGGCCAAGAGTGGAGGGAGACATCACACCAGTCTGAGATGTCAAACATCTTGCCCACCAAACCCCATTAATGTTTTTATTGTTTTTTCTTCTCCTCTCTCTGTCGGCACTCTCTGGTTCTTAAGATATATTACGTCATTTTCTCTGATTTGACAGACTGATGTAGAGTTTGGCGCCAGTGAGCGTATTACACGACTTCTTCGACACACACACTCACACACACGTGCAGATGTTTGGAGTGTGTGCTACAGAACTACAGACCCACAGAGCACATTCCTTTACTGTTAGTCAGTTCTGCTGAACACAGAGGAGGCATCATTACTCTGTGCGTGTGTGTGTGTGTGTGTGTGTGTGTGTGTGTGTGTGTGTGTGTGTGTGTGTGTGTGTGTGTGTGCGTGTGTGTGTGTCTGTGCACGCACGCATGTGTGTGTTTGATAATATCAGGTTGTTATATAAGTAGCTTCTGATGGCTCATTTTCAAAATATTTGAGTCATAAAGTATCAAATCTTCACAGAGCAAGAGGCAGAGAAATATTTCTATGTTCCTCTGTGCGTGTGTGTGTGTTTGTGTTTGGCATGACTGTTATTTTTGGTTGAAATCTCTAAACATTCATATGACGTCTGTATTTTTGGAAAAACAGCATTGGTTCCTCAGCGTCAGAACAAATTTCAGTGAAAGTCACCAGTGGAAAGAAACTAAGTAAATAAAAGTTACAAAAGAAATAATTAAAGTTAAATTCAGATATTCTTCTAAAGGTTTAATTGTTTGAAATATTAAGAACTTTAATCAAAGAAATGAAGAAGTAATCTAATGATTTTAAAGATTCATTCACCTCACCAGCAGTTTAGATAAATAAGGAGCAAAGTTTGGAGTAGCAGGAAGTTAGTGAGAATCTACAACATAGAGCAAGGGGTACAGACAGATACAGGAGGAGAGAGAATGGAGAGCAGGATGAGGAGGAGCAGGAGGGGTGAGAGGGGAGCAGGAGAAGGAGGAGAGTAGGGAGAGAAGCAGGAAGAGAGAAGTCTTGAATCATAATTAAATTAAGTCTGTTTCTTTGTCTGTGGTGTCAATAATGCATTTTGTAAATAAAACACAGGGGGTTCAAATCTGTCCGCGTGTGTGTGTGTGTGTGTGTGTGTGTGTGTGTGTGTGTGTGTGTGTGTGCGTCTGTGTGCGTGTGTGTGTGTGCATATTTACCTGTGTTTTCAGGACAGAGGACACAGTCAGTGATACCCCAGGCTTTCCCGATCCCTCTGCAGCACATTTCCCTGCTCCTCAGACCAGGCAGAGGAGAGCTGCACTAAACACACACACACACACACACACACACACACACACACACACACACACACACACACTCAGAAGTTAAAATACTGTATATACAAAGAGATAGTACCAGACTTAAACGTATGAACACATTCTGTGTTTGAGTTACACTTAATTTTGTCCTTTTATGCTATATCATCTGCTCTTCTAATCAAACATAAAATGCCCTCAGGGTCACACAGAATTAAAATATCAAAATTTACCAAAATACCACTAAAGCACTCTGAGCTAAGCAAACAGATGCGTCACAAATGCAAACAGAGCACCACTTTCGAGTGCGAGTGAACATCACAGACCTGATGAGGAAACTAAATCAAAGAAATCTGCAGTGCTGAGGAAAACTCCGGTTTGAGCCTCAAGGCTGCTGAGAACAACAGTTTCACACCTACAGGATCCATATGAATCAGGGAAAACAGCCACACTGGAACTCCTGAGACGTGCCAAAGCTGTGACATTAACCAGGGATCCCTGTGTGTCATTAAAATTTAGCACAACCGCACACCACATTAACACTGATAGTTATTGTGCACTTCTGCATATTTCATCATGTAAAACAGAGATGAATTCCAGGAATAATAGAAGTAAACCTTGTATTTGATAGAATAAACAGTCTGAAGCTGTCTCTTCCCTCTGCATCATGGTTTCAGATCCCCCTGGCGCAGCAGAGCAAAGCCAAGGTCATACAGTATGCAATTACTTGATTCACAAATCAAAGCACTGAGAAAAACTGCTTTACACTGTGGATATGGACTGTTTCTAAAATGTGAAATAATTGAATTTTAAACTTGAATTTCATCGCAGTTTTGGGATTTTTAGAAATAATTTGTTGAACTGCCCTCAAATGAATATCAATGAAAACATTATGTCCCTGGATAGTGTTTAACAACTTGAATAACAAGCAAAAACTTGTCTTTTCATAAATGCTCTGCAGTAAGACTGAAAAATCAATCCTTAAATATCGTTGGTTTAAGATTGCAGTCCTTCTGTGTCATATCTGAAGTGTTTGGCACGACTCATGTTGAACGTCACTCTGAAACTAGGAGACGACAGAGATGATCGATGTGTAGTGGTTGTGAAACTTGTTGCAGTTTTCAAAGTTGAACATGAAGTCTGTGTGACAGCAGCTACTGCAGCTGATTAAACAAATCTGCATTTTATCACCAGAGTGAAATATGGCCAAAGAGGGATTTTCTATCAGAGAAGTGTGAACATGCTGAATGTCTGCAGCCAGAGAGCTAATATGATCCAGAGAGTTCGGTCTGCAGTCACAGCTCATGACAGCATCATGACGATAAATCACCGATTCAGACTTTCACTGTTTCAGATTTATGCTGCAATAAAATACTTAAGCTTATTCGCGCTCATTACAAGGACATCTGCAGATAATGTACAGATGCAGAGAAACTGGAAAATCACCTTTTGCGAAAAATCCAACCACCACAACGTGATTTCAGTACTAAAGGACTATTTCACAAATTCCTCCTCTTCTCTCCCTCTTACCTGTCCATCCTTCACCTCTCTGAAACAGTACTTAAACCCAGACTGCTGGGTGTATGTGCCGCCTCCTCTCACAGTCTGAGCCTGGATCGCTCCACCTGATGGAGCCGGGGCACCTGCTGATCCAGATGTGGAGGAAGAGGAGGAGGAGAGGGTCTGCAGGTTTGGAGTGTATCCAGACACCTGCTATGGGAAAGAGAAGAGGGATGAGAAGGACAAAATGACAAAAAGGCGAAGAAGAAAAACTTAAATGAGGAAGAAGATGATGAAGGCAAATAAAGTGAATGAGACAGCAAGGATGAAGTAGATGAGTAAGAAGACAAGGACGACAATGTAGAAAGTAAACCAGATTAAGATAAGAAAGACAAAAAAAGCAAAGAAGAAAAATATCTAAGAGGAGGAAAATGACCAAGACAAAGAAGACGACATCAAAGAAGACGAGGAGGATATAGATGAAAATGAAGACCAAGGAAAAGATGAATATGTTTGCACAATATTCGCACCTTGAGTACCTGGTGGATCTTCACGCTGGCCTCTGGGGGGTGCTGCACTCTAACTTTCACCAGGGAGGGGCTGGGAGCTAAACAAAACAATCGTGAAAATATGTCTACATCACAGCTTTAAAAAAACGCATGGCTTTAAAATTCTCGCCACATTTGTTCTGGTGTTCCACAAGGCTCCATTCTCGGTCCTCTTTGATTTGCTGTATACTTTAAAAATAAAGTTTGATTGATTGACTGATTGATATGTTAACCACACTCTCTAACACCTAAGAACTTCCCAAACTTTTACAGCTGTACTGTTTAAATGGTTCTGGCTCTAGTTTTTCAAACTGTTGGTTTATGTTTGTTTTCTTTCATACACTTCCCATCAAGCATCATCTTTACCAAACAGCTGTTGTATTGGTGATCTGTCAGCAGCGATGTTTCATTTTACGGTTCCTGTTAAATTAATTCACAAATGAGGCATAATTGTTTTAAACTCAGCAGAAAGCTCTCTTTTAGGTGTGCAGCCTGTTTGTGTCAGAGGTCAAAGGTCAAACTCACCTCCAGGTCTCCCCCTCTCCTGGTGCTGCCCCAACGGCAGGAGGAACTCAGACTGGGTCAACTCCTGATTGGCTGCTGTGGCGGAGAGTTGGGCAGGCTTGACGATCTCGTTGGTGGAGGAGGGCAGTGAGGCTGCGGCAGTGACTGCGACAGGGGCGACGGGGATCTGACAGAACTTTCCGGTGAAGTTTGGCGGGCAGAGGCAGCGATCCTTCTGCAGGCAGACGCCGCCATTCTTACACAGCAGAGGGCAGAGGACTGCAGTGGGGACACAGAGACCAGATCAGACAATCTGATGTTTGTGAAGGCGCCCTCTATCTGTTAGTAACGGTAGAGTCATGAAGTTGAGTCTAGATTTGGGAGACTCAAAAATCTACGTTAAACACCCATTTAAAAGTGATTCAGAAGTTTAATTGACATCATCAGGAATGAGTGTCTGTAATGGTCAAGCCTGGACCTGGAGACTCTAACGTCCTGCAAGAAGGTAAAAGCTGGAACTCAGGATGTGAGAATGAAAACTGCAGGTGTAAACAAGGTGAGCTCTCAAAGTATCTGAAGCAGCTTAGACTGAAAGAAGATGAGGGAAAAGAAAAAAAAGATGATTGAAACTTGTGTCTGCAATTTAAAGTCAAGTCTGTTCAGTTGGACCAGCGGATTCACTTACTTGAAACTGAAACATAAGGACTTTGACATGTTTGAGTCTGATCTGTTTAAAGTGGGTCAGGTCAGCACCAAAGGTTAAAACTGACACTGATCAAAGAAAAAACATACAAATAAAAGACACTTATGTCACATTCACACCACTTTAGTAACTGGCCCCATCTCTCACACAAACACACACACACACTGACACAAATAGTCTGAAGCCAACACTAACACACATCCATCACATTTACTGCTGGTCTGGAAACACTCTCCATCCATTTCACAACACTCTCTCCTGTTTACTGTCAGGCCTCGGTACAGATGTATTCTGGGAGGTGTTATTGGGTGTGGCCCTCTCCTCTGTTGCTAGGAGACCTCAGAGGTCAGGTGACACATGGAAATCAAACAAAGCCTGCTGCCCTGATGGGACGGAGGTGAAAGTGGACCGGGCGCCAGCAGAACTGGCCAGCCGCTTCCTACCTCCTTCCTGCTGCATTGTTACCCAGAGTTCAACGGGTACTGGAGCAGCCGCTAATGAGCTGATACTACCCAGAAGTCTTTGCAGCAGGAAGGAAAACTGCAACTGAAAAAGTGGGTTACTCTGATGGTGATCTGTATCAGTAGCTCGACCTCAAAACAGCCCATAACCAGTTAGAGATCTGCAAACAGTTACCCAGTGGTGGTATAGAGTTTTAATAATATCTATCCAGAGGCCAACATGAGCTGTAAGAACTAGAACAAACTGGTATTTGGGCTGGTTGAACTGTTTTTGTAATTTAAGGACAGCTGGACATCCCAGTTCCAGTCAATGGCTGTTTTTGAATTCCCTGCTATACTGGCAGTGCATGCTAATTTACCCAAAATGTAGTAAGCAGTACATACTGCATACGGCGTTTGACAGGAGTATGCAGTAGGAGAATTTGAAAATAGCCAATGTGTTCACACTCCAAGAGCTAAGAACCGAGTAAAACATCCTCATAGACTCCCACTGTTCAGCGTACAGGCTACAACCTCTATCCTCCTCTGCTTTTCAGAAACACACTTCTACTTCTCCTGCTCTCTCCTCCTGTTGCTGCTTGATAGTTCCTACAACTTGATGATGATACACAAGGTTACACATTATGTTCCTCCTGCTTTTGCTCTCCATACAGACTTTTTTTCCTGCAGACACCAAAAACCTGTTGAGGTACAGAAACTTAAAACTCGGTATAAGAGCTGTGTGTAGTATTTTCTGTGTTTAAAGACCCTGCCAGTGTGTAAAAATGCATTTTTGAGTTCTATCTGCAGATGTTTTAGTTTTCTGTTAACGTTTTTGGGGGGTTTAAATACCCCATCTGTGTGTTTGAATCAGTCTACTCTGAAGTTAAACCGTGTGTGTTCATGTCCACACCCTCTAAAGAGAGTGTGTAAATCTCCCCTCTTCAGTGTTTTTTCATCCTACAAGCATTTCTTGTGAAACACACACACACACACACACACACACACACACACACACACACACACACACACACACACACACACACACACACACACACTCAGTGAATTGCTGCATGTGTGTTGGTGTAAACACAGTGACCTAATTATTATCCTGGACATCGCCCTCCAGATGGACTGCATCAGCACTCACACACTGTTTGGAGGAGGTTTTTTTTGGAGAAAACTGGGGCAAAAGAGAGCAAAAACACAGAAATGGAAAAAAAGGAGTGCACAGGCATAAACAAGGAGAGATTAAATAAATGAAATGGTACAAACATGAAGAGAGGGAGAGGAGGAATAAACAGAAAGAAACATAAGACTGAGGATGACTCAGTCAGAGTTGACAGATCTGTGGTTTGATAGTTTGCTTTAAGAAACACTTTGACTAACAACCTGACATGTAACGGTTCATCAGCTTTGAAGTCCTGATGTCTAACATGTTAGCAATTATCTGAGCAACACAATCATTCATTAAGGGTTGGTGCATATCCAACAGATGATTTTAGACTCTTCACACATGCAAGCCTGAAATTTCTTTCAGATTTACAGGAACTCTACCCTGAAATTTCCCAGAGGTCTTTGTTCACCACTCACAGCTTGAAATCATCGTCCGCTGGGGGGAGATGGGAAGATAAGTCTCATGTGACAAGACATGATATAAAAAACAGCTGGTATATTTACAGCATGACGGAGGACGAGGCTACAGAGACCTCTACCCTGATGACATTGTTCAAATTTATATGATGCTGAGTGTAAACAGACAGATGTGAAGACCACTCTACTGTCCTACATATGAAAATGATCCTTTGTCTTCAAACTTTGTATATTTATTGGTATAAATGTTGGTATCACTGCCTACTTGCTCTGGGTTATTTATATTATGCTGCGTTTGCATTAGCTTATCCTAACTTCTAGAAGAAATTTTACCAAGGACCCCTGCCAGGGAAGTGTCTTTGTAGAGTCAGAGTCAGTTTTAACATCACTCCTGACTGACTCCTGTAAAGTTATTCAACAAATTTTGATTTCCGCTTTGTTAGGCAGAAAAGAACTAAAATTGTTGCTCAATTTGATGGGTATTTTTTAGTCCCTCTGACTTTATGAAGAATAATATTCTTACTCTTGAAGATGTTTTTGTCTCCAACCCCTCCTGAGATAAACTCTACCACTGTGTTCACCAACTCCACTCTGTGTGTCTGTCTAGATATCAACTTCCTAAACTAGAAAACTGAGCTATTAAGAAAGTCCCAAAATCTGCAGTTCCTCAGGTGTCCACTTAAGGCTGCCCCCAAAAGTGAGTCAGTCCCCATAGAGTCCCATGGTAAAACTTTACAGCAGAAATAAACATGTCTACAGCCTGAAACAAAAAAAAGTTAGGGTCTCTATTTATGACAACAGTATGACTGAGTTCATGGAGAACACCTGTGTATATCAAGGGATTACAGGTATTGATACTCAGGGGTGTGGCTTCTTTGAGTGACAGCTGTCATTTTGGCTAATTACCTTGCTAAAAATAAACTCTGAGCTTTGTTTGTGGTGTTGAAACTTTTGAAAAATATGTTCTTCTAAATGTCTGACTAATAATCTGTCTGATTTTGGCCTCAGGTGACAAACACACACACACACAAACACACACACACACACAAACACACACATACACACTCAGGTAGTAGTAGTTACATCGCTGTTATGTATGTGTCGATAAAGTTCATCCAGGGGGCCGAAGTGGGGGGTTAGGGGAAAGGGTGACCTTTTAAAACAATGATGTCACCACCCCCCTCTCTCTTTACATCACTTTGTGAGTTTATGTTTTTGTGAGTTTGTGTGCGTTGCTGTCCAGTTGTACCTTGCCTCCAGTTTTCCAGATATCCTGGGCACGTGTGTGTGTGTGTGTGTGTGTGTGTGTGTGTGTGTGTGTGTGTGTGTGTGTGTGTGTGTGTGAGGGTTAACTTAATGATAAATGAAAGCCATATGTCAGCTGTTCCTCCTCCCTGAGCTCCTCTTTGTTTCTGTGTCTGAACTGCAGCTCAAACTCTCCTCTGAGCTGCAGGTAAATCAGTGCAGCAGAAAATGACCGCAAATGCTCATAATTATCTGATTTAGCGAATGGAGACAAAGAACAGCAGATGGACCTGGTTTTTCTCAATGAAGCAGTAAAGAAGGAGGAGAAGAAGAGGAGGACTTTCTGTTTGCTAGAGGCAAAAATGTGACGAATAAAAAAAAGGATAAAACGTTCAAAGATGCCGCCCCACACAAGTGAGTCAGAGCCCAGAGAGTCAGAAGTTCTGAGCATGCTCAGGAGAGGTTTCTAGGCCCTTACTAGGAGGACTTATAGTCTGGCTTGAAACGCATCAGGGCCACATTAAGGGAAAAATAATCAAATGAAGACATGGAAAATTAAGTTATAAATTTAAGAGAGGAAAGATTTAGTTTAGGAAGAAAAGAAGTTAAAAGAAAAAGCCATTAATGTAAAAAAAAAAAAAAAGATCATAATTGAACAAATTTTATGTCCATTTTATGAAATCAAATTTTATAAGATTAAGTATTAAATTTCAGAGACTGAAGTGTCCAATTTATAGGGATTACATTTACAAAATAAAGTCTTAAATTTACTAGATCAATGTTGATCATTTACAACATTGTTAAAACACAAGAATAAAGTCTTTAATTGATGAGATTTATGCCAAGCATTTACAAGAATAATAACTTAAAAAAAACAACTGTAAATTTACAAGAATTAAATTTGAGTAAATAAAGTTTAAGTTTAATCAAGTAAAACATCTGATATTACGATAAGAGTGAAGACTTTTATTAGCAAACATATGTGTTTTTTAATGAGGTCTTAAATGTACAAGATTAAAAATAGAAATTTAAAGAAATATTTTTTAATTTTTTGGATTTAAACTCTAAATAAAAATAAAAAAAGACACGAATAAGCAAGATCACGGTAGAAAATTTATGGGAATGAATACTTAAATGTCCAATGATCCAAGTTTTAAATATCCAAGAAAACTTTTGCACTTAAAATGAAGTTATAAAGTTAGTAAATTAATAATAATAAAGTTTTAAACTGATGGGATAAACTTTGGAGTTTGGTAAGAAATTGGACATTTATGAAATTTATACCCCCTTTCAGGTGAAAAAGACCCTCCGCTCCTGGCCGTGATTTAAACTTATGACCCATTTATCACTTGTTATTATACTTTTAGACAGAGTATCGTACACTGTAAAGTGTATTAAAGTGAAACTTCTAAAACCAGAAATTAAAGTATTCCAACATTTTTTTCAAGTATGATCTGATGAAACGACACAGATCAGCCCTTTCAAATTGTGGACCTCTGAGCTGCAGAATCTCCCCTCAGGTCTCCAGAGGAATGAGCTGAAACTCAAGATCAATCGAACACCCTGATGGATTTGATTTGATAATACTGACCTGGGATCAGATCACAATCCAAAACTATTTGCTGGCTCTGCTTCAAATGGCAAGCTCGGCCAACCATCAAACAGCTGCAAGTCACATGACAAAGCTGGAGCGGCTTCACACGCTTCACATGAAACCTCACATGTTGAGTTTAACTGCAAATCTGGACTGCACTCTGATGGGATTCCTGACCCTGAATCTCTCTGTTTGGTGCTTCAGTGACTCCTGTTTTAAAATAAGTGTGTAAAGTCAGTGTTTTGGTCTTTGAGTGTAAATGTGGCTGAAAGCACAAAAACCCCTCCTGGTGCTTCAAATGTTTTCAGTCAGGACTGCAGTCAGTCGAGTTCAGCAGTTGGACTCTTCTACTACAGAGCCATGCTGTTGTAATTCCTGTTGTCAGAATGTGGTTTGTCATTGTCTTGCTGAAATATGAAGGTTTCCCCTGAAACCTCATTGTCTGGATGTCAGCAGATATTGCTCCTAAACCTGTAGATATTGTTCAGCATTAATGGAGCCTTCACAGATGTGGAAGATACCCATGACATGGACTCTGATGATCCCTAACTTTTTAACTGTCTGGTTGACCCTGTACCAACTTATTTTGAAATTTATTTGTGGCATCGACCCAGTGAGGTAATTTAAATATTGTTTATAATATCTGATTTAATCAGCATTTTGAACAGTGTACCAACATTTATTAGTGCTAATAAATCCTCCTCACTGTGCTGGATCTCTTCAGGTTCTGAAGTCACGTTAATAGGATACCAGCCTTGCAGGCTGAGATTTTGCAGGTTTTGATATTTATGGGATACTATTTATTAGGCAGTAAACTGTTAATCTGATCCTGATCGTGGTTGGACATGTAGACACCTTTAACCTAACGGGACAGGACTGAAAGTTTTCCTCTTGCAGGTGTATTTCAGACTCTTTAGTCAGCATGCATGCGTCTTGAGGCTGTATTGTTCTCCCCTGCACAGGAAGAGATCATGCATTTAGGTGTGAATAAGTTAAAAGTTAAACTCACAGACTCTGAAACCAGGTCCATGGGAGCTGTCTCTCCGCCCTCCTCCTCCCCCCTCGGTGCTGCTGTACAGCGTGGTCACATTTCCTCTCTCGCAGTAGTTGACACATCGGTCCTGGCTGCAGCGCACTTTGCAGATGGTCGGTGTAAACATCACCTGAATCCTCTCCACGCCTCCTCTTCCTCCTCCTTCTGTGACAGTCTGTCCATCGGCTAACAGAGGAGAGAAGAAGACAATGAGGACGGATGACAAAAAAGAGCAGAGTCGAGTCTGTAGCATTTTTAGAGTCACAGTTAAAGTTTCTGATGCATTGTCTGAGCTACTGAACCCCTCCTGTCTAACTCTGCCTCGCTCGTCCCTCTCTCCCTTTCTCCCTTTCTCTGTCCTACTCTGTGCTGGGGTAGAAATGAATGTCGCAGGACAAAAGTTTCAGAGAAGAAAATACTCGCCCCTCTCTCTCTCTCCCTCTCTCTCTCTCTCTCTCTCTCTCTCTCTCTCTCTTGCTGTACTCTAGTTTTCCCTAAACACCCCTGAGTGTGAGCGAGTCAGCACCAGTGTGTCTGAGCAAAGAAGTGAGAGAGAGAGGTAGAGAGATAATTGAAAGCAGTGTGCAGGACTGGGCTCAAGTCCAAACAAAATGTTTAGCAGGGATCTGGTCCATCAGTCCACACTGAGAGAGCGAGGCAGAGGAAGTATTAGTACATGACTCCCTCTCTCCTCTGTCTTTATTGGCTGTTCCTTGGTGCGAGCAGAGGGCTTGTATCTGCACACAGTTTCATAACAGACCCCAGAACAGCGGAGGACGACAGGGTGATGATGCAACCCCGGTTTGAGTTTCAGAGGTCGACATTCACAAAACATCTCCAGGTTCAGAGCGGCTCCTGACCACAGGACTCGGAGAAAGTCCAAAAACTAACTTTAAACTACATCTGAGGATCATTTCTGTTTGATGCAGTAGAAAAATATGCCACTGGCATTTTTATCTGAACTTGGTGGAGGAGTTTGTCTCCTTTCAGTGACTTTATCGCGAATGTGTTCTCCTCTTTAACTTCTTCTGAGGTCCCCCAAAACTGAGTTAGTCCCTGTAGAACCTCATGCTAAAACTTTACAGCAGAAATAAACATGTTTACAGCCTGATATATATAAATTGGGAAATTTAGTTCGAACTAAAAGAGAATGGCTGATAACTTAATAATGAATTAAACACCTCTATTTAGCTTTGCAAAGACCAGGACAGCAGCAGAATCAGCTGTTAACTGTCTAAAATCATGCAAAATTAAAGCTCTGTGAGGCCCACAGCTCACCAAACAACTGGTGTGCTGATGTTTCGGGGGGTATGTAACAATTTTTTGCTAAAATCAACAAATAAAGGGTTAAAAGACATTGTATTGTTACGCCTGACTTGATTCACTGAAATTGTCGTGTCATTTGGAGCAGGTGACCTTTTACTCTAGAGTGCATTATGGAGTTCCTCAGGGGTCAATACTGGGGCCAATTTTCTTTTCAATTTCCATGCTGCTATTAGGCTAAATAACACAGAGGCACTATGTTTTATTTGATTGTTACGGTGACGACACTCAGCTGTGTCCGCCGGCTGAATCACATAGAAGTCTCAACCCCTCAGACGTGACTAACTGTCTCGCTCATACTGAAAACTATATGGCAGCATATTTCTTAAAATTAAACCTAAATAAAACTGAAATAGTCATTATTTGCTCAAAGAAGTTACACCCTGAAATCTGGTCCTTCCTTTGGTTAAAGCACTCTCAGAGTAAAGCAGAGCTCAGGGTTACTTTGACAGCAGCCTCACTTTTCCAAAACAAAGTTATGCACTTACCTTACACTGGGACTGCCACTAAGTTTATGTGCATTTATTCGGCTGCTTTGAGTGAGGAGGTTGACTGTTCTGCTGCAGCAGCAGATGGAGGTGACTGAGTTTTTACAGCCTAAAGCCAGCTGACGCCTTTGCATTTGGGTTTGATTTGATTGGGTGTGTTTGGCCATGGAGGTATCCCCCTCTCACAAGAAACTATTTTTGAATTAAAAGTGCAATTCCCTCCTTCTTTATCCTCTGCTTTGGTAAAGTATTATATTTGGTAAATGTAAAGCTCTTCCTCACAAACAACTAGAGATCTTCTTTGAGTGGTTTGATACTTGATGTCTGGCAGTTAGAGCCTGGCTTTTCACCCATAGTTTTAAGAATTTCAGGGTTTTTAGGATTATTTCAACCTGTTAAGACTCAACAGTCTAATCAATAACTTTAAGGGCTCTATTTTCGTGCCTCGTTGGAGACGTGCCGCAGGCACGGCGTAAGTCAGGTCCGCCGCTCCGACAAGGCGTTTCCAAGCACAATTTGGTATTTTGGTGAGCGGCACAGCCCGGCGTAAGTATCCCCCCTCCCTAACTCAGCTCCTCCCAGCGGCGTAAGTCGTAGCGAGGGAGGAGAGAGGGCGTGGAGTGGGTTTAACACAGCCGAGACCCGTTTTCACCAATCACATAAGCTCCTCTCCTTGCCTTTAAATCCGCCACCGGCAAGGCGTATTACTATTTTCGTGAAGTAGTCAAAGAGATACTATTTTCGTGAAGTAGTCAAAGAGTTCAAGAGATGTTTGAAGACAGTAATGCCACACGATGGCGACAGAAGGCAGCTCCTCAACAAGTGTCACTGTAAACGCTGCATTGGGCGTCCTCCACACTCTCTCATATGAGCACAGATGGATTTGGTGTGTGTAATGTTGGACCCACTGGTAAGACAATCACCCTTTTCCACAAATAAAGACACTCACATAAAGTTGCATGTATTCAAACCTCACGTGACAAAGGTGGGTTGAGCGCACAGATCACAACATAAACTCCAAAAATGGCATTAAAATCGGAACCATCTGTGTGTAAATGACATGTCCAGGTCGAGCTGCACGAGAAATAAGAGGAAGAGGAAGAAAGAAAAGGAGGGAGACACATTACATGTCTTGTTAACTTCATCATGTGTGTTTATTTATTGTATATTTTATTTAATTTAATGCGGTTTAAGCTGTGTTGATTTGGTCAGGTTGTGTGTCCAAACGCGTGCCAAATGCGCTCATCAGATCAGATATAGATCAGAATATATCTATATATCTCTAAATGTATGTGCTGAGTCAGATTATTAGTTGTTGATGATTATTTATTGCACTGAAATGTGCCTGACACTGTGGAAACCTGCTGGTGAGGCATCGGTGACGTATGTCGATACGCCGCAGGTCTACCAAAATACCACTAGATCAGCTGCGCTCCACCTGCGCTGAAAGCTGACCAGGTTTGAATCGGCGAGCTTTCAGCGCACTTTACACGCCACTGGCGAGCACGAAAATGTCACTGCGCCCGCTGATTCTGTCGACACCTCCCCCTGCCACGCCACCACGCCCAGCTTGGCGGATCTCGGTTCGCCTCCGTGCGCCTCAGTCCACGAAAATACCAAACTGGCTGTACGCCGGGCTCTGCCAGACAAAAATACAACTGCGCAGGGTCCGCCACCCTCCGCCGCCTCACCAGCGTACACGAAAATAGAGCCCTAAATGTTACCAGTTTTTTAACCTTGTTTCTGTTTCCTACTTTTTTTTAACCGGGATGAGAATGTTCCTCTATTAAAATAACATTTAACACACTGTGTGGGACTCAAGCGTGTTGATGCCTCCTGCAAAAAAAAGGAAAGAAAAAAAAGATTTTCTGTGTTGTATGTCAGTTTAGGAAAGCGTTACTTTAGAAAAGGGTGTAATGTTTGTGTGATAGAGACATCCTGCAGCTGTAAGAATGAACATGTTTGTATCATAATCCAGACAAATGATACTGATAATAAATCCTCCTTATTGGGTTTATGTTTCTGTCTGTTGGAGGAGTTTAAGTCACAGCTCAGAAAGTAGGTTAAAAATTTCATCATTGGTCAACAAACAGTCATACTTAGAAATATAAACTGGGTCTGAAAGGAAATCAATCTGATCTACGGGAGTGATCAAACTGGTCTGGATTTCCTGAGGGACCCCAGACCTGCCTCAGGGGCCCCTTCAGATTGGAGGATTGTGGGCTGTTTTATTGGAATAGAGGCTCTGGTTGTTCCTGCAACTGTTTGTGTATGAGCTCATGTCCTGACTGCAGACACGGCGCGCGCGCATGCACGCACGCACGCACACACGCACACACACACACACGCACACAAGGCCTCGGTGTGAAGCCTGAAGCAGTGAAGCTGAAACTGAACTAAAAACATGAACACAGTAGAAACACTTGATTTCAACGTGACTACAGAACCCATTTTCACACCTGCAGAAGCACCTTTGTTTTTCAGACCTCACTGTGGTGACCCCAGACTCATCAATTATTCAGACATCTCCACTGAACTTTACTGAGTGTCACAGTTTATTCGTAACTACTACTGTTTTTTTTTTTTTTACTTGATATGATTGTGTTTTTAAATGGACCATACTGCACTTCTTCAATGCAAACTACCAACATCTGCATTGTTGCTCTAATGCATTTTTCCTCCACACTTAAATTAATTTCTGTAACATCACCTGCTGCACTTTATGACTGAGCTCTCCTGCACCTCTTCACTGCATCCTGCTGCTTTTCCGCACTTCTCCACTGCACTTTTACTGTACTGCACTGCACCATCTTGACTACACTCTTCTGACTTTTTTTTACCACACTGCATTGACTTCACTGCTCTCGACTGCACTGCTTTCACTGCATTGCACCTTGTTCTGTTTTTAGTGCACTTTAGTGGACATTTTCATTGCACTGTCTTCACTGTACTGACTTTATTGTATTGGATTTCCTCATTGCACTCATTTTTCAAAGATCACTCCCATACTTCTGCACTCTGCTCCATTTTTTCATTGCACTTTACTACTTTATTCACTGCACTGTTCTGCACTTTCTACATTCTGCTGCATATTGTCATTGCACTCTACTTAAAATCTCCACTGTAAGCTGCGTTTTTTTACTGGACCCCACTGATTTATACCTCCACTATTCTGCTGCACTTTCACTGCACTCTAGTGCTTAACTGCAGTCATCTTTGTGCAGTCACAGCATCTACATCAATCTTTCACCACACTGTACTGCATTTGTGAAATGCACTGTGTTCTGACGCTCGCTTTCACTTTTTACCTCCTCACTCTCCTGCAAAATTGAATTGCCTTTCAGGAATGAATAAAGTTGTTTGAACTGAGTTGGATTTATTCACCATCCCTTCTGTTTTTTTATGTACTTGTGTACTTCTTCCTGAACTGAACTGCATTTTCTCCACTGTGCTCTATGTACTTCATGTCTGTGCTGCACTGCTGCAGTACCACTCTGTGTTTTCTTACATTTCTTTGGGTATTTTCTGCATTTCACTGCACTGGGCTGCTCTCCTTTATTAAACTGCACATCCTTTTCCTGTTGTACCTTACTGCATTTCTTTCAAACACTCTACTGCAGCTCTTCTCGGTGCATTACATGTTTTCATTGCGCCCTACTTGGTTTTGTTGCTGTAGCCTGATGTCAATTTTCATGCTGCATGTTTTCACTGTACTTTGCTGAGTTTCTTTTTCACTTTCTCCTGCATTTCTTCCCTCACCATGCAGTATTTCCAGCTTTATTGCATTTCTTTCTCAGCATGTCTTGCTGCATTTTAATCCATCCCTCCACTAAATCTGATGCATTTCTTCACTCTGTTTGATTGACTAACTGCAAATTCTTAACTTGACTATGTCCTACTGCACTCTACCATGAGTCCTTTTTTACTTGCATTCATCATGTCTTGGGATCCATTGACTCGAGCCTCTGTGATCAGCATTACATAATGATCTGGGACCTGTTAGTGTGGCCTCAACCTTAAAGCATGATCTCATCTCTGAAGCTGTTATGTGTATGTTTAAGATATCTGCTGAGAAAACCATTCATGCTGTATTGATAGAGTATTTCAGAACTACTTAACTACCCCAGTATTAAGTAAGTCCATCAGCACACTCACAAGGATGTTTTCAACTAATCAGGAGCTGCTTTGGTCTGAAATCACAGCTTTAACATCCCAGATCTGTTTCTGAATTTGGACAGAGACTCTTTCAGCACCGTTATATCCATGTCACATTAGTATTGAACTCCAAACATCCTCATTTAATCTCTGGGGTTACTTTAATGACTCCATCTCCCCCTCCACTTTAAATTGAACTCATTCTCCCATCGTTTCTCTCTCCACAGCTGGACAATAACAGGAACTGAGTTTGGCTGTAATCACAGTGATCAGGGCTGAACTAAGACGCTGTATTAACATCCACCTTATCTGAAACACTCACCCTGTGAAAAACACACATTCCTGCTCTGTTAAATCAGCTTCAGCTTGTTTTTTCACAACAATGTATGGCTGACAGACATGACCTCTGTGTGTGTGTGTCTGTGTGTGAGTGTGTATCTCTCAGCACCACTGTATCAGCTTCACAGAGTTATCACACCAAATAATGAGCTGTGTGAGGAGGTATGTGTGTTAAATACACACTCAGACTGAGTTATCGTCTCCAATCCCGACTGATTATAATGTCTGCTCTCTTATCTGCAGCGCCCCCTCCTGGTTAACATTAAACACTCTGTAAACACACGAACATGACTCCTGCAGGATCAGGTCTTCATATCAGAAAAACCCACCAGGCTAAGAGCAGCGCTGACTGTCTGTCATTGTGCATCCACTGACCTGTGGGCGCAGTGAAGTAGACGGTGTACTGGCCCCTCTGAGTGTGGAAAGTCTTTACACTGGAAGAGGAGGAGGATGGTGATGAGGAGTTAGAATAACCAGAGGAGAGGGTCTCACGCTGAAGCTTCTTCCTCTCTTTCTCAATGTGCTTCATCAGCAGAGTGGCCATCTTGTCTCCTCTTCCTCCCCGTGACAGAGTCTTCCTCAGCAGCACGGCCTGGGCCTCCCTCAGACTGTCACAAATAACAAACACATCAACTTGCACATAATAAGCAAAGTAAAAGAATCAACCAGACGTCTTTAAACTGAGGTCAATCACTGCTTCTGTCCTTATTGGTTGAAGGTTGCCTTCATAAACTAGCATTAAAATTTAAACCTATGGGGGGTGCTGTCATCCTGTGACTACGCTGGACTAATTCATGATAAAATAAGTATTTTAGGAGGTAAATTTTCGGAGTCTCTAACTAATGCTGATTAAAATGGTCTTAAATAGTTCCTGCAGCTCAGTGAAAAAACAGGATTTTTTAATCTGCAGTGGAGGCCTGAGCTGATATCTAACACACACTCAGAGACGCCCTGCAGTCTGATGGGAGTTTATTTTTCAGCTCTGTTGTGTATCTGAGCTCACATGTTGCAGCTGCTGGTTTCTTAAGGGGCTTTATTTTTATGAGTTACACAATGTCCAGGTGGATGTTGCAGATTAAGCAGAGGCAATAAGATGCACGTCTTAGGTCATGCAGGCCCCAGGGAGGATAAACCCAAAAGAGTAAGACCCTCTGACATTTCTGCAGCGATCGTTGAAGGATTCGATGTTCGATACTTCCTGTTTTAATCTGTTCCTACGCATCTCTTTCAATCCTGTCCATGTCTATTATTGTTGTTTTGATGACCAAAAACATCTCGACCACCCTGAACCCCTTCTCAAACAGCTCCCTGTGGTCAGTTTTCCCACAGGCCATCTTGACCCTGGCTCTGAACCCTTGACCTCCTTGACCTTTAACCTCTGACTTGGGGTTGAGCTGAATATTAACACTGAGGAGGCTTTGACGGGAATCTGGTTTCACATACAGACAAAAAACTTCAGGACATCCTTTTAGAACTGGGGAGGGATATAAATCCTCTGTCAGAAACACTGACTGTTTTTTAAGTGACTGAAATGCGTTAAATCTGAAATACAAAGAAGCATTTAAAGCTTATTGTTTTATCTAAGTATGGGTCTCAGACATGAAAGATGTTTCCATCACTTTCCTCTAAGGTACAAAACTCCATAAACAAAACTTTTAATTTTACCTGCTGAATACAGATCTGCTGATCAACAACTGCCTCATTTAGATGGTTCCTTTGAGATATTTTGTGTAATATTAATATTGTGTCTCACCAGAAATAACCAATCAATAGTAATTAACCATTATACCATTATAACATTACAATAGAGAAAACTGACTCTTATGTAGTAAATTTATACATTTTGTTGATGGAGTTTGGTGGTTTTTCAGAGTGACATAACAGCTGTTCCTGTTTAAAAAAAATCTCTTCTCTCTGTAAAGATTCTCACGTTTTCAAAAACCTAAATTTAAACTATCAGGGAAAAAATTCAGAACTTTTTTTAATGGGCATATTTGTTTACTGGGACTTTTGACCCTTTACGGAAAAATGAACTTTTTAAAAATTAAAATTTAAAAAAAATTGTAGATTTGTGAGCTTGTATTTTTCTCTAAAAAGATTCTTCACTTTTTTTTCTAATTTTTCTTTTATGCTGTTTTTTTATTTTTAATTAAACAAAAAATGTTTTTATTGCCAGAAAAATCCTCTAGCCTCCATCTGTGATGCAGTTGTGTATTGTATACTCAGAGGAAGAGCTCCATCTGCTGGTCACACGGGAAACAGCAGGTTTGTTTTCTTCTGTTATCATCATGTACCTGTGCCTGTTATTGATTAATTCCACCTTTCTGCTCTTTTGTAACATTTCTAAAATAACAGGAGTTTACTTTCAGTTGTCACACTTTATTTCTGAGCTGTCTATTTAACATATTTTTCATGCTTTTACCTAACTTGAAGTAAAGAACCAAAATATCTCTTTCACCTTCCGACCGTAGAAACCTGAAAAATTGAGGATCACATTTTCATGCACCACAGAAGCTTCTTGTCCCTCAAAGGCCACTATAGCTTTACTGACAGAAGGGATGAGCAAGGGAGTGTTTTATCCAGATTCTGTCTGCTACATATCCCTTTAAATTCCCTTGTCTAAAATTTAAAGTCCTCTTCTCTGGGGGACCTAATAAAATACTGGAGGTTATATATTAGTATGTTTTCTTACCTCAGTGGCATTTTTTTTGCTCCCTCTTTTTTCTCCACCTTCTTCTTCCCCTCTGATGGTTTTCCCTCCTCCTCCCATTTCTTCTCTCTTTTCACTCCTTCATCCACACTTTTTTCTCTGACGGGTCCAGGATTAGACTCCAGATTAAACTGTGACACCTTCCTGGTCTTAGGATAAAACTCTAGGTTTAGTTTGTCCTCAGTCTCAGTCAGATTTAGACTTTCCTCGACTTCAGGTCTCAGTGTCAGGGTTGTTACTCTCTCAGTCGTCTTGGTCTGATGGTTAAATGTTTTATCTTCTGGTTTAGAGAGTCCACTTACCTGTGCCTCACTCTCAGTCTCAGACCATGACACAGACTCTGGGTTTTGGTTTTCACTTGGTCTTCCCTTCAGACCTTTCTTGAGTTCACTTTTAAATCTTCTTGGTGGAGCTGTTACCCCTACTCCCTCCTCAGGGTTTCCAGTCTCAGGTTGGACCTCAGGTGAAAGTTCTGCCCTACTTTCAGATCTCTGTCCAAACTGCAGACTTTTAGGAGAGGCCTGGTTCCCTTCCTGGATTAGAGACCCTTTAGCTACTCCTCCCTTGTCTTCAGGTTTCCAAGACTCTTGGATTTCAGACCTAGGAGCAGGCCGGTTCCGGTCTGATGTTCTGGTTTTGGGTGCTCTCACAGTCTTTGTGGTAGTTTCAGTGGTTGGGTACATGGCAACTGATCCAGATTGTACATTCAGGACTCTCATCTTCTTGACGGAATTGCTGCGAGAAGTTTTGGTCCCTGGTTTTAAAGCTGGTTCTGGTTCTTTGGGGTTCAGGTTCGGGGTCCTGGTAGGACTAGTGGAAATCTCACAACGGTAACCGCTGAAACCTTGACGGCACACACAGCGGTTCGACTGACGACATAATCCTCCACCTTGGCAATGAGGAACACACCTAGCTACAGGGGGAGAGGAGATAAGGAGAGGAGACAAGGAAAGTAGACAAGGGGGGAAGACAAGGGGAGGAGACAAGGGGTGAAGACAGGTATGTTTATTTCTGGTACTTTCTGCATCCTGTAAATTTGATAGAGGTTAACTGATATCAGTTTTTCAAAGGTTGCTGCTGATAATTAGAGATGTTTGGCTGATATTTGATGCCCATATCAGATTGTTGTATCTGAATATAACAAAACTCACAAACAAAAAACAAAATCTCTGAACTCTGTGAGTGTTTTATCAGGTAGATGTCAGACAGAAAAATCCTGGCTCAATGTAATATCACCATAAGGGTCTTCATATTTCCCCTCACCTGTATGAGATCATTAGGAAAATAATACAAAAGGTGAATGTTGACATTATTATGAAACTGCATTGTTCTTAAAATTATAACATTATTCATATTAAACACCAGCTGGTGACCGTTTTAGATTTGAGAAGCTGTTAAACGTGTCTTTCATTTGGAAAGATGGTGATGATATGAAGCTGACAACATCTAAGTACCGTTAATCAGCCTGATTAAACAGCTGACTGATAAATCAGTCTTGCTCTGATTTATTTATTCTATTCTTTTCATATTCAATGCTTATATTACATATATTTTATACTTCATTCTTATTCTGTTCTACTCTATTGTATTCTATTCTGCAAGTACTCGGTATATTTTATGTCATGTGATTTTGTTTGTTTGTCTCACTGTATAATTCACTGTATATCATATATTGTCATATTATTATCATATGTATGAATGGATGACATTTCAAATATTATGCTCCACCAATGAGAAACTGAGATATATCTAATTTAGTCAGACAATTTGAAGTTATCACTCATCGGTTGTTTCCTTTCACTCTGAGGAAGACACCTGCAGTGTTAAACCGCCAGTATGTTTGAATTAAAAGTGCTTGACTGTGTGATTTGCTGTCTCTTTTCTAAGAAATCTACAGAGGGAGACCTTGAGGGTCGGTTCAAAGTGACAGCAGAAAGTAAATAGACACAGAGTTTAGATAAATAATGTGTGACAGTAAAGACCTCAGCAGGAGACACAAACTGATCTACATCCTCTTTGTCTGACTGTTTGTCTGTGCAGAGTTTCCTTCTATCAGGACAATGTGACCAAACAGTTCAGCTTTACAATGTGGGCTCTGAGCCCACTAGGACTCACATGTGTGTGTGTGTGTGTGTGTGTGTGTGTGTGTGTGTGTGTGTGTGTGTGTGTGTGTGTGTGTGTGTGTGTGTGTGTGTGTGTGTGTGTGTGTGTGTGTGTGAATGGGACAGGGGCTAAATCTGTTTCCATTCACGAGTTTTTGCTCCCTGCAGGACATTCACTGCCGAGCTGTTTAATCCGGGCCTGAAAGAAACCATTTGGATTTGTGTGCATGTGTGTGTGTGTGTGCACACCCCCATGTTGGATTTCTCTTTCCTTCTGCAGACTCAACATTCAGACGGTCACATTAAGCTCCAAACTCCCTCTCTTAAGAAATAAAGCTGTTGTGGAGGTGATAAAACTGCAGTTCCTCAGGTCTCCACTACAGGCTGGTTCCTCATTCAAATGAGCTAAAATGAACAAATTTACAGTTTGTTGCAAAGAAAGCTCATTTTTCTATATGTTCTCACTGCACAGGGGGAATCTTTCTGTCATTCATTGGCTCTGAAGATTTTAAGGTTTCAAGTTATGCATAATTAGAGTAAGGTCAAGTTGGGTCAGGGTTTCCACTGTGGCAACCAGGGATTCCCAAAATTCTTTCAGCTAAGAACCCTAAAAGGATACTAGATATCTACTGTGGGGTCACAGGAGGAGAGATGAAGCGAGTGATAGCCACTCATACTGTCAGAGAGGACGTTTACATGCACAGTTAGCTTAATGGAGGAATAAACGTTGAAACAACAATGAAAACGAATGTCTTTCCTCCATCATACACAGAATATTCCAGGATATAACACCCATAACAACAATGAAATCATACAGTAAAATGATAAGACAGCTGGCAGCCTTCATCATTAAATCTTTGGGGATCTGAATTCATCTCTTGCTGCAGTTGTTTGAAATATTTTGTGTAAGTTTTCATTCAACAATTCAGACCCATGCATGTCTCAAGTCTCTTCTGAATTTGCAACAGAGACGTGTTTACAGTGTAGTTTCAGCAGCAGGTCCTTTGACTGGTCCCAGTAGTTAGGGTTATAACACAGAGGAAGGTCCAGTAGGTTTTAATAACAGTACAGTGAATGAACAGAAACAGAAGAGGACTTGTGTCTGTGTCAGCTCTACATGTGGATTATATAACCTCCACATTCACACTTCAGATCCAGTGTGGTAACCATAAAGTCCAGAATCTGTGTAAATCCCGGAAGCATAAATAATCTGGCTCAGCTCATAAATCCAGCTCTGCAGACGGACTGGAGTCCAGCACAACTCTGAGTTTGGTCATAAAGCAGAGCTGCAGCATCAGTCTGCAGCTCATCAGGTCACATGTGCTGATGGATGTTTCAGGACTCCCACTGTTTGCGCCTGTATAAGTCAGTAATGGAGGTGTTTACATTATGTTTCTATACTGCAGTGATTTTATCTGTATGAAGCATCAAACACAAGATTAAAGAAAAAAAAACAACAACTTTTTTTTTTCATAACAAAACCTGATGGCTCAGGTCTGTTGCTTTTTCCCAGAAGGCTGTTGCTAGAAAGAATACACCATTGCTAAGGATACAGCTTTCATCACAGGTGCTGGAGGACTCACTAAAATTGCATCAAGACACTAAAATAAGTTTGTTCAGTTTAAAATCTATACATTAAGGTGAATGATTTGAACGTTTTCACAGCAAAACACTCTGGGACTTGTAGTTGATTTCTCTACTACATCAAAATGGTGCTGTGACATACTTTCTTTGAAGCTTTGTCCATAATTTGTAGTATATCTGAAACAAATTAGTACTTTATTATTCAAAAATTTTTCATTTGGTGATAAAAACTAACTACAAAATGACACTCGCTCCTTACACGTGGATTATTCACACCAGTCTTCATCTCAGATTTGATTTAAAAAGTTAAAGAACTCAAAGATGAATCTCAGTGCTATAGGTCTGATGTTTCTGGAGTCCAGATGAGTGTTATTCACAGAAGTTTTCTGTTTGATATCTGCAGCAGGAAGCTGCAGCTGTTTTATTACAACACAATGTCTGAAAAGGATCAGCGATAAAAATACAGATGTGCTGAAGACCTACATAACTGTAATGTCTTTTAGTAGTACCTGCATAGTCCAGTTTTATAAACATTTTTCAAAAGGATTGAAGAATAAAAAGATAACAGTGAGACATATTTACAGATTTTATGATTATAATAATAGCAGTTCAATAGATTTGGAAAAATATAATTATATTTTATTATTGTTACACTTTTTTATGCACTATTTTCTTTCAATTATGCCAGTTTGAATACACACAGGCCTTGTACTTGTTTTAGTTGAGGATCAAGTTCGGATTTGATACCAGCAACATTCAGCAACAGGTATGGGGATCATCAGAGTCCATGTCGTGGGTAGCTTCTACATCTGCAAAGGCTCAATTAATGCTGAACAACATCTACAGGTTTAGGAGCAACGTCTGCTGACATCCAGACAAAGACTTTTTCGGGGAAGACCTTCATATTTCAGCGAGACAACGACAAACCACATTCTGACAACAGGGGTAACAAGAGCATGGCTCTATAGGAGAGAGAGTCCTGCTAACAAACTGGCCTGACTGGGACAACATTTCACTTTCAAACTCCAGAACCTGGTCTGCTGGGTTCAGAAATATCTACAGGGTGTTGGGAAAAGAGGACAGTTAATGCTACACAATAGTAAACATGTCCCTGTATCATCTTTCTGAAATGTGTTGTTGGTATGATATTTTATATTAGCATTTTTTACAACAAAACCAGTTTCAACTTTGACATGGTGTCTTTGCCCTACTTTCACCTTAAAAGCTTAACAATTAACCATAAAGCCATTTTGACTTTCCACGCCGTGTACATCGAGGCTGCAGTTTTTTGATGCCTAACAGATCTTAGCCTCCATTCTCCACCAGTTTCTAACTCTTCTTTATTTATTTATTTACTTTTATTTAACCTTTATTCGACCAGGAGAAAACCTATGAAATTAAAAATCTCTTTTTCACGAGTGTCCTGGCCAAGACAGCAACAGTGAACATAGTTTCAAATGTACATTAAAGCATTCATACTGATACAACATACTACAATATATTTGTTCATAACCTACACACAAGAATTTAGGCAGCAGCTATTTATCAGAATCATCCAGAACTCAGATTTAATCAAAGCATTTTCATTCATTTGTGCTTTACCTGCTCCTGAATGTGAGGAATAAAAGTCAAGTACTGATCAATCAATATACCAAGATATCTGTAGCTCAAAGCAAGCTTAATCTGAGAACCCTGAGAAGTAAAGACTGAAGGCAGGTTTAAAGGTTTAGGTTTAGTGTTTGAGAACAGCATGACCTTAGTTTTGTCAGCATTCAACACAAGTTTTAAGTCAAAAAAGCAAGTTGAAACTACACAAGAGCTTGGCCTGAACTATTTCCCAATAAAAAAAAGGTTTAAAAAGCAAACATTAATTTTGAAAAGCAGAGGATCTCACTCACGTTTGGTGCATCGATTGGTTTTGGGGGACAGAGTCCATCCAACACAACAACGGCCTCCACAGACGTGAGGGCTGCAGAGAGAGAGAGAGACAGAGATTTTATTATTTATCAAAAATACAGAGATTATTAAAAGAAAAAGCTGTTCCAAAAGTTAGATTATAGATAACATTACTGTACTGATAGAAGGAAACTCTGCACAGACAAACAGTCAGACAAAGATGATGTACTTAGTGTACATGAGAAATCAACCAAAGGGACAAGCTTAAAAACTGTTTTACATTTCTGCTGCTGTTAACATGGAGCTCTATGAGGATCCACTCACTTTGAGGACGGCCTCTGCTGAACACTTGGGGAACTACAGTGACTGTTTTCACATGTGTGTTTGATTTATCAACACCAGAGTCTGACACTAGCTCATAACAGAAAAGACTTTTAAAGGTACAGAAAAATTACCTGGTCTCTTTTAAAATGTTTCTTAAAAAAACTCTTCCCTCCATAAAGCATTGGATCTACTCTGTTGGATTGTTTCCCTCTTTTCTATTGTACCTGGTGCAGTCCGGTATTTATCTAAGTTCATGATGGCTCCCCGAACCTATCTGAGGATGCTGATCACTCAGCATCTCCTGTTGGAGGATGTTGTCTGAACTCACAGCTCAGCGTTAAAACAAACACAGCGACCATCTGCTGAGGATTTAGAGGACATTTGGGTTTTATCATCATTTCCCCCCGTCTTTAAAAAAATAAGATCTGTTTCTATTTCTACAGCAGCTGTTTGGATTACTCTGGATGTTGTAGCTCCAGTTTTGTGTGTTTGCACGAGACTCCAAGCCCATCGGCCTTCTGGGAAAAGGAGTCAATTAGCAGACTAACACCAGGTCAGACCTCCCAGACCTCACAGATGTGTTTCACAGGAAGAGAGCTGTTTGACTTTCACCTCATTTGGAAAGTGGAGGCAAGTAACAGCTCATTGATAAACTGATTTAAAGTGCCTCCTTTTTCAAGGGATTTTGTTCCGGTCAGACCAGTCACAACCGTTTTCCAAACTAAGGTCCCCTGGTTTAGGCAGGAACTGGAGCATCTTCCTGAACAGCTAAAAGAGCTGCTGTGGATGTTCTGACTCTGCAGATGAAAAATTAGTGAACACAGATTATGCTGCAAAAACATATCAATACATTTCATGGAGCATTCTTGGGTCTCTAAGACAAACAAGAATAATAATGAATTTAACTGATGCGAGATTCTGGTTCAAAGAAAAATCAAAATAAAACATTTTCTTATTATTGTCATATATTCAGACATGTGCAATGTGATTAATGCAAACCCTGATGTTGTGATTATGATGCAAGTAAGTACAACCAATTATGCAGCCCTATGTGCAGCAGTCAGTCCTGCATTATTCTCACAACACTAATGAATAATTAAAGACTGACTTGAGAGTCTCCAAGTCAATGCATATTAATACAACAGTAATCTTAGTCCAGTGATATAATTTGCAAAATGAGAACTGTGACTGTGGTGCTTGAGGAGTAGTTTGTCATAGGATTGCTATTGCAGGACAGTATATTTACACTGTGACTCCTTTTCAAAACTGTGAGTGAATCCATGTCAAATAAACATTTACAGTTATGAAACAGAGATCAGAGGAAAAGCTGGAGCTCACAGTCCAGCCGAGCTCAGCAAACTGTCTCTGTATCAGATTTGAGAGAGGAGTCTGTTTTTTAAATGTGGACAGAGTCTCTCTGCAGAGGATTTAAGCATTACTCACAGTGTGCTGGTCGTATTGTAGCAGCAGAGGAGGCCCCACTTCACCCACTGACACACACACTAACACACCAAGACCTGTGTGTGTCTGCAGCACTGTGTCTAAACAGAGCTTCGCCACACACAGCACTGGACCTGTATACACACAGACAGTCTGGTCTGAGTCTGACTCACTGTGTCATATCAAGAGCACGACTGTCCCCCTTCATGTAAGAGTTTGTCTGCAGAATTTAAAGGCTCATTTAGGTACCTGCTGTTATAACTTATATTGTCCTCCTCATCTGACATAAATGTATTCTGATATAAATCAGCTCATTTTAGGTTTTCAAATTAACAAATCTGATCATTTAAGTTTGTTTTGTCAAATTTTTCCTTACCTCTATAAATAATGTAACTGCAGCAGGAAATCTGATCTAATTCACAGTAAAACAGCATATTTGGTGCTACAGGCAAAAGCTGTTGTTCTGCCAACCCTGCTTTTAATGTATACAGGTGTAGCAGAGGGGAGGTGAGCTCTCCCCGCCTCAGGCTTTGGATTTCCTCATAAACATGTGGAAAGATATGGAGCTCTCAGGACAGAGCTATACTGCCAAATATGACTTACTGTGTGGATATCTTTTAATGTAAAATCTTGGCCAAAAAAGACAAATATGGGCAAATGTAATACAAAGTAATATCTTGTTAGCACTTTTTAAAAATGATTACCACATGGGACTCATTAAAAACAGAAAAAGAAGAAAAATGATAAACTACATTCACTGAAGCACCACACACCTTCAAATAAACTACACCACTTCAAAATTCATACAGCTCCTAAAAACTACACATAAAACCAACATATGAACTCACTGACTGCGCTTTGAATACTTTTACTTTTTTATACTTCAAAGCTCCTGTCAGGAACTCTTAGTTTTTGTCTAATTTGGCACCCCCTGTGGACAAAGCAGTCTTTGCTCATTTTGTCCTCTACACACCCATGTTGCTAACTTTTGATGATCAGTTTTATGATTCATTGTAATGAAATAATGTGCATTTACCAACCATCAGTATCAAGTTTAAAAATTATGAAAAAAAATCATGTCAATGAAAGTCTTGTTTGCTTTTGTCCATAAAGGCATCAGTATGAACTTCAGCTGTCATACTTTACACTATGAACAATAGTTACTGTATAGTGAACAGGTGATTGTATGAATTAGAAACCTGATAGGGTGAGCAGAGTTCAGAACGAAAACCAGTGATTTGCCACAGTGTCAACAGGTAAAGTTGAACTCCTAAATACAGACAAATTTGATATAATGTGTGTTAAGTTGTCCCTGAATGCTGCTGCAGGGAAAATCACTATCGTCTTGGGTTTTGATTAATCAGAATCAAGTATTTAACTCAGGCTTATGAAAGAGGTACTTCGTTCTCATTTTTAAAAACTTTGAAAATACAGATTTTTCTCTCCAGCAACTGTGTTTGCCAACATATGCCAAATAATTCAAACATTATTTTCAGAAACACAAAGTTTATCCAAAGCATCTGAAATAAAAGTCACTGAGTGAAAATGCTGAAGGACAGTTTTCACAAATTCACAGAATCTCCTGCTTTCCTGGAGAAAAATGACTCTGAGGGGACAAAATAAGCATCAGCATAGAGCTACATGAAGACAGTGTGTGGTCTGTATTCGCCTCCACTCTCAACAACACCATCAACTTCAAATGACGTTTCCTCCTTTCTTCCTCAGCAGGAACACTGTGCCTCTGTTACATTCACTTTTCATGTCCTGTGTTTTTTCTGCTTCGATTCAAACCCTCAAACAGAGAAGAAATTTGATCCCAGTCCATTTTGAACCACAGAGGATGAACATAAAACTGAGATGAAACAGCTCTCTCTATGGTAAAAGACAGTTAAACTCAAACAGATTTCTGTCTTTGTGTTTCAGTCATCAAATCAGGATTAAAAGGGGTTAGGGATGTAGGTCAAGATATTCTAGCTAAACTGAACCTTTCTGGGGTTTTGCCTCAAACTAGATGCTCAAGGAGACATGGTGAATTTGAGGAAACTGTTATCTGGGAGGGTAAGTCATTACTGACCAGTTAAAAACTTCACATAAGTATGCTCAATGAAATGCAAATGCAAACAGAGTAATTTTGTGTTAAGGCAAAAGTCAGTATTTTTCAGGCTGCACACACCCTGTTAACCTTGTTTTTTATGCACTGGGGTCCTAATGAACATCTGAATTTGTCAAGCTGAACTTCATGAGCAAAAAAACAAAGGAGGAAGGTTTTCACTCTGACTCCACCTGGTCTTAATCTCTGCTAGACCTCCAGGAAAACCTGTTGAAACCAGCAGTGAGCCCATGTAAGAACACAGAAGGAAAAATTCAGGAAAGAGCTGGATAAAGTAAGAGCAATTGTATTGTGATCTGTATATTCTTTGAGCACATAAAAACGTTCTCCTCTCTGCTTCTTCAAGTGATTGTAAATACAAGTAGCACTGATATAACTGCAGAAGACTGATCAATGCGTCAGAGTCTGCTTCATCTGCAGTCCTGGATAAAACAGAAACAACAAGCTCAAAACCCTACATTTTGAGACAGTTTCTCATATTCACTGTCAGAACATATCAGTTACAAATATTGATTATTGTTCTCAGTAATTTTCAGTCTTAATCATTATCTGTATCAGCCCTTAAAAACAGACGACCTCTACTGTAGAGCTCACACCTTCTGACATATAAGGTGTTTTTAACACCCGGATAATTGTCCCCTACCTGTTCAAAATGCCTCAGGAGCATGCATGAGCACATGCACGAACATGTGGTACCTTCAGGGACAGGGTTTGTGCAGTTTGACCCCAAAGCACCCAAAATTTAACATCTGCATCTGTCACACATAAGCACACACACACATGCACGCACTAATTACAAAGGAAGTTCATATTTAAGTTTTAATTATTTCTAAAGACCAGAACCTGAATGAGACCTGAACGAGACCTGAACGAGACACTCACAGAGACGTTTGAGTCTGAGTCTGTTTGAGCTCAGATCATAAAGATGAAGGTGTGACAGACATTCAACTCACCTGTGAGGGTTTAACATGAACCTTTAAACTTCAACATGTGTGAGACCCCCAGGCAGAGCCAGTCCTCACACTGGTACCTAAACAGCACAAGACTGGATTTATGTGTGTGCATGTGTGTATGTGTGTGTGCATGCATGTGTGTGTGTGCGCGTGCGTGTGTGTTGAAAGTCTAGCAGCACTTTAAAGTCTAGTGGGAATTTTTCTAACCTTCACACATTCATACAAACATCTTACACACACACAAACGCACTTTTTTTATAAGCCCAGTCAGTTCACTGGGTTTAGGATTAGTGTGTGTGTGTGTGTGTGTGTGTGTGTGTGTGTGTGTGTGTGTGTGTGTGTGTGTGTGTGTGTGTGTGTGTGTGTTTTTGAATCCATCACTTGACTGTCAGTCAGACTTGCACTTGAGGCTGGACACACACACACACACACACAAGTACAGAATTTCACACATTCCTGAGGTGTCTGCAGTCTGACACACCTGACAGATGCTGATTGGTCAGATGTTTTATGGTCGAACACACATGAACACACACACACGAACACACACACGCACACACACTGGTTGGATCACTTACACTCTACAGGTAGATCTCAGCTGGATATCATCTATTACTACTAACACCTCTGGGACCATTCCCTCTTCTGGGCACCTGTATCATCTTATGTGTAAATGACGTCTGCTGCTCAGGTGTGTACATGCCCAACATAGCAACAAGATTTCTCCTGTACATAAATGTGCATGTAAAACTGAGTGAATGACCATAGTTTGTTTTTTGTCAAAGTTAGGGGAGGGGGGTCTTTTAGGGTGACTATGAACACTATACAGTTTAATCCAATACCTACTAATGATATGATACCTGATAAAAATTTTCTAGGGGTTAATTAAGATGGAGAAAAAGCCCATAAAAGTGACATTTTGAGGGTGGAGATGACAGAGTAACTCAGTGAACAGTAAAATATGATATTGATGCAATACCAATACGAACTCAATGATACCAATATCAATGCAATACCAACACGATACCACTGCATTGCCTGTACAATATCAATGCAAGACCGAAGATACCACTGCAATACCGATAAATTACCAATACCAAAATGATATGGTACGATTTTTAAAAAAATCAATGCGATATAATATTGTTCGATATCAATCATTAAGATACCAGCTATATTACCTACTTTTGTATCATAGGATACAGTACAATATGATAACAAACACTACAGTTCCATTAAGAATTATTTAAAGACCCACTCCAATGAAAACCATGTTTTTCTTATTGTCTACATGTTCATATGGCAGTTTTCTGATGCTAGAGGACATATCATGAGAAAACTTAGTGCAAAACTGCATTTCTGAGTATTTCTGCAGTCAAACCACTGTAAACCTCTGGCAGACCCAAATAGCAGGCACAGTGGGATTTTTCTACGTCACAAATCCAAGCTCCGCCCCCGGCGCCCCTATCTGCAGGCCAGAACCCAGGAAGTAGAGAAGAACAATGGCAAAACAAGCTTGAGCGGTAGCAAACAGCAATGCTTGTAAGAAAGCAAATTACAATATCAGCTTTCATCATGCCCCCAAAGACATTAGTGTCCAAGAGCTGAGTGGCTCTTGTGTTACCTGCCACTTCTACTTCACCAGCATTGTTAAAGGGACTTCTTGGCGTAAAATTAAGTTAGGATCACAGGAGACGCAGCTCAAGGAAGATTATTTATGATTATTTCTTTATTATTTCCGTGAAGTAATAATCACTATATAAATTATTTTGCACTGCAGATGCTGTAGTTCTTCTGCCTTAGTGTCTCGGTCTGATTGTATTTCAATGAAGAAATGATCATAAATGTTCTTCCTCGAGCTGCGTCACCCTGCTGCAGTCGATGGACTCACCCAGAGGTCTCCATACAAACAAGCGGCTGATGGAAGAGAGCAGGTGAGTTGTGTTTTGTCTCTTTGCTAAAGAAACCAGGCAAAGCTAAAAAGATGTTTGGTGGCTAGTGCTATGGCTGGGACCCTATATGTACTGTTAATGAAGTTAGGTGCTGCTCTGAGCATTATTTGTAGCTATAGAGTGACTCTTATGGTTGAGCGTGTGGCTCTCTGTATTGCTACATATAGTCGTTACTAAAGTTGGTATGACTAGAGAAGCTAGTGGTCTGCAACATTCATCTCATAAGGGGGTCCTTAAACTCGTTGTTACGGTGTGTTTGACCCTAACTTAATTTTATGCTGGAATATCCCTTGAAGCTGCAAGCTAGCATGAAGAGGAGTGTGCAGAGCAGCGCTGTCTCCGCCCACGACTCAGAGGCGAATTGCCAATGAGCTACTTGAGCTCTGCAGAAGAAAAGCTCTTGAAAATGACACAGGTAACACGATTTTGGCAAAAAAAACTTCATAATCACAATTTAAAGACCACTGAGATCACTTTAGATAGTAAAACAAAAATGATCGGAGTGGAACTTTAATACGATTTATGTACTGATGATACCAGATATGTTCACTTTTTTGAAAACATATGTGACATTACAGACAGAATCATCAGCATCAAGATATTTTTAATGTCTCAACTTATAAAGCCTGTAACTGGTGCAAGAGGGTAGGTGTCAGTAAATGGCAAGAAACAGCCCTGTTTGTCAATTTCCATATAAATATCTGCAATGAGAGTTTTTGTCAGAAGATACTAAATAAGCATGTAGAGAACAAGATAAGCCAAGCTTATTCATCATCCAAGTGACACAAATAGGAAGTTTCTCACAGGAGCTTTATGGAAGGTATACAAAATGACCCTGAAAGTGAATTTAGGGGCGGGGGTTACAGGGTTACTTACATTATCATACAGTTAGTCATGATAAGACCACTTGTGCATCAATCATTATGGTGATGATCATAGTATCTTATTAATCTAAGACATTTAAATGACCCTTAAGGTCAAAGTTCAGGATTTACGCCACATGTTATGTAGTTGGGGTGAGTCAAATATTGTGTTTATAAATATCAGTATCAGTAAAACGCTGCGTTATGGGTATTCTGTCCGAACCCTTGAATAATTGATCACAAAGTTACTTTTGGAAAAAAACACAGTTTTCTTTAGTTTTTAAAGCACATATTAAGTCATGTTGATGAATTTACATGTTGTATGTAACTGAAATAGTGAAAACCCTGCCATTAAGACGGGGCCCAGTAAAACCCGTAAATGGCTAAGTTTTATTTTTTTAAACATTAAAAAGCAGTTTCCCAAACGAACATAGACGGTATAAAGATGTCAAGTAACAGAAAATGATCCCCGGTTTGAATGTGTATGAAGCCCTGGTTTTTGCTCCTGCTGTTACCCGTTTAGAGGGGTCTTCTTCCCGCTGACCTTCTGCTTCACCCCGGCTCCCTTCACTGCCGCCAGCTTCCTGGCCTCCAGCTGAGTCTGCCTCCTCCTCTGATCCCGGAGCCCGGGCTGCAGGACTCCATCCTGCCGGTCAGGGGGATGCTGAGCTGCGGTGTGGAGAGCCACGATCCAGGTGGTCCAAACGAACCAGAGACAGAGCCGCATGTTGGTTCCGATGGGGTGGTAGAAAATTAAAAATCGGGTATTCTCAGGTATGTTTTAAAAACACAAAAGTCTATGATACTTGAAAACTCATGTCGCTGGTGTTTGAGGGTCACTCCGCGTACCAGCCAGACTGCTCATTTGGAGTTCCCAGATTCAATGACCCCGCAGACACCGGCCTCTGCACTTATTCTTCTGTCAGCCAATGGGGGCCGGGTATAACAGCTTCTAGGCGACTATTGGCTGAAAGTGCTGCATCGGGCAAGCGAATAGAAGCCGAAAATTCGTTTGAGAGGAAGTTGTTTATGCAGAGGTATTACAAATTAAAACGTAATTTACAAAAACTCGAAGATAAAGTGGTATAATTATATTGGAAGTGGAACTGTTTGATTGTTTTTTTTAAAACAAATAATACTAAAAAAAATAAATAAACAATAAACGTCTTATTAAAAAAGTGAAAAGGTCACTAAATATCAAATATATAGCTTTAAACGAAAAGAGTCTTTGAAAAAGACAAACAAATTTCAAATTTAGTTCCTAACATTTACTTCTAGATACTGTTTATTTGAACTTTTGAACCTAATGTCCTACTTATAAAAATTATTTGGTTAAATCGGGTCGGTGTTTGTTTCCAATTCTAATTTCTAATTTTCTTTCATTTAAAAGTATTTAAAAAAAGTTCATGTATGTGAAATTGTGTATGAAATGCGACTTTATTGGTTACTTTAATCCACTTGAGCCTTTAAATAACGTAACAGTTTTAAGAAATATCGAAAATTAAACAGTGAATTCATGCTTTTATGGATTTAAAGAACTTTTTCTTCGAACTCTTTTGGGGCTTTTGTTTTGAAGGCTTTTACCGGAAGAAGTTGTAAATCTCTCATGTAGCTTCATACTAGTGACCCCCAAGCATCACTCCCTACGCCGATGCTAACTATGATCGTTTTTGTTATGTAGGATAAACTAGAGGGTTGAACAGCAGCGCGTCAGAGTAATTTTGTTTATTTTAGGGAATTGTTCTCACAGTTCAATCCTGCAGCTGGTACCGCAAGCCCACACATAGATACCAGACCTCAGGTGCAGACAGGTAGCAGGCTAACTAGCTTTAGCTCGTCCTGGCTTAGTTTAGTGGGTTTTCGTAGACTAAATCCAGCAGAATGGACCTGTTTGACGATCTACCAGAACCAACACAGACCTGCGGTGAGTCCTGATACATTTACACTGAAGTATCGACCTGAAAATGAGGCACCGAGGATTCTGCAGTTCATCTGTAATAATACTGTGGTTATTTTATTAATTTCCACTGTAAAATATGAGTTTATTATCAGGCTCCATTACCCTGATTCACTCTGTTTAGGTTCTTTTTCTAGACTGTACTCTATTGTACAGCTAAATCATGATAAATATCATTATCAGGATTGTTTGATCTATATTGTTTTCATGATTATTAGAAAGATTACCCAGGATTTAACATCTGCATCGCACACGTTTCAGCAAAGGTTAAAACTCTAAATTCTGAAAAAAATACGCAATAAGTGGAAAAATAAATAGGTTACTTAATTTATTTAGTAAAGAACCATGTTTCATTTTTGAAGTCTGACAGTTTCAACTCGACCACACTCGTTATCTCTACAGCCTCTCTCCTTGTACTCATTCTGTCTGCCTCCACCTGCCCCTCTCCCTGCTCTCCTCTCCTCACCTGCCTCCTCTTGCTCTTCTCCCTGCTCTTCTCTCTCTTCGGGCCTCCTGTGTGCTTCATCATAGCTACAACACATGACTGAGACCCTTAAAGACCCTTAAATCCCAGACTTTTCATACATTGTGAGCATTCTGTGGTACTGAAACCTGCGAAAAACGCTGCTGTATAAATAAAGTTTACTTACTACTTACTTACTTACTTACCCATCATCCTGTTTGGTTTGATTCCTGCGCAGGTCCAGTTTCAGCTGCACCACCAAAGTCCACCAAAGAACAAGATCACAGGGAGGAGGAGGGGAATCGATTAAAAAGAAAGCATAAGGATGAGGAGGGTCACAATGACAAAGACATAGAGGATGAAGAGGAGGAGCGGGGGGAGGTCAAGAAAGTTTGTAAAGAAGGTTTTCAGCTCTTCCACCACAATGTTTGTTTGCTCCTTTTCCTCATTTTCCTCTCTGAGTTGCTTTAATTATGTCCTGATGACAAGTACCAGGACTGACATCTGTGTTGTGGTCCAGGCCTCCCTGTGCTGAAAGGCTTTGTGGCGGCGAGACGAGGAGAGCGGGAAGAGATGCAGGACGCACACGTGTTGCTGCCGGACATGAGCATCGATCTGTCCTCTCTGCTGGGACAAGTGTAAGACCTCAAACACTCAGCTTTCAAACATGGAGGTGAGTGGTCTGTGATGTGTTCCGTGTATCTCTGCAGGTCTCGAGTTTCGTACTTCGCAGTTTTTGACGGTCATGGTGGAGCTCGAGCGTCTCGATTTGCAGCGGAGAATCTCCACCACAACCTGGCCAAGAAGTTCCCCAGTGGTGAGTTTGAAAAGCTGCTTTGATTTTTCACTGCTGGTCCTCTCATTGGTTAAAGTATTGTTTTGTTTGATGGTGGCGTCAAAAGAAACTACTTAAAGGGATATTGTACTTTAACTTTGATCAGATTTTCTTTTTTTATCCAACTGTGAATTTGAAGCTTATTGAATGTGATGTTTGATTTCTCTGCATCATTGAGCCAAGTCATCTCTTCTAGGAGAAAAAGAGAATCTGGACAAGCTGATAAAGAAATGTCTCTTGGACACTTTTCGGCAGACGGATGAGGACTTTTTGAAGAAAGCCTCAAGCCAGTAAGACAATTACATTTTTAATTATGAACCATAAACCCACATAGAAATCAGACATCACAACTTGTCTTCACTCACTTAAAATGCAGTTCATATGATGAAATGGTAAAAAGATTCCTAAAAAAAACACAGTAAGCAACAATAAACCATATGTTTATTAATGTTGTTAATTATTCCCCAAAAGAAACGTGACAGTGAATAAGAGAAGTCATTGATTTCTCCTGTAGATGCTGGTCTGACTGCAAACAGGAGCTTCAGGATAATCCAGTTCATTGAACAGAGAGTTTTTGATGCTGAAAAGTTGTATTTCTCAGCTTCCTCACTGGATTTATGCTACAGTTTCAGATTCAAATCTCCCTGATTTACAGAAACAACATTTCATTTTTCTCATCGAGGTTTGTTGCACTTTGCAGTAGATCCTCTCTCAGCCTGTTAAAGCTCTCATGTGACGTTATCTTGTTCTCCACATGCTGAAGTTGTATCATCTGACGTGAAAACCTCAGTCTGCTGACTCTTGACAATCAAATGTTTCATTTATTGTGTGTATTTTGGGGGAAATTGTAAAGATGGGGTTGTTTTTACAGCTGCATGGCTGACTCCTACCCCCTGGCAACAGTTTCAGGCTCTAAAATGATGAAGTGAAAGTGGTCGGTCTTGTTGCTGATGGTCTTGTTTGCCTTCCTATATCATGAAAAGGCATTTATGTAAGTTTCAGTCTCATATATGAATATTAAAAAGCTCTTACTGGAGCTTTAACTCACCTTAATGAAAAAACAGGTGATGCATAAGAGAAACCCTACAGAGTTGAAGCAGTAGAGTAGCTTTTTGAGTTTTCCCCCAATGCATGCATTGAAAGTCCCTTCACCTGAAACAAGAAACACTGACGTGCATACAAGAGTAAATGTAGGTCTTGAATAGAGCTGTTGAAGGAAGCTGTTTTGTGCAGCGTGAGTCTAATCTATGTGTCTGTGTAACAGGAAACCAGTGTGGAAGGATGGCTCCACGGCCACCTGTGTGCTGGTGGTGGACGACATGGTGTATGTGGCCAACCTGGGAGACAGCAGGGTACTTTCAGATGATATTCACTTCATCTCCTCAGCTGTAAAGTCAGTCACACACGTGTGTCAAAGTTTTTGTGATTACATGTCTGGGTTTGTGTGTGTGCAGGCGGTGCTGTGCCGGGTGGAGGCATCAGCAGACGGTCAGAAGAGGTCGGTGACTCTAGCTCTGAGTAAAGAACACAACCCTACCATCTACGAGGAGAGGATGAGGATCCAGAGAGCAGGAGGCACCGTCAGGTAAGCCCCACCCACCTCCACATCAACAGCAACCCTGCTGAGCTGTAAGGGGTTCAGGTGTGAGGAGGATGTTAAAGGTCTTTGTTCCTCTGAAAAAGAAAGCAGCTTTATTCATCCCTCTCTATAGCCCAATTCATTTGTATATAGCTGCGGCTGTGCTTTTTCAAGAAGCTTCAGATTTCAGTCAGTAAATGTAACATGGAAGAGAAACAGATACTTCTTGAGACAGACTCTTACTAAACTGTTGACTGTGTTTGTCAGAGACGGCAGGGTGCTGGGCGTCCTCGAAGTGTCTCGCTCTATTGGGGACGGTCAGTACAAACGCTGTGGAGTCATTTCCACCCCCGACCTGAGAAGGATCCAGCTCACACCCAATGACAGGCAAGAACGTGACCACAGACCATCACCACATCTGTGAAGAGCGAATCATACAGGTTTTAGCATGATCAGAGAGGAGACTTCATATTCAGAGGATGATATCTCAGCTCTCAGTTAAAGCGAAAAGGTCCTCCTTTTTTTCAAACTCAGACATCCAGACTGACACCACGCTCTAGTCTGTTTAGTAAATCTAAAGCTACAGCAGGTTAGCTTAGAAATGTTCAGCGTAATTGTGGTCACATCATGTTCAGAGCCAGCTGAAGTTTCCTGCTGATGGGGTTTTCTTCTACGTCTTCTCTGCAGGTTCATTATCCTGGCCTGTGACGGTTTATTTAAAGTCTTTTCTGCTGACGAGGCTGTAAAATTCGTCCTCAACGTCCTGCAGGTTCCTCTCTTTCTTAAATTTGATCAACAGCTCTAAACTATGTTTTCTTTTGTCTTCAAACTTCGTTTTCCTGGATTGACTTCATTGTGAATTAACTCATAGATTCTCCTGTTCAGCTTAATGTGATTATTTTAAAAAACTTTTCCCTTCTCTGAAGATTTTTTTTTTGGTTGCCTAAAAGTCTGAGAGAGACATCAGAGAGCCGTAATAATTTAAAGCTTTTCTTCATGGTGATTATTTGTATATTTGTGCATCACTGTGTCCTAACTCCCTCCTCTTCCTCCCCCTGTCTCCCTCCCATACAGGAGGGGACTGTGGAGCAGAAGGAGGGGCTGACGGAGGACGAGCTGAGGTTTGAATCTGCCTGTCAGCAGTTGGCCAGCGAGGCGGTGAGACGAGGCTGTGCCGACAACGTCACTGTGATCCTGCTCTCTATTGGCTTCTGAACACATTCAGCATCATCACACACACGCACACACACACACGGAGTGGACCCTGATACACACTCACACACACACAGCTGAGCATCTCCTTGTTTTCTGTTTTTCCAATAAAACTCTTTTTCTTTTTTTCTGCTGATGGATCGGTTTATTGACGTGCTTGCGTTTTACCTCTTTCCACTTCACTTTCTCTGAATATCTGCAGTACAGTTAGGATGTAGATATGAACACTGACTAGCCTGGCTGGGCCATCCAGTTGCGTGAATCACTTGCCGTTCCTTTCCACAACAAAGAAACGGGAAGGAACGGCAAGTGATTCACGCAACTGGATGGCCCAGCCAGGCTAAACATTGACACCCTCAGTCTCTTCTCTGAAGTTACAGCTAAGGAAAAAAAGGAGATCAGGGTGAGATGAGACAGAAGTAAAAAATACAATTATGAGGTAGGAAACAGGCGCTTTTGGTTATGATTAACAGCCAGCATCTTTTCTCAATGAAGAAGGTGATTTTTTTTTGTGGCTGGTACGCATTCTGACTTATTTTCCCTGACCTTGTTTTAGACATTATTTAAAATATTTCAGGGGAAAACTGAATTTTGAAAAATACAAAAAATGACTTTTTTTCTTTTCCTCTAATTTTAAAAGAAATGCAGATTTTTTTATCCATAGATTTTTCTCATTAAGTGCATTTTGTGCCCTTGAGAAAAATCAGTTTTGCACAATTTTTCCCTAAATAAATAAGATTATCTGTCCCTTGTTTTAGACAAAACTGAGCAAATATCATTTATTTACAAAAACGTTGTCTCATAATTCTAGGATTATTATGTCATTGTTAAAAAAAAAACATTTCTTGATAAAAACTGTTTTCTCAAAATTCTACTGTGGCACGTTGCAGTACTTCAGAAAGGTAGATAATGCTCCTTTATTTCTGAATTATGTGAAAAATCTTTTTTATTTATTTATTTATTTACAAAGAAAATCTAAATCTGAGATAATAATTCTGTAAACTCAGAGATTCTGAGCAAATATTTTTGTTTGTGTCTTCCATCTGAGCCGACATTATCTGAGAGTTTGTTCGTGATTTTAAAAGAATAAAAACTGAATAAATTAATTCAAAGTAAAACTGTCTTCAGAACGGTCCTCTCCCTACCTTACTGTACCACCCCGGGCCGTGTGATGTCGCTGTTTCTCCTGTTTGGATCTGAGCCAAACAACCCGGATATTTGGCGGAAACGGTCAGTTAGCAACAACAGTTGCGGGTTGTATGATGCACAAACAGCTGTTAGAGTAAAAACCAACTCAAACCCGCTTTATCCATGCTTTTAATTAAACGGCGCACCATGCGGGACAGGAGGACGCGCGTGCACGGTGACCGGCCGATCAGCTGTCGATGAAAGTATCGAAGAGGCTGTTCAGAGGACTTTACCTGCTGCTCACTTGCCGGGTCCGGGTCTGAGTATAGTCCTAGGACATGAACCATCAGAGAGGGAGTGGAGCTGCTGGATCAGACCCCAGACCCCGGACAGGCGCACAGGCAGCATGAAGGAGTTCCAATAACCATTATTAACACGTTCTTTTAGTCACAAACACATAAACTGTTCACACATAACATGGAACCACTGCTGGACTTTGAAGAGTGTGTCAAAGACTCACCGGAGTTCAGGTAAGAGGAAACACGTTCACGCTGACCATCTCCACACTGTGCATGTGCAGGAATCCTAACCCAGTTTAATTGACTGTTCAGACTGAAGCTCGAGCTGTTTGAGGCGGATGTGTCTACGATGGAAACTCACCTGGACAAGGTACGGACATCACTGCTCTTATATTAATGCTAACAGTATTTACAGAGGTTAAACCACTACTTACTGAGAATACTGCATTATTGCCCCTGTTACTTTGCACTTCTGCACTGTTACTATCACTGCAACCAATATCAAAATATACAACCTCATTTCCAAAGAAGCCGGGACACTGCGATCTCAGATTATTCAGCGTCTATGTGTGACAGGGCTGGGACGATTTGCTTTTCTCCCGATTCGATTCCTCTACGATTTTTTTGGATGTCGATCCGATTTAAATTGCGATTCCACGATATTGCCGAATTTCTCGATTTTTTTTGTCTGCATTTTTAACACCAGTGGAACAGCTGAATGATTATGATTGACTGACTCTTCCAGGAACCATATTTTCTTTACCATATTTTCATCTCCATCTAGAAAAAAAGTAATTTTATTGTCAAAAGTGTAATTAAACCCAATGTGAGTAGGCAGATCATTTATTGGTCTGCTCTACAACATCTAACCTGCAATCCATCCAAGTTTGGTGTCATATAAATGATTTTACAGCCATTTAGTCAGAAAAGTCTCAGACGGACATCATTTGGAGAGCTTTGGAGCCAAATGGTGCCAAATTGCCATTTCAAGTGAAAATATGGGATTTGCATGTTAATTACTGGTTATTTCTTTTCCACAAAGGCTACCTCACAGTATTAGGCAGTTCTAAATCATGTATGTTGTATGTTATATTTTCTACCATTGTGCACAGCACAAGGCAGTTAAATAGCTAATGGATAAAAATACAAAAGATATAAATAATCATAAACATATGGGATGATTTTGAAATATAGATTATGAAATCTGAAGTAAAGTACAGGTGCCTTGCATATTGTTCTATTTACTTTGTGTTGTTTATTTATTGATATTTATTTCTATCATGTCTTGTTGCTATGACTTTGAAATAGTTCGTTGAATTATGTTCTTGGACATAGATGGCTGTGGCGGTAGTTAATATGTGAATCAATTTTTTTCTCCCACCCCTAATATGTGATGTGTTGCTTTGCCTCTATTCATCTGAGTACAGACTTAAATTTTTTCAAACCATTAAAATCTTTTTGATCAGTTTTTTTTCACAGTGTACCAACTTTTTAAAGAGACTCTGCTCCTGTTAAAACTCTTAAATCTGTCAATCTGTCCAATCAGGTAATGAAGCTGTGCAGTAAGATGGTGGAGGCAGGACAAGCATACAGTGCAGCCAATCAGCTGTTCCTGAGCAGCCTGGCTGATCTCTCCATGTACCAAAAGAAGGACAGCGTCATTACAGTAAGGAGCCTGTAACCTGGAGTTTCTTATGACCCTCATAAACCTGTGAGGATGTAGCTGTCCTGGTCTTGTTCTTACCCTGTCTTTAACTGTTTCTTGTCCTGTTGTCTTGAATGTTTTGGTAACGTGTTATTAGAAAAATGGGAAAAAACATAATTCTGAAAGTCAAAAACCCATTCCCACAAACTTTGATGATCCCAAACTCTCCAAGCTTTCATAGTACACATGGAGCAGAGTTTCAAACACATGCACAGCTTCCACACAGGTTAAAGCCTTTTAGTTTCCTGTTTTCCTTTGAAATGTTCCTCTGTACTGATTTCCTGTTTCCTCTCCCTCAGAATTGTCTGAACCAGTTCAACCAGGGCCTGCAGGAGATGGTCAGCTTTCACACTGTAAGAGCACATCAACACATCCTGTTTCCTCTGTCCTGCACAGTCACACTGCTCTGTGATTTTGGGGCTCAGACTCAAGTTTTGTTAACCTGTCCAGTTATCAAACTATAAAGCTGTCACTGCAGGCAGCTTCAGTAGTTTCCTGCTGTGTTCAGCGGTGTGTTTTTCCTCTTTAGATGCTGTTGGATCAGACTCAGCGAGCCATCAGCCAGCAGCTGACCAACCTCTGCACACAGTGAGTACAACCTGGAAATACACACACACAGGTAGAATAGACAAGTTGAAAGAGATAATGATGATGATGATGATGGTTGTGTGTCTCCAAGGTTCCTTCCTCAGCTTGCAGAGACAAGGAGGGAGTTCATTCGGATCGGAGAGGATCTAGAGACAGCAGCGGTAAAGAGCGCTCAGGTGTCCCGACATAAAGCAGGAGACGCAGAGCGGGCGAGTCACCTGCTGCTCGCCACGCGCAAATGTTACCAACACTTTGCTCTGGACTACTGTTTACAGGTACGAGCAAACACACACACACACACAGCTGCTGTCATGTTCCTGCTGGATATCTTTCTTTCACAGGTTTTATCACCAATGACTGAAATAATTTAAATATTTCATTTTTTTTTCAGCTGAACACCTTCAAGACTCAGCAGAAGATCGACATCTTTAACTCAGTAAGTTTTGCTAATTAGAACCCTGACAGGATGAGGAGAGCCCAGTCAGAGGTTGAGGGATCCTAGTCACCTTCTCAGGACTCTAACCACCCTGTCATTCTCTTCACTCCTCTTTACACAGCAGTAATGACTGATATTTCTCTGTTTTTAGGTGTTCTCTTACGTCCACGCTCAGTTTACCTTCTTCCACCAAGGCTTTGACCTGCTCAGAGACCTGGAGCCTACCATGAAGACCATGGCAGCACAGGTGATGACCTCTGACCCTCACCCTTTTTTCTGCCTCCAATTCGCTGAGAATCCTGACTCCTGAAGGTGTCAGCTCCTCACTGTCCTCTCTGTGTTTGCGTCTCTGTCTTCTCAGCTGTCTCAGTTGTCGTCAGACTGTGCGACTAAAAGAAAAGATCTAGAGAACTCACACCTGCTGGTGCAGCAGAGGGTAAGGAAAGTCTGAAACTAGCACTGAGCACAGACAGGCAAGCGTCAGCAGGTCAACAGGAGAGTCAGATCTTTAGTTGCCTCTCATGTTTAACTGCAGGAAGAAGTGTGGTAGACCTGAACTGAGTTCTTATCCTCATTAATGATGTGGACAGAATCTTATAGTATACTTAGACCTATACCACTTATATGTTTGTAAAGTAATCATGAAGCTGAAAGTGTTAGTTTATCCTGGCATAGCAGATAGCCTCTAAAGATCACAGATTAACACATTTTATCTTGTTTGTTCCTGTTTTATAAACACCTTAGAGAGGATTAACACCAAATTACAATCCCGAGGTGGCTGTTTACTGATCTGGTCTTTGGCTTAGAGCAGCTGACAAACAATAAGCAGAGAATAAAAAAGAAAAAGTCATTGTTATAAACCTGATATAACAAGTTACCTGTATATTTGAATATACTGTATTTGTGTGTGTGTGTACACAATAAGGATGCTTCTGGGGAGCCCATGGTCAGTCCGTGCACGGAGAGCGATGATACTATCCAGGGTTACCTCTTCAAACGCTCCCGCAGGAAATCCAAAACCTGGAAGAGGTGAGATTCTGCTCCAGGACTTCATATTTCATAATTCATACATTTCATCTATTTCACAATTATTCATTATCCCATTTGCCAAAAAAACCCCCACCTTGGTCCCTGAACACACCATTGGCTCAAGGTTATGTTATGTAAAAATTAACGGAGTTCATGAAGTCATAAATTTACAAAGTGAAGAGTAGCGGCCCCAGGATAGAACCCTGCAGTACCCCATATTTGAGGGGTTAATTTAAGGATTGGTGACCATCCATACTTCCCTACTGTATGTATAGTTTCTAAAACAGCTTAAGGTGACACCTCCAGTGACTTCTTCATTAAACATGCATGTGAAGTATTTTATATCTCTGTCTGTAGATGCCAAATCTTGTTTTTGAAAACTTGTTCCAGATGCTGGTTTTCCATCAGAGACAATCAGCTGATTTACAGGAAGTCACACAAAGTAAGTCTGAACAGAAATCAACCTGCTGTATGTTTTAAAGCTCCTGTAAGGAACTTTTTGTGTTGATTTGGAGACAAAGGGACACGTCTTCTGTCTATGATTGCTGAAGAGTGTTTCATCTGACCTAACCCCGCCCCCTGTGGATGTTATAGATATTTGCCATCAGATGTTTGAAGCTGTTGGGCATGAGATGGGGAACAGGCACTAAAAGAAAGACAAGATTACAAAAGTTTGAAGAGTCTGACGTATTTCTCTGCAGGAGGACAATGTGGTTCTGTTCGAGGATCTCAGACTGTGTGCTGTTAAATCTCTGGAGCAAATCGACCGAAGGTTCTGCTTTGAGCTGCTCTCAGTTCAGAAGTAAGATGATTAGAAACAGTGAAATCCTGCCCGTTTATCTCAGCTCTGTCTGATTCTGTGTGTGTGCTCTGTGTTAGGTGCTGTGCTCTGCAGGCTGACTCGGAGCAGTTGAGGCAGGCGTGGCTCAGTGCTCTGCAGGGCAGCATCGACCTCGCCTACAGAGAGAGAGCCGACCCTCAGACCACACAGGCAGGTTTACCTAAACACATCACATCTATTCAGATTTTTGTCCCAGAAAAATGTCAGTCTTTATGTTAAGGATGTGGAGGGATAGTTACAAGAACGTGGTCATTTGTCATTAAACTGTTCATGTTTATCCATCTATGTAGAAGGAGGAGTTTACAGCTGGACGTGTTGTTGGAGCTTGTTTTGAACCATTTTTCTGATGACTTGGTATAGACTCCTCTGATCCTGAGCCCTTTTAAGATGGAAAAGCTGTAGTCTGACTGATCCAAATTTGATTTTCTTTTGGGGAGTCATGGATGCTGCAGCCTCCTCTCTAAAGAGTAGAGGGCTTATTCTCAGCTCAAATCCAGCATCCCTGATGGTATGGGAGTCATCAGAGTCCATGTCATGGGTAGCTTCCACATCTGTGAAGGCTTGATTAGTACAGGTTTAGGAGCAACATCTGCTGACATCCAGGGAAGACCTTCATATTTCAGCAAGATAATGACAAACCACTTTCTGCAGGGATTACAACAGCATGGCTCTGTAGAAGAAGAGTTCTGCTGGTGAACAGCTTAAAGCAGGAATATGAAAAATGTGCTTCAAACTGTCTGGAGCTTTCTCTTTATCACACATCTGTGTAAAACTCACTCACGTCCATCTTCCCCTGCAGCCTAAAGAGCTCCCCCCTCCTCCAAGTGGTGGAGATCCCGCACCAGGTCCCCCTACTCAGAAGCTGCAGGTGCTGGGTGTGGCCCTCAGGGGTCCTGGAAACAACCAGTGCTGTGACTGTGGAGAGGAGGAGCCTCGTTGGGCATCCATAAACCTTGGAGTCACCATGTGCATTGAGTGCTCGGGCATACACAGGTAACATGACACCTGACAGGAGAGGTGTGACATCACTGTATCAGCTGATACCTGAGAGCACAGCACTCCCTCTGATACTGACTGAAGCTTTATTTACACCAGCTGCTGAGGGCTCCAGGCCTTTATGACAGGGTTTAAGTCAGATCCTCAGTATGATAGGAATGTTTGATCAGCTCCTGGTCAGCCTTGAGATCTTATTTCATGACCCTGTTTGTAAATGTGTCAAAGCTCTGTGGCTGTTTCAGTTTGAAACCCGCTCAGAAATTCATTGGACTCATCTTTTCTTTTCCTCAAAAAGGCTGATAATAAGGAATGGTTTCCCGGATTGCATGTCATGTTGCTTGTGTTATGTTTTTCTGATTCTGTAGCCTGGCAAGGTCTATCTTAGCAAAAAGGATGTTGATCCAGTGGGACTTTCTGGTTAAATAAGGATTCAGTGAAAAAGGATATAAAGTGAAGCTGCTACTGCTAATAGATGAGTAATTAAAGAAGTATTTGAAATAATGGATGAACGTATAAATAACCTCTATGTATCTATCTGTTTATCCACCCAGCTGTAATGGAGCTGATAAAAACAAACTTTATGCTCAGTTTTTTACAATGTCTCACTGACATGCTGTGTTTTACACTTTAATATTTAACACTGTTTAGAATATTCTATAATACTGTAAATTAACTCTACTTCAGTTATCTCACATTGCATTATCAATTTCTAGGAGTCTGGGTGTCCACCTGTCCAAGGTGAGATCTCTTACTCTGGACTCATGGGAGGCTGAACAAGTAAAGGTGAAACACACACACGTTCTCACAATAAGCACACACATTAACATACAAAGAGAGTCTGTTTTTCTATTATAATTCTTGATCAATGAATAATTCTGACTTGGTAGCTTTAACTTTCGCTTTTTTATCATTATCAACACAAGACTAAAATTCCAGAAGTTGTAATAATTTCACCTCTAAGTTACAGAGTTGCCAATTTGTCATGAAAATTTAATGATAACTATTTTAGACATGAAAACCAGAGAGGAGATGATACTGGCTTTAATCTGAACTCTTCTCGACAAGATCCCACTGACTTTGGTCAGTTGTCTTCATACCAGACTTTTCTTTCTCTTCCTGTTTAGTTGCTATGTGTTCTAGGAAATCATGTCATGAACCAAATCTATGAGGCTGAATGTTCAGAGCAGGGGCGAGCCAAACCCAGAGCCAACAGCCCCCGGTAAAACCTATTTGATACCTCATTTAGTGTTTCTGATTTTTGGCTCTTTTGGTAGTGACTCTGGGGTGGAGATTCTTGCTTGGTTGATATTATTTGTTTGCTTTATTTTCAGGGCAGAGAAAGAGACGTGGATCAGGGAGAAATACGTGGAAAAGAGATTTGTGCAAAATCACAGTTTAGACAAAGTTTGTAAGTTAAACTCTTACCTTGAGCCTCCTGTTACACAGTAAAATCTTCTGGAAAGCTTAAATTAAACAGCTTAGAATAAATGCGGCACAGTTTAATCTTGATAGAGATTATAGCTTGTATTTTGTGAACATAAACAGATTTCTGACAGTCTGGTAACTGTTTGAAGTAACTGATCTTTTTCTGTATTTAATGCGCCCTTCCTTCACTTTTAGGTAATGGGAAAGATGATGCTGGGTTGCGTCTGTACCAGGCGGCAAAGGCAGGAGACTTGGTTACGATGGCACACACGTTGGCTCAGGGGGCAGAGGTCAATGGGAGCATCACTAAAGAGGAGGGGCGTACGGCGCTGATAGGAGCTGCAGTTGGGGTGAGAAAGAAGAGGAGGTCTTAACATAAAGAAAAACTGAACTCACAGCTTCACCAACACAGCACAGAAGAGAAACACAGGCTTTAATTTGAACCTGTTGGGTTTCCGTTTGTTATAATTCCTGTCTCTGCCTGTAGGGGTCACTGTTAGCTTGTGAGTTTCTGCTGCTGAACGGCGCAAATGTCAATCACAGAGACCGGAGAGGACAGGGAGCTCTGCACGCTGCTGCCACTGCTGGACACACCGGGTAAATACACAGAAAAACACACAAAAGACACAAACACACTGTGATGTGAAAAAAACACAGCTGATTCTTATTGGCTGCTATAGACAGGTGTGTCTGCTGCTGAAGAGAGGAGCCAATCAGTACGCGGTGGATGAGAGGGGACAGGACCCATTGGCCATTGCCGTGGAAACTGCCCATGCAGACATCGTCACACTGTGAGTCATTGGTGTGCATGTAAAAGAGACCCCCTAACCCCCTTTTCCCTCTCCCTTACACACCCTTCATCTCACTTGTCACATCTCCTGCCTGTGTCTACCTCTTGGAAAACAGGAATATACTGTCCTGAAATCCACACTACAAAAAAAAACCTCAAACCAAATTTCTGCTCGTCATGTCAAAGATTTACATTAATAAGAATATAACCATCGAAGCATTGCTGTCTGTGTCTGTATCAGTTTAAATCTTCTTATTCATATTTCTGTTATGATGCTGTTTGACTTTGTTGTATGTCTCTTTTTTTAACTTTGTTGGGTTGTTGGGTCAGAATCTGTTCAGCTCATTGTCCTTTCTATCAGCTTGCTGGCTGACACACACACACACACACACACACACACACACACACACACACACACACACACACACACACACACACACACAAAACATCCAAAAATCAGACATGAAGTGCAGAAACCTGTGGTTTCCCTGTTGTGTTTTAGATTTTAAAAAATGAAAGAGTGAATTGAAGCTTTTCTTACAGATGATATCAGTAAACAGTGAGTTTATGATTAATCACTGTTTCAGGCTGAGGATGGCCAGAATGAACGAAGAGATGAGAGATTCAGAGGGAGTCTTTGGAGCCATGGGTGAGTACATCGACCCATGTAGATTAAACAGTGAATACATATCACATACAACAGTTTCAAGTAATGAAACCTGCGGGTTCTCTTCAGCAGACGATGAGACTTTTCAGGACATCTTCAGGGACTTCAGCAACATGGCGTCTCACACTCCAGAGAGGCTCACCAGACGGCAGTTCAGCCGTAGAGGAGAGGAAGAGGGGGAGGAGGAGGAGGAGGAAGAAGAGGAGGTGCAGGACAGAGGTGGGAAAGTGAACAGTGTTGAGAAGAGGTCAGAATGACAGGAACAGAGGCTGGAGGCCCATCAGACTGCAGACTGGAGAACCACCTACCCTCTGGGTAATCATGAGGACAGACAGCATGAACTTTGAATGATAGACTGATGACTGATCTGTTAACACAGTTTAGTTTGAATACCAACAGAGAGAGCACACATATGCTTCATGAACAGTTACTGGAGATGGACATAGTGCTACCTGAGTTTAAAGGGACTGGGAAGGAAACGAAGCTGAGCTGCTGTTTCCTTTGTAATCAGATTATTTAATTTTTCTGTCATCCAGCAGAAAAGGAAAATGAGGAGAAAAAACTGTCCAGAGTCAAAAGATGGTCAGAGCAGTTTTAAGACGCTGAAATAGCAACTTGCTAGATATTCCATCCCCCTATTTTGGTGTCTGAGCAGGTAAAAAGTTTTTGAATCCCTCCTTCAGATTGCATTGTTTGGTGGTGATTGTTAAGCTAGGGATGTAACGGTATGGTCGGTCTCAAGCAAGAATAGAGTGCAATAGAAGTGTCGCCATACTGGGGACCTGTAACATTATGAGTTCACGTTCATCTTTGCACTCCACTGACTCAGATGTCAAAGATGAAAATGGTGAACACCGGCATCTGTGGCAAAGAACAGTTCAGTGTTAAATCTGTGGATGCTCCATCAGCTTTTGAATCTAACACTGACTAACCCCTCTGCACATCCCTGCTTGTTTACATCCGGGTAGTAGAGAATCACAGCATTATGGCAGCTTGATTCAGCATCCTGAGATAAGGATGCATTCATAGGCTGCATTTAAAGGGGACTTAAAAATGAGAAAGCTTTGCACCTTTATCTGGAATAGACAATGTGTTGAGGCATGAGGCAGGTGTTAGCCCAACAGTCCCGTTACATTTCGAATTTAGTTCAGATTTAACACACGAAACATCCTAATCAGCGACCTGATTGAGTGTCTTTGAGACAGAGCAGGGTGACCTTCCATCTCTACTTCCATTGTTTAAGCTATGCTGCGCTATCACAACCCTTACCTTGCAGTTTGTGGGAAAGCAAATATGTTTTTTTCCATTTCTGTGTTACATGACAGTAGATTTAAAAAAATCTGTCCCTCCCCACTCACATTATTACCATGCTGATTTTCTTAGCATGCTGATAGTGTCTATTGGACTGATTCAACTCTCTAGCCTGAAATATTCCCACGCTGCTGTTATCTAAGCCACAGGTTTACCAATGCAAAGTTAGGCTGCTAGCTCAAAACGTGTTCAGTTTACAACAGCTGATTTAAGTGATCAGGATGAAATGATTGGCTCAGATTGCTGACGTCTGATCAATGAAATATGCCCTGATTGGCTCCGATCTGACATTCTGATACCAACTCTGTAAAGTCCAATGACTTGTGTGAGTGTTTGTTACATTTCTGTCGCTATTACTCCTCTTCTCTGATCATCTGGTGCACACAGCACTGCAGAGTCAGCCAAGGGTCAACCAAGCTGTCGATCATTTTTGTAATCAAATATCTAATTCAAACAAAACTTGCAAATAATTGATCATGTGGGCATAAATGAGCACAAATCCACAAATCAAATGACAGCAACCATGTTTGACAAGCATTTTTTGACCTGTATTCCAATTATGTAGTTTGACCAATGTCCTATTTGTTAACATGAAGGAAGTGGAGTTTATAAGCAGCCAGTCAGCAAGGGGAGCTCTAAACACTTTAGTGCACTCAGGATAGCTTGTGTTTTGTTTTTTGATCATGATATTGAGTAATAGGCACTCTAACTGCTGTTTCACATTAAAAAATGTTAAAAGTCTTTAAAGTTTTGTTTTTTTTAGACTTTTTTATTTATTTACAACTGTGGCTAATACCAGTTAAAGATGCAAAAGAAATACCATGAAAAGGGAGAAAAAAAACAAAGATTTATTTTATACAGTCTTAAAAGTGGTCATTTTAATCACCCTTACAGTCTGAAGTGCCTTCTGATGGAGCTTCCTTTATCATGTTTTTAGAGTCAGGGTAAAAAGGGACCCTGAGGTCACTGTCTTTCATAGAGAGGAGCCTCTGCTGCTGATAAATAGTCACGACGTGTGCTTTTAAATTGAGCTGTGTTTTTCTGCTGTTTCCTCCTTTGTGTTAAAAGGGATTTAAAGTGTAGCTGCAGCTTCAGAATTATGCTGTTTTATCTCTTTATAAGGATTCTAGACATTTTTATTTTTGAGTTTTACAGCTACAAAAATATATGTGACCCAGTCTGACTGCTCGGTTTGTCGTGTGTAATAACTGTTTGATGTTGAAAAATATTTAATTGTGACTGAAAGGACCAACAGACTGTAAAGAGAGGATTTTCACCCTGAAGCAGAGCTGCTGCTGTTACACTAGGATATTTTACTGAGATTCATCGATCAGTAGACGGTTCATAATCTGTTAAACTCCTCACTGCGTCATTTAAAAACAGATTTATGGACCTTTTTCTGTCCTCAGTGCAAACTGAAGGAGCAGAAAGATGTTTGATTTCTGCTTCAGGGTGGATTTTTCCTCTTTACTGAAAAGACATTTCATTTGAGACTGTTACTAATGTGATGCTACTGCTTAATAAAGCCACTAAATACAGGTTTATGAGTGTGTCCCTAATTTTCTGTACAGACTCTAGATCTAGAGCATGATTTCTGACCCAAACCTGAAATCAACAGGTTCATTCAAAAGAACATATATTGAAGCTCCAGTGTTTCTCTGGGAGTTTTTAAATGGTCATAAAACTGACTAAAATTGACACTGCTGCTTCTTTATGACCAATAAAACTAACAGGAACATTAAATGAGAGTTTGTGTGCAACTATCAGATCTTACTATGACAAGATTCTCCTGCTTTTACAACTAAAGACAAGTGGATAGAAAATAACTGATGATTTGTCCAAGTGGTGAAAGAGAAGAGGAGGTCTTAACATGAAAAACTGGGGACTGCCGGTGGTCCAATCCTTTGGACTCCGCCTGTGCCTGCCCCAAGTGCAAATTTGTTTTCAGGGTTTTCTCCCCTAGTCAAAGCACCCTCCCGGGTTTACCCACTTTGCAGTGGGGCAGTGGTATGTTGGTCGGGCCCACTGCTCCTCTATCTTTCAGCCTGAGGTCGCAGGACCTCAGTTAGCATGTGCTGCCACGAGAAGGCAAGGGAGGGGTCTTGGTGAAGGAGAGGCTATGTACTGAACTCGGAAGACTCACGCACTCGGCTTCTTTTACCCAAAGTGGGTTGGTCAGCGGCAGGAACTAAGGGAGGGGGGTCACATGCGTCCCTACATGCAACGTCTCTCTAGCACGCTGCACTAGACGCATCGGTCCTGCACTGTGCGAGCAAAGCCGCAAGCACACCAAACCCAAACCCCGTCCAGGGATATGCAGATGACATAGTCATAGTCTCCAGACAGGAGAACAACATGAACATCACGCTCTCCAATACCGACTCCTTTTTAGAGTTGTCTGGATTAGAGGTCAATGCTACAAAATTTGCCGTTTTTCATGAGAAGCAGAGCGGGGGGAACTGCTGGTACCAGTCAAAAAAAGATGTTTTTTCCACCTTTACAGTAATTCCACTACTGGAAACCTGTCGTGTTGCTTAATGTTGCTCCTAAACCTGTAGATATTGTTCAGCATTAATGGAGCCACAGATGTGGAAGCCTGTGACATGAACTCTGGTGATCCCTGTACCATCAGGGATGCTGGATTTGGATAGGGAGCTGATAACAAGCTAGTTGGTCTCTCTTTTCTACAAAGTCGAGGATGAAGCATCCATGATTTCCATAAAGAATGTCAAATTCTATTTCTGAATCCTGTCTCTACGTGGTTTCCTCTTTGCATGGTTCAGTTTTAACCTCATTTGTGGATGCAGTGATTAACTTAGTTCAGGATATTAGTTTTTGGAGGTAATTTTGAGCCCATGCAGTAATTTCCACCCCAGAGTCCTGTCCGTTTTTAATGCAGTGCTGCCTGAAGGCCTGAAAGTCAGGACCGTCCAGTCTTGGTTTTGGTCCTTGTCCCTTTATTTTATAACCACATTAGTTGAAGATGTTCCTCCAGCAGTTTTTTTTTAGCATTACACAACTTGGAACTGAGAATTGTAACTGCATCATCCCCTAAAACATTCAGGTACGCCACAGTTTTCTGATTTTAATTAGTAAGAGTGAAATCAGCAATTTGAGGTTGACATCACTCTACAGGAAATAACTGACACTTTTCTAATGTCAGGCAGATGTTTTAATAAAACTCTCATATTACAAACACATTTGTAGAAACAGTTTAGTCTCTGACCAACAAACTTCCACTCCTGAAAAGATAAAGCACTCATCTTTTAAGAGTTTCAAATGTCCCACTCTCTGCTCAAACCTCAAATGCCCCTCAGTCCTGTTCTTTCTTTCTCTTCTTCTTGCCCTTTTTCTTTTGCTGCTCCTCTTCCTCTCCTTCTTCTGTATTTTTTCTCTTGGATGTCTCCTCCACCTGTTCCATGGTGTCCCACACCTCGTCCTCCTCCTCCTTCACCTCCTCTGTCCCTCCCTCCCCCTTTGCTCCCCCTGCCTCCTCCAGGTCTCTGCTGGAGAGCAGGATACAGTTGAGGCGGGACTTAAGGTAGACTTTGTGTTGCAGTTTGCGGTCCTCCAGGCTGTGGATGCGGAGAAAGCGGTCCAGGCCACATGATGCCACCACAGGCTGGGAGGGGTGACAGTGCAGCCCACGCACACCCCCTGCCAGCCCCTTCAGACAGCCGCGGACCACACCTTTCCTCAGGTCCAGCATGGCGATCTGCCCATGGGTGTTTCCTACCACCACTGTGTTCCCACTGGCTGGCAGAGACAGAGTGGTAAGCGGGTACTCGCCATACTCAGCCTCCAGGACTGGACGCCGCTGAGGGGTGGAAGGATCAAACACGTGGACCTGACAGAGAAGAGACAAAAAGGTTAAATCTACTGGATACTTCTGACCACATGAGGGCAGAAAAAACCTGTGAGGAGCTGGGGTCCTGGTTTGTAAAGCTGACATTATCTGTATTTAAACTAGGAGAAAATCAAAACCACTCATATTATAGTCATTAAAACAAAAATGTTTACTCTGTCACACTGAGTTTGTAGCCAGGGCAGCTAAACATCAGAGGCTACAGGTAAATAATGCCAAACTGGTTTACAGACAGTGGATACCACAAGCACATTTGTATTCCTGTATTGGTTACTCACTGCTCTTCTTGAATGTTAACTGCCAGTTAAACCATATGCTGCCGGCATACAACTGTATCTCCATTTTCATCCGTGCTTGTTTACACCCGGGCAGTAGAGCATCACAGCATTATTGCAAAGCTAGCAGCGGGTGGCTGTGCTACAAACTTGGACACAACATCTGACCAGTATTTCAGGCCTTTGATAATACATGTATGAAAACTCATTCAACTAACAAGCAAGTCTGACAACTTTCAAAGCGCCTGTGAGAAACTTTCTGTCTGTGTGGACAAAGTGAGCACCAAAGTTATTGACACCCTCTGTAAATAGCTGCTGTTGGAGAAAGCAGCTGTTTCCTCAGAATACCTAGCACCCCCTTAATGCAGTCAGAGGCTTCAGCAATCACAGTGTGGAATAAGTCACTCTTGTCAATCATTGTTCTCCTCAGTCTGTTTCATAACCTATCAAAAACTTCTCAGTGGAGCTTTAATCCTTTAGACGACCACACTTGAAAACCCAAGAGTGAGCTGTATTTACAGCCCAGGGAGGGGGTTCCAAGGTTTCTCTACAGTGGCCTCTGAAACACTTAAGCGGTAAATAAAGTTTGAACCACCTGAGAGTAAACATCTAAAAATAGTTGCTTTTTAAATGGAGTTTGGTCTATGCGACTTACAAGTCCAATGTTTCAGAGACAGTTTTCCACCCCTTTTTTTGGTCCACCAGCTCAAACTAACCTGATGGTAACCTGTGCAGGTGACCACTTTGTCAGAATCCGGGATGAAGGCCATGTCTCTGACCCACTGCGGCCTCCGTAAATCCAGCCAGTCGTCCCGCAGGTTCTTCGCGGTGAATAATGGTTTCTTTGGTTCCTCCAGGTCCCAGATCTTCAGCCCGTTCTCCTTCCCGCCGGTCGCCACTTTGTTCCGGTGTACCGAACTCTGCCGCATCCTGCACACGTTCTTTCCAGCGTCCAGCTCCGTCACAGGCTCGCTGCTGTCCTCCCTCCACACCCGCACTGTCCCGGACTCCACGCAGGTGATGATCCTGGACCCGTCCAGCGCAGCCAGCCCGGTGAAGCAGCCCTCAGAGGGGTCCCCGCAGCGCCGGGTCTCAGTGAAGGATCCCTTCTCGGTGCTAAAGGTTTTCACGGTCCCGTCCACGGAGCCCACCAACAGCTCGCTCTCCGCCGGGTCCCCCCAGCACAGAGCCCGGACCTCCTGGTCCCGGCTCAGGTGGCTCGTGTTGCAAAAGTTGAAGGCCTGTTTCCGGGACAGACTAACCCCCTTCAGGATGCCGGTCTCTGAGCCCAACCACACGGAGCACAACCGGCTCGAGTCCCCCATTTCAAACGGAGTATGTGGACCCGAACTCACAGAAAGTGGGACCAGCGAAAAAAACACGCGTGTTTTACACTGGGACAGTGTCGCTTACTTTAGACGTCATTTTGCATGCCTTTATTTTTTTTAAAAACTTTATTTAACCCTTAACTGGGGTATTGAATTAAAAGAACTATTGAATAATTACAATACCTATACAGTCCATTATACAGTTTGATTCCAGTAAGTTGAAAGTGTGTTCAACTGTCTCCTGATGCAAGGAGAAGAAGGGGGCTTAAAATAGGATGAGAATCCTACATACATTTAGATCAGTTTCTGATCCCGCATGAGTGAAAACAGTTAAGTGAGTTGTTTAAACCTTTAAAAAAGGGAAAAGATTATTAATGTAAATTTATGTTACACCAAATTATACTGTGTTATTCCCATTGACTGTATATACTATATACAGTCTATGATTATCCCCCGAAGGTAGGAGCTAGTCAGTTCGAAAATGATAATAAATTAAAATAGAACGGGATGTATCATTATTTAGTAGGCTCACTCCTTTAAGTTTATGATTATAAATACTGTGATTTTTTAATAGGTTTATATTTGTTAAAATCAAGCTCATCTTCGTAAATCAATAATGTAAAAAACAAAGTTAAAATCACTTTATAATTGGGTTGTCGTAAGTTCATTCAAAGGCGGCTTGCTGGTACGTCATTGCAAAGCGACATCTCATTTGCGCATGCGTATATGACAGCAAGCGCACCATTTTGGATCCGTGGGTAGTAGCTAGCTAGTTGTTGTTAGCCTACACGGCGCTTCTTCAGTGTAGTTTATTTTCCAGATTTGAGACTGAAGTCGAGTAAACAAAGAGAAGATCGGATCACAGACCGGACTCAGGGACTCTCTGTCTGAGGAATGGACGGAGAGGAGGAGGACTTCATGTCAGGGAACCAGTCCGGTAAAGACTCGGTTCCTGCTTTGTTTCTGTGCTAACATGCTAACTCTGTCCTGAGCCCAAAGAGGTACTCAGGTGGTCTCAGAAACTCTCAGAAAGACTCATTGAGGTTTGAAGTGATGATCAGACATGAAGATTAGTTTGGGGATAGAGCCACCAGGAACTTGAACCAAATCCACGTTTAGTGGTAGAGCCTCAGACCGAGAGGGACTCGGTCCCTTTTCTGCGACATTAAGTCTTAAATTTCAAGTATTTTATAATAACATGGAGGGCAGGGAAGGCTTTAGGTAGATCCAAAGGGGAGCTTCTTTTCAGGATCTTTTTACTCTGCTGGTACACGAAAGGTTTTGGAAATAAGTCCTGATCCATAACCAATACGCCCTGACTCCTCAGGTCTGGGCCAGATGACCCATGTTAAAACAAACACCTCTTTGAATATAGAAACCTTTTATCCTGGGTGAGACTATTCAAAATACTCACTGCTTATTTTATGTCTGTACCACTTAAGACCAGGTCCAGATCATCAGTGAAAATTGTAAACAGTAGAGGCCCGTAGAGGCACTTAATGTCTGAGGAGTGGAACTTCACATCTAAAGATCTCCTGTTGAAAATCAACCGTTACTGTCAGGCAGACACTTCAGCCATAATTAGGTTGTGTCAGGAAAATTAGATCATCTCAGGGTCTGGAGTGGATTTCTTTTTAAACCATTACCGTCATGATGAGGGATCAAACCGGTGATTAGAGCCCATCTTAGTCTGCTCTTCATAAAGTAAAGGAGTTTCCAGCGACCTGGGCTGCTTTAGAGTCGCTGACCTGTTTGTGTTTCACAGATGATGGCGGCGGCACTCCAGTTCAGGATGAACACCCTGGGTCAGACGGCGAGGAGATGAGGAGCGACAGACATCATTCTGAGGTGAGGTTAAGGCCGCCACATAACATGCCCACACACCATCTTCATGTCTTAGAGTTACCTAATCTCTAGTCTGTTAGTCAGGCCTGGAGAGTTAAAAAACTGAAAAGTAAGAGTTGCTGGACACTTCACTTTGGTGAAAGGGGTCACAGGTCAGAGGGATTGGACTTCACTCTCCTCCATGGGATTGAAAACCTCTCCTCCATGAAATGATTTGTTTGGTTTCAAATGCGTTCATTGAAATATTGATCTGTCAATCTCTGAGATTCACCCTTGGCAGCTTCCCTCCCATGTCTCCGTCTGGTTTCTCTCAGAGGAAGCTGGTCTCTGGTGATCTCTGGGTGCAGGAGACTTTCTCTGTTGGTTCTTTCACAGCAGACTTTCCCCGCAATATTCACGACATCCAGGTGTTTCTGTCCCTCTGACAAGTCACTTTCTGTCTCCACAGGACGAGGGCAGCAATGATGAGGACACTCCACATGCTATGGAGACCAGTGGGGCGGTCAGCGGCTCAGACAATGAGGACCACAGAGGAGCTGACAGCGACTCTGAAGGCGAGGCTCCCAGGGGCCGCAACAACGACGACAAAAGTGATTCAGAGGCTGAGGCCCCTCGACCTGCTGACAGTGATGATGACTCCCCAGTCAAACGCAGAATGAGCGAGTCAGACAACGAGGAGTCGTCACCTGTCAAACACAGAGCTTCAGATAACGAGGAGGAAGGAAGTTCGTCTCCCGTCAGACGCCGGGGAAGCAGCTCTGACATGGAGGAGGGGGAGGAGAGGCCCAAAGCCGCCGCAGACAGTGACTCAGAGAACGAGGATGCCAAACCTGCGGCGTCTCCAGACCAACGGTCCAATGAGGACAGTGACTCTGACAGAGAGACGCCCGCCAGACACAAGGCGGCACAGATAGACTCTGAGGAGGAAGAGGAAGGGGAGAAACAGAAGGAGGAGGCAGAGGAAGGAGTGGGAGGGAAGTGGAAGGCTGTGATGCAGTCTGACAGTGAGGAGGAGGAGGAGGGGAAGAGGAGGAAGGCTGCTGCAAGAAGTGATGAAGAGGAGGGGGAAAAGAGGCAGAGAGAGGACAGCGAGGATGAAGAGGAGAAGCCAGGTACTAACCTCATCCAAATTCAGCTCCTAACAGCAGTAAAGAGGGTTAAATCAGATTCTTCTGCTGGTTTCAGTTTTTGGATAAAAATAATCTACCTGTTCTTTTCAATAATTTGTGTTTTCTTTATCACAGTGAAGAGGAAGAAGGCCATTCTGTCAGACAGCGAGGATGAGGATGAGGAGAAGGCTGACAAACCAGGTGAGAGGACAGCTGTGAGTTAGCCAGCAAATCAGGAGGTCCCACCTGACAATCGTGCACATGCTTTAAGTTTTCAGTAAGACCAAGTATGCAGAAAAACTGGTCCCTCAACATCTGGTCTTTACTTTACATTCATCATCTCTTTGTTCCCTCAGCAGTGAAGAGGAGTCGGGCGGTCTCAGAGGATGAGAACTCAGACAGCGATGGAGAGTCAGTTGGTCCTGATAAGAGTCTGGCAGCCAAACTGAGGGAGCTCGGCTCAGACAGCGCAAGTGACGATGAGGACGAGAAGTCGAAGGTCACACCGGGAAAGAAGGATGAAAAGGCGTTGTTCGGCAGTGACAGCGAATCAGGAGACGGGGACGAGGAGGAGGAGTAAGTATTGGACTTACTTTTCTCACCTGTACCTGAGTGACAGTTTGGACTAACATGCAGAGGAAGGAAACAGGGAACTGATTTTTAAGAATACCATCCTTCCTCACTCCTCCTTCCTCAGCATCTGTGACAACAGAAAGGCTAATGCTGTCCAACCTCAAAAATAAAACATTTAGACATCAAAATACTGTGAGTGTGACCTCTGACCCCTCTGCTTTTCCTAGGAAAATGATTGCAGACATCTTTGGAGAGTCTGGAGACGAGGAGGAGGAAGAGTTCACGGTACGAGAAAATGCTGACTGTTTCTTTACCACCTGAGTCCTTTAAAGTCCTGTTACTGAACTCATACACCTGTCTGAAATAAAGTGACTGACTGACTGTCTCGACCTCTGCCTGCAGGGCTTCAACCAGGAGGACCTGGAGGGGGACAAGAAAGTGTCAAAGGAGCTGCATCAACAGCAAGAGGAGGAGTCTGACTCTGATGACGGAGTCGACCGCAGCGGGCAGGAGTAAGCAGCTCAGGAAGGGAAATTGTAGACAAACCGAAAACATGCATATGTTCCCATTTAACAACAGGAGCCTTTAAATAAATCAGCTTTTAAAGTGTTTCAAAGTTGCACCAAAACAGTAGAAATGGGCCTTAGTGCTGGAATCTAATCAAAAATAATTTCTGCAAGCCTTAAAAAAACTGCATGTTGCCTGTAAAAGCCTTTGGATATAGGAATTGGTCAAAAGAGAGTCTAGATCTGTCCCAGCACACTTTCCTCCAAGCTCCACGTCTGCGGCTGCAGAAAAAGATCTGTGTATTTAAGTTTCCTCACACTGACAGTCCTTTAAAACTCTGTTTTTTTTCTGTTCTTGTGTGTGCGTGTTTTCAGCACCAGCTTCATGTCCGACTTCGACATCATGCTCGCTAAGAGGAAGGCCATGAACAGCAAGAAGAGGCGGCACCGTGACGGAGGGACATTTATCAGTGACGCCGATGACGTGGTCAGCGCCATGATCACCAAGATGAACGAGGCCGCAGAGGTCAGCCTGTCAAAATAAAAGCCTCTCCAGACACTGTTGGCGCCTTAAGGTCATTCTTTAATCCTCAGTGTGTCTGACTCTTTACAGGAGGACCGAACTCTCAACAGTCAGAAGAAACCTGCGCTGAAAAAACTCACCCTGCTGCCGCATGTCGTCATGCACCTGAAAAAGTGAGAGCTCTGACTTTGGTTTAATGTCTGAACCTCTCATCACACATCCAAAGCTCCTACAGCTTTATCTTAACACACAAGACACTTCCTTTGTTATGTTTGCTGACCATGAATCATGTGACCATGAGCTCTGGTTTGAGGTCTCTCATTGCTGTTTGTTTTTTTTCTCAGACAAGACTTAAAGGAGACGTTCATTGACAGCGGCGTGATGTCGGCCATCAAAGAGTGGATCAGTCCTCTCCCGGATAAATCACTGCCTGCTCTCAGAATCAGAGGAGAGCTGCTCAAGATCCTGCAGGAGGTGAGGACGATGCTCTGGAATGGAGAGCTCCACTCTTGTTTGAAAGAGTTCAGCCTCACCCTGTTTGTTTTCTCCGTCAGCTGCCCAGCGTCAGTCAGGAGACGCTGAAGCACAGCGGGATCGGACGAGCCGTCATGTTCTTGTACAAACACCCCAAAGAGTCCCGCGCCAACAAAGACCTCGCTCTCAAACTCATCAGTGAGGACCTCTCTCTGGAAAATCAGAATTTCAGTGGTGTTCATGTGTTTAGAAACATGAGTAAAAGCTTTGAATCTCTTTCAGACGAGTGGTCACGGCCAATCTTCGGCTTGACATCCAACTATAAAGGGATGACGAGAGAGGAGCGGCAGCAGAGAGACTTGGACCAGCAGATGCCCCAGAGACGAAGACTAAGGTATGAACACAGCTGTCAGACCTGATGACAACCTGATCCATTAAAAATCATAGTTTGGTCACAGGAGCTCCAATAGAAAGTTTATGCTCTTGTGGCTCTGAGGTTCTGTCATCAAGATTTCCTTTTTCCCACTTCAGAGCTTTATTCATCCTTTTCATCCTCCTCTCATCACTTGTTCTGTTTTTCCTCCAAGCCTTTTTTCCTCCTGTTGTTGTTTCTTTTTTGGCTCTACCTTCAGTTTTTGCTTTCATTCCTCTTTATCACTTCATTTTCATCCTTCCTTCCCTCCTTTCCTCCTCTCCTCCCCTCAGTCAGCCTCAGAAGGTGGAGAGGGCGGAGGAACCCGACGTCTTCTCTCCACCAATCAGGTTCAGTCATTAAACTGCATGGTTTCACTGCAAGTCCCACCTTCAGAGTGAGATCTGAGAAAGACTGAACTTTAGATTTATAGTGGTTCTCTGCTTGAAGCAGCTAAACTTCAAAATGCTAAATAATGAATGTAGAAAAACAGGAAGAAGTATTTAAGTCTGATCAAGATCTGCTTCATTGTCCATTTATGAAGTCTGAAAAGTATGAGTCATTAAGTATTCAACTATAATAATATTTGTTGAATGATGTTCATTATATCTTCAGTTTCTTTTTTTTTTTTTTTTTAATTCTTTTTTTTCTCCTGTATCTCAGACATGTTATCTTTTTCAATACCCTGACATGTTTTGGCAGAAACTTCCGCCTTCCTCAGAAGTGTCACAGCCAAAACATGTCAGGGTACGTGAAAAAGATTACATGTCTGAGATAAAGGAAAAAAAGAAAACTATATACCAGCTATTGACCAGCTTACAGGGAACAGTGATGTAAGCTGCAGTTTAAGATATATTATGTTACAGATATAACACTAATTCACACCGGTTATTACCTACTTTTACATTTCTGATGATGAGTCTGAGTTTAAATTCTTTACATTTATATTAAACCTTAAAAGCAAAAGAAAGTTGTGCACACACCGAGGTGCTGCAAAAAAAGGCCCGAAACACATACAGTAAACATGTTAGCATAAAAACCAAGAATATAAAAACATGAAAACAAAAGTATAAATAACAGATTATTTTATGCACAAGGTCTCCAGATTTGAAGGAGGTCAAGTTGAATCTGGAAACTGTTGGCCTTACTTCAGTTTCAGTTTTATATCAAAGTTGAGCTCACAGTGTCTTGTCCTTTCAGAAACAGTGTTGTTGTGACCACACCTAAAAAGTCACTTATATAAGCTTTATCATCATCACTTTAACGTACAGTGCAGGCAGTTTTAAATTTGCTGAGTCCATGTTAGATTCAAAAGAGGGGCTGAGTAAAAACCCACAGAGATGGTTCAGTCTAAACATGTCTAAGACATTATCAAACTGAAGGTCTTGGATCAGGTGAGTCTCTCCCTGTTAGGGTTTCCCCTCTGAGGACAACAGGGCAGAGATAGAAACCTGAAGAGGGAACCAGCAGAGGTGTTTTCTTCCTGTTACACTGAAACGCTGACTAACTGCTGTGGGGTGGAGAATGCTAATAATAGCATGGGGACTCGGCTGCTGGTGTTAATCCTGTTCCTCAGCAGACTGTAGATGTGCTGCAGGATTCACACTCTAAAAATGTCTGATTTCTCGGCTCTTAATCTTTCCATTTCTTCCTGATATAAACCAAAGTGTCCCCCTCTCTTCTATCGGTGCAGCTCTGGAGGTCAGACGCCTCGGAGGGACTTAGAGAAACAGCTGACTGGAGAGGAAAAGTGAGTTATACTTCAAACATAACCAGGTTACTTTCCTGGTCCAGGTTTTAGAATTTAAAGTGCAGAGAAGGCCAGCACTATCACAACTGAACCCCTCCTCCTCCCTGCAGAGCTCTGAGACCCGGTGACCCCGGCTTCTGTGCCAGGGCTCGAGTCCCGATGCCCTCCAACAAAGACTACGTGGTTCGACCAAAGTGGAACGTGGAGGTGGAGTCAAACAGGGTGAGTGCACTGAGGGGGGAGGTTTATTTTTAGCTGTTTAAAGCTCCCGTGAGGAGGATTTTTCTGCTTCATCGAATGAACTCAGATTTCTAATGCTGCTGTTTATGAGCTGCAGAAACAAAGCAGACCAACAGAGAGACAATGGGCTGATTCCCTCGGGTTACTGGTCAAAGATTAGAGATAGACAGCACCCTGCAGAATCAGTTTTTTTGACTGTAAATAGATTAAAAAAAAAAAAAAAAGCTGAGCTTGGAGTGAAAAATAAGACTTATTCTGCCTCTGGATGTGTGACAGCCCTGGCTGGTTCTGTTGCAGCTCTCATTGTGTTTAACTCAAAATAAGATTATGAACTACCTGTTATGAACATGTCTTTGTAAAAGTCATGAGGATAGATTTTCCTTAAGGGATGAGAGTGAGGATGACAATCATGAAATCATAATCCTCAGTAAAGAGGTCTTTTGACAGACCTGTGGATGAGTCTTTTTGGGGGTACAGCAGGTTAAATTTCCAATTTACTTTCACACACGACTCACCGGTGCAAACAAGGACTCTTAATTAGTCTTTGTTATAAAGTTTTAATTTTACTGTTGTTTAAGATTGCAGTTATTCATTAGAGTTTTTAACAAGCAAATTTTAGAGTTTGTTTTAAAAGGCATTTCTATAGCAGCACAAATATATATCATCTGAGCAGGCTGGTTTTAAAGTACAAGCTGTCTGTAAACTGGAAGTGATGTCGTTGGCTGCGCTGTCGTTGGTCCTCTGTAGAGCGGCTATAAAAAAGGAATGAGCCTGCTGGAGAAGCACAAACGTCGCTTTGCAGAGCAGAGGAAAAACAACCGCCCACAGGGAGCTGTCAAGATCAGCATAGAGGGAAACCGAATGCCTCTGTAGTTCCTGCTGCTGACCTGTGGGGGGCAGTAAGTCCTTCTGCATGGTATGACGGCGTGCAGTGATGCTAGTACTGACTGTGCAGCATTTCAGAGACCGCACCGTCGAACGGCGCATTTGAAGTGTGCATAATGTCATCATGCGGCGCGAACAGTGTCCCATTTGGCTCGAAATGCTGAGCGTGCTTCAAATTTGATCTCAAAACCACACTACCCCCGCCCCTTTTTCGTGGCCTTGGTATCCCAGAATTCTTTGCGTGCCACTGCGCATTTGGGGTGAGAGGCCGGACTCGCTTGGAGATGCAGCGCATCATTATACTCTTTAGAAAAGAACTGATCCACTCTGTGACCACAATCAAAAACATTAGAAATTAGAAAGCTGACAAAACTACAGCAGAGTGTCCCAACAACATTGAGTTGTTTTTTTTTTTGTTTTGTTTTGTTTTTTAAGGTTTAGAGATTAAAGTTGTAAACTTGGAAGAATAAAGTTATCAAGTAAATAAAGTCATAAAGCTGCTTTTGTGGGAGAATGACTGAAGCTGGTCATCTGCAGGGTTATCAGCAGGTCATTCAGAGAGATTTTGTGGTTTCTGAAGAAACAATCCAACTGATGATCAACATTTGAGATCCAGAGGGAGTCGAGCTCAGATGAGCAAAACGTCTCTGACACTGGCGGTAGCCTACACCTGCAGAGACACCATGGCCTTATTATGGCATATGGATTCATATCATAAACTAAAGCTCAATGTCATTCATGGCTGCATTGACAGATACACTCACCGGCCACTTTATTAGGTACACCATGCTAGTAACGGGTTGGACCCCCTTTTGCCTTCAGAACTGCCTCAATTCTTCGTGGCATAGATTCAACAAGGTGCTGGAAGCATTCCTCAGAGAGCTTGGTCCATATTGACATGATGGCATCACACAGTTGCCGCAGATTTGTCGGCTGCACATCCATGATGCGAATCTCCCGTTCCACCACATCCCAAAGATGCTCTATTGGATTGAGATCTGGTGACTGTGGAGGCCATTTGAGTACAGTGAACTCATTGTCATGTTCAAGAAACCAGTCTGAGATGATTCCAGCTTTATGACATGGCGCATTATCCTGCTGAAAGTAGCCATCAGAAGTTGGGTACATTGTGGTCATAAAGGGATGGACATGGTCAGCAACAATACTCAGGTAGGCTGTGGCGTTGCAACGATGCTCAATTGGTACCAAGGGGCCCAAAGAGTGCCAAGAAAATATTCCCTACACCATGACACCACCACCACCAGCCTGAACCGTTGATACAAGGCAGGATGGATCCATGCTTTCATGTTGTTGACGCCAAATTCTGACCCTACCATCCGAATGTCGCAGCAGAAATCGAGACTCATCAGACCAGGCAACGTTTTTCCAATCTTCTATTGTCCAATTTCGATGAGCTTGTGCAAATTGTAGCCTCAGTTTCCTGTTCTTAGCTGAAAGGAGTGGCACCCGGCGTGGTCTTCTGCTGCTGTAGCCCATCTGCCTCAAAGTTCGACGTACTGTGCGTTCAGAGATGCTCTTCTGCCTACCTTGGTTGTAACGGGTGGTTATTTGAGTCACTGTTGCCTTTCTATCAGCTCGAACCAGTCTGGCCATTCTCCTCTGACCTCTGGCATCAACAAGGCATTTCCGCCCACAGAACTGCCGCTCACTGGATATTTTTTCTTTTTCGGACCATTCTCTGTAAACCCTAGAGATGGTTGTGCGTGAAAATCCCAGTAGATCAGCAGTTTCTGAAATACTCAGACCAGCCCTTCTGGCACCAACAACCATGCCACGTTCAAAGTCTCTCAAATCACCTTTCTTCCCCATACTGATGCTCGGTTTGAACTGCAGGAGATTGTCTTGACCATGTCTACATGCCTAAATGCACTAAGTTGCCGCCATGTGATTGGCTGATTAGAAATTAAGTGTTAACGAGCAGTTGGACAGGTGTACCTAATAAAGTGGCCGGTGAGTGTATATCCTCAGCATATCCATATCTGCCTCCACAAAAGCAGCGATTTCCTCTTTCTTCAAGTTGTCATGACGCGAGCCTAAGGGCGGGGACATTTGGCAACTCTACCAGGAAGTCCTCAGAAGGGTAGTCTGTCCCATTTCACAAAAACCGGACCATCTCACTCAGGGTACTTAAGTCCACATACAGTGCATCCAGAAAGTATTCATACCACTTCACTTTTTCCACATTTTGTTATGTTACAGCCTTATTCCAAAATGGATTAAATTCCTTTTTTCCCTCAAAAATTCTACACAAAATACCCCATAATGACAAAGCAAAAAACTTTTTTTAGAACATTTTGCAAATTTATTAAAAATAAGATACTCAAATGTTGCATATACATGAGTATTCACACCCTGAAATGTTCCTCCAACTTGATTGCAGTCCACCTGTGACAAATTCAGCTGATTGGACATGATTTGGAAAGCCACACCTGTCTATATAAGATCCCACAGCTGACAGAGCACGTCAGAGCACAAACCAAGCCATGAAGTCTGTCAGTAGACCTCTGAAACAGGGTTGTATCGGTGCACAGATCTGGGGAAGGTTACAGAAAAATATCTGCTCTATTGAAGATCCCAAAAAGCACAGTGGTCTCCATCATTAAGAAATGGAAGACGTTTGGAACCACCAGGTATCTTCCTAGAGCTGGCCGCCCAGCCAGCAAGTGGGGGAGAAGGGCCTTGGTCAGGGAGGTGACCAAGAACCCGATGGTCATTCTGACAGAGCTCCAGCGTTCCTCAGGGGATTTGGGAGAACCCTACTGAAGGACCACCATCTCTGCAGCACTCCACCAGTCAGGCATTTATGGTAGAGTGGCGAGACAGAAGCCACTCCTCAGTAAAAAGCACATGACAGCCCGCTTGGGCTTTACTAGAAGGCACCTGAAGGACTGACAGACCAGGAGAATTAAAATTCTCTGGTCTGATGAAACTGGCTTCAGGACAAGTCTCTGAATGTCCTTGAGTGGCCCAGCCAGAGCCCAGACAACCCGATTAAACATCTTTGAAAAGACCTGAAAGTAGCTGTGCACCGACGCTGCCCATCCAACCTCACTAAGCTTGAGAGGATGTGCAAGGAAGAATAGGAAAAACTACCCAAATCCAGGGGTGCCAAGCTTGTTGCATCATACACAAGAAGACTGGAGGCTGTAATCGCTGCCAAAGGTGCTTCGACCAAGTATTGAGTAAAGGGTGTGAATACTTATGTATATGCAACATTTGAGTATCTTATTTTTAATAAATTTGCAAAATGTTCTAAAAAAAGTTTTTCACTTTGTCATTATGGGGTATTTTGTGTTGAATTTTTGAGGGAAAAAAGGAATTTAATCCATTTTGGAATAAGGCTGTAACATAACAAAATGTGGAAAAAGTGAAGTGGTATGAACACTTTCCGGATGCACTGTAACAGCAGTGTGCTCAGCTAAGCACGCTTGAGTGTGCTCAGCCTGATGTGGTCTTTGAAATGAGACACAGCCATAGAATGGACAGCGTCTGCCTCCTCTCTGGGTGAAGCCACTCCAAGAACAGCACCCTCTGTTGATGGGCTGCAGTATAGGTCATAAATCCCGCCTCCGCCAGCAAAGCCTATGGAGCTGTGGACAAACGTTAGAAATTTATTACACATAACATACATTTTTCTCCCCCCTGCTTGTGATGTTGACATGTAGTTATTGTAAGACTGGTTTGTGCTCAAGTCCTCTTTTTTCTGTGAAGCTCTGTTTTTAAAAGTTATTAGGTAGTTCATGTTTTCTATGATTGACACTTGATACAGCCTGTGGGCATTCAGGGATTGCGTAGCTCTCCCCGGGGGATATACTGCGCGCCCGAATGTGCTCATCTCTACTGTACATCATTGGTTTCGGGAAATGAAAAAAAATCCCGGACATACGGAGAGCTATTTGGCTTCAAATCCGTATACAGGCGGTAGACGGAACCAAGTTGTCCATAGTATATACAGTCTATGAGCAGGACTTATCCCCTGAGTCTGGACGGTAGAGCTAACACTAATGTGCTCCTCGTGTGACGTTCTCTGTAGTGTCCAGCAGGGGGCCACTCCACTGGTTCTACATGTGGTCTGATTATAAGGAAGTCTATCAGAATATGTTCCTGTTTTTAGTAAAATAATAAACTAACAATCCAAGTCAGAGGAAAAACAAGCATTTAGAAAGTGAGACAAGGCTTGAAGCTAACTCCTGAGTTAGGAGTTACAGCGCTGCATCATTGAGAAAAAGAGGAAATCTGTCCCCAAAAAAAACATTTCTCAGAATTGGTTACTATGAAAGGTCAAAATGTGCTGAAATAACACCATGATGTTAATCAGTAGAGAGGAAAAGGTCAGGCTTTGTCAGGTTGTCCTCAAAAGCAGAAGAAAACAACCTTTTTATAGTTTGTCATACAGAAACGGTGTCTTCCTGGATTCTATTATTTCATTTCTGTTGCTTAGCTTGCATGCCGGTCAAAGGCAAGTCTTACACGTATCCACTGTTGCTTACACATTTACTTGTAACATGTAACAGATACAACCTCACTGCAAAAACTTAGAACTACCCCTTTAATGTGGATGCTTTTGAATGAGGATCATGCTTGAACAGTGCACCTCTCTGGCAAAAGTGCAGGGGACGTTACGGAGGAGCCTCTGAGCTGCATGTTTCCTCTGAGGGTTTGAACGCTCCTCCTGCATGACTCTGGAGAACATGTGTGCCAAAGAGAGGCAAAGCACCTGCTAATACTGAACAGTTTTTGTTCTAGCTGCTCTCTGGAGTGAAAGTCTTCCTCAGGAATCAGTAAATGTTTGTTGTGTGGTTAGAAAGTCAGGAGGTGGCGCTCATGCTCGCGTTTTATCTCCTTCAACAGATCGTCCTGAACCTGTTTGTAAGCCTCTCCAGCTTCTGTTGGGTTTTAATTTTCTGTTTCTGTGTCTGTTTGTCCTTACAGGGTCCAATGAAGAAGGGAATATCCCGCGTAGATAAACAGATGCGTAGGTTTGCCGACATCCGCCGCCTGACGAAGCCGGGTCACGCTGTAAAAATCAGCGTGGAAGGAAACCGGATGCCGCTCTGATTTTAACCTCTATAGGATTTATTCATATAATTAATTTCTTTTTAATGTGTTGCTCCACCTTTCTCCTGCAGTCCACCTCCTCCTCTTCTGGTCCAGCTCTGTGTTTCTGTAGAGCTAACATGAGATAACTGTGACTCTGCTGAGATGTGGCATCTGCTGCACACAGAAATGACCAGAAATCATCCGTCTTTAGGCAACAAACATTGAACTTTCCTAAAATGATCCAGAAATAAACTTCCAAGTTACCGCAAAACTTTTGCACCTCTAAGCCACCTGTATTTTAGATGATAACCAATCATCTCAATTCATGTTCTAGTTAACAAGCAATCATGTTGAAACGGACGCCAAAGTTAGTGCTGTTATCAGCTGTTAATTATAAAATCGTTGGTTTGTATTATTAGTTCCTGTTAGCTGGAAGATTTTTCAGCAGATTGTGGAAAACTATTTATGTATTCATAACTCCTCATATAAGTTCATAGATTGGCTTTTTGTTTTTTTTTGTTTTTTTTTCAGTGCAAAAAACCATTTGGTAGAAACATCAACTTTAGTCTGAGCTATGGGATCTGCAGCTGCTCTATCAGCCCCGTTCAAACTTCCCAAAAAGAAAAAAAGGCCTGCAGGAAACAACTTAGTGGATCATTTTAGATCGTCTCTGTTTCTGCCCAAAGTTCTGTCTCATATAAATCCTTCAAAACTCTTTAATTGGATTTAAGGATAATTTCTGTTCTCTGATGCCTTTTTATTTTTTGTGAAAACCCCTTTTTTGTTCCCTCCCTGCTCCCATAGCGGCTGTACAGAAGTCTCTAAATTGTCTACAGGACTGATTTCACACAGACTCTGAAAGATCCAGACAGAAATCTGGAGTCAGATCTGGTTTAGGGTTAGTGTGTCTGTGTGAGTCAGCCTGTCTGTCTGCACTGTCTGGATCAGATGATACTTTTTCTTAATAAACACTCTCAGAAACTCACTGATGACTCTGAACTCCTCTGCTGTCTTACCTGGAATTGTATCTGAGTAAGGTAACATGTAAACTTGTCCTACAGAGCCATGCTGTTGTAATCCCTGTTGTCTGAATGTGGTTTGTCGTTGTCTTACTGAAATATGAAGGTCTTCTTTAAAAAAGTCTTTGTCTAGATGTCAGCAGATGTTGCTCATAAACCTGTAGATATTGTTCAGCATTTATGGAGCTCATGCAGTGATTCCCACTCCTGTCTGTTTTTAATGCAGTACTGCCTGAGGGTCTGAAGATCAGGACCATCCAGTCTTGGTTTTGGTCCTTGTCCCTTTCGTACAGATTTTTCCAGATTCTCTGAATCTTTTAATGATATTATGTGCTGTAGATGATGAATCACCTCATTCTTTCACATTTAAAGCTCGGGAATATTATTCTGTAATTGTTGAACTGTTAACTCGTGCAGTTTCTCACAGAGTGGTGAACCTCTTCCCATCTTTCCTTCAGAGAGACTTAGCTTCTCTTAATGTCCCTTTTATACCCAGTCATGTTACTAACCTGTTGGAAATTCACCTCATTAGTTGAAGATGCTCCTCCAGCAGCATCATTACACAACTTTTTACCTGTTTGGTTGTGCCCATAGACTGTATATACTATGGACAACTTGGTTCCATCTACCACCTGTATACGGGTTTGAAGCCAAATAGCTCTCGATATTTCCAGGATTTTTCTTCATTTCCTGAAACCAGAGCTGCGCAGTAGCGATGTGTGCATTCGGCCACTCAGTCGCCGAGAGTCGCTGTGATGACGCTCGGTTCAAACAGCGTATCCCCCTGGGGGAGCTACGCAATCCCTGAACGCCAATAGGCTGTATCAGTTGTCAATCATAAAAACATGAACCCCCTAATAACTTTTAAAAACGGAGCTTCACAGAAAAAAAGAGGACTTGAGCAAAAACTAGTCTTACAATAACTACATGTCAACATCACAAGCAGGGGGGAGAAAAATGTATATTCTGTGTCATAAATTTCTAAAATTTGTCCACAGCGCCATAAACTCTGCTGGCAGAGGCGGGATTTATGACCTGCACTGCAGCCTATCAACAGAGGGTGCTGTTCTCAAAGTGGCTCCACTCAGAGAGGGGGCAGACACTGTCCATTCTATGTACAGTCTATGGTTGTTCCTCTAACAACTTCTCTTGAATCTGGATTAGACCTTAAGAACTCACGGTTTCTATCTAGAAAGAAATTTACCAAACGTGGAGGTCTATCACAAATGGTCAATATCAAGGATTGTGTTGAATGTTTAATATGCATCAAATCTGACTGTTAAAAGTTACTCACATTCACCACTTGAGGGAGTTAAATGTGAAGATTTTTGTTCAGGTTTTGGCATCCGTACCCCTCACTGAATCACCTGCATCGACTGGTAAGTGCTATCACTATAAAGAAGGTCATAGTTGATGGTTATACGTCAGTTAAAAGTAGAAAGGATGAGACTCATCCCTTTGAATTTAAGGACAAAAGTGACTTGTTTTTCACAGAGATGATAATTAACTCTTTATTTTGCATAATTAAACTTAAGGCTTTAAGAAGCATTTAAAAACAAAATGAAACAGATTTATCACACGACAGGAACAGGAAGTTTCTCTCACCTAACCTCACACTGATGAGGTCTCCACTGCACCAGCGTGTTTTACTGGACTAAATCATGTTTATGGTTCCTGTAATACAGTCAGAAAGAGCTGATGCAGCACTCGCGGTGTTACCCAGCTGAATTTAAAGGGGAAACAACACAAACTCTAAATATTTTAAATGGTTATTCTGATCATTTTAAATGTTTAAGGCCACTTATTATTACACCCAAACCCACTAAAACCAGATTTTCTTAAATTTACAGTCACACAGTTAAACCATTTCTGTTGGATAAGCTCATTTTCTCAGTCAGCTCATTTATAAAAGCTTCTTACTCTGATCCGTAATAATGGTAGGCTCTCATAACAATTATCAAACCTGTTTGTCATTCAAAAATATAAAATATGTAAACAAAAATGGGCAAACTTAAAAAAAAACCTGCAGTATTTCTTGTAAGGTGGAGGCTGCAGTTCATCTAATGGCCACTAGATGCTACTCAAAGACAACTGACGTGAGTGAGTGCTGGAAAAAAGTCTGGGGCACCTTCTCCTAGGATGAGAACAAGAATATTTGGATTACCATGGACTTTAATATGATTATAATGTGCATAAACAGAGCTGTGTTTGAGTTCATGGTGCAGTGAAAACTTCTCTCAGTGTGTCGTCCTGCTGCAGACACACCAGAACAAAAACAAAAACAAACAAACAAACAAACAAAAAAAAAAACAGCTACCGGGCAAAAACTCAAGTTAAGTCGTGTCGGTTCAGTTCCACGTCGAGGCGGTTAGACGCCTCCAGTCAGAGTGGCGAATAGGAAGATGTGATGGAGGGGAGTGATGATGCATTCAGGTGACATTCAGACAAACTGCAAGAAAGGTGAATCCAGATTATCCAAAAACTATCGCCATGCCGAAAATCAAAGACGCATTAGAGCCTTTAAATTTAGAAAGCTGCAATGCAATTTAAAGATACAATCCAAAGAAATGTGAACGTTAAGCAATATCTATTAGATCATTAATTGAAATGCTCCCTTGCACACCTCTTCCGTTGGTGAGACTACTGTGGCCAAGGAGGACAAGAAGCTCCTCTGATGCATGATAAGAAGAATCCTTTTGTTTCATCTGTTAAGTTTCACCATCACTAATAGCTATCAATCAAAATGCCTAAGTGTACAACAGCAACCATGCTTCTTTATTTCCCAAGACACTCACAAAAACATGCATGTCCCTGGTTAGACTTTTCGGTGCTGCCATAGAAACAGATAAAATGCTGCACCTTTACATGCACTCAAATTCAGCTTTTCTTTTTGTGAAAATGATCATAAGGGAAATTTTTAGACTAACTTGTGCAGATGTTTGAATCACTCCAATCATATGAAGAAAAGTGTATATACAAACATATATATATATATATATATATATATATATATATATATATATATATATATATATATATATATATATATATATATATATATATATATATATATATATATTAAATGCTGATTTCTCGTTTTGGTCTGTCAACCAATCAGAGGCTGTTTCTGCATTCAACTGGTCCGTATATCACCAATGGGAAGCCAGAGGTTTCAGCCTGCTCTAGGTAGAGAAACACAAAAGATAGAGCTGTTATGAATAAACTAATCCTGCTTATTTCATTCTCGTGTACAAGATTCTGCACTCATTTTATATTTTATATAATTTTCCTATTTAAAGATATTGGACAGATTTTTTTTTTTTTCAAAAAAGTTAAAAAAAAAAGTCAAAGTGAGTTTGACCAAAGTGTGTTTGAGGTTCTCTGTTAAGACTTTATGCAGAAATAATTCCATCAAACCGCTCCTGTCTTTGCTTTGGTCCTCGATTCTCTCATGGGTGCAATAAAATTACGGAGCAGCACCTGAATGCACCATCATCACACGTTGTCTGTGCAGGTAGTGGGAGGGGCTTGGAGGTGGATGACTGGCAGGTGATGGCAAGTGGTGGGCGTGGCTCAGCAGGTGATTGGCTGTGATTCATGCATCTGTGATGGTTCCTCTGCAGAGAAAAATGAAACCTTCATTCAAAGGGTTAAATAAGAAATGTCAGTGTCTTGTTATAGTCTGCAATTCAGAACCTGTCCAGAGGAGAGCACTGTAAAGAGAGGCCTTGGTGTCAGGAGTAGGGGGTGTGGTCTATCCTCGGCTGTTTGGTAGACGACTCATCCCAATCCTGTCGATGGGAGGGGGGTTGGCTCGTCGTCGTGGCAACTCAACAACTTTACTGCAAACAGAGATAGAAAATGAGAAGATATTCTGGCATAAAATTAAGTTAGGGTCAAACACACCGTAACAACGAGTTAGACACCCCCTCGAGAGATAAATGTTGCAGTCTGCTTGCTTCTCTAGTTTTACCAACTTAAGTTACAACCACACGATAGCAATACACAGCGGTTTACGGTGTGCCACATGCACACCTGAACCAAAAAGCCACTCTGTAGTCACAAATAATGCTCAGAACAGCACCTAACTTCATCAACAGTACATATAGGGTCCCAGCCATAGGACTAGCCATCAAATTTTTTAGCTTTGCCTAATTTCCTAAAACAAGTGGCTGCTGGAAGAGAGTGGGTGAGTTGTGTAGTCTCTTTGCTAAAGAAATCAGGCAAAGCTTAAAATATTAACGAAGTTAAGTGCTGTTCTGAGTTTTTTTTTGTGGCTATAGAGTGGCTTTTTGGTTGAGATGTGCACGTGGCTCTGCTATCATGCAGTCATTACTAAAGTTGGTATAACTAGAGAAGCAAGCAGTCTGCAACAATTATCTCTCAAGAGGGTGTCTAACTTGGTGTAACGGTGTGTCCAACCCTAATTTAATTTTACACCAGAATATCCCTTTAACAGCAGGACTGTCTCAGTATACAGGTATCAACAATAACTGACTTTTAAATAATTTAATATTGGTAGTTTACTAAGAATAAAGAAATGATAATACAGCGGCTCAACAATGGGTTGGTTGCAACACATCATAACACAGAGGACAGATGAAGAAGAAGCAGCAAACAGTCTGCTAACTAGCTGAAGCAGCCCTCTGAGAGATGATTGAACACTTTGTATTTTGAGCCCCACTGTTTTAACCAAAGCTCGTCTTTTCTGTTTATTCATAGCCTACTGTTAAACTGCCGTTTATTCCATGTTCATCATTAGTATTAGTCCCCCCAGTCTGTTTGTTGTCCCACCTCTGCTTGTTTGTTGCCTGTTTGGTTTCCATGGAGCTCACTGACAGGCGGTCCAACGGGGCGTTGTTCCCAGGGAAACTCCTCTTCCTCTTTGGCTCCATGACATCATTCTCCATCCTCACCAGGTCATCCAGTCGGAGCAGCTTCGCTGTTAGCTCCTCCCCAGCCTTTACTCCTCTGGAACGAGGCCGAAAAGCTGCCGGAGACCTGGACAAGAGCCGGTCTACATGCTGAGACACAGAAATAGGACAGATGGAGGATGGGCCTTAATATTTAAGGGCGAATTCATCAGTCAAGCAGATTTCTTCGTCCTTATAGCCATGAAACTGGTTGTTAAGGCTACAGGATGAAGCCTGGGACACCTGGACCCAACTAAAGAGAGTCCACTTAAATATCCTGTTTTTTTTTTTCCCAGAAAAAAATTATAAAAAAGTTAGAAAGGGATCTGTTTGGTTCAGCAGAATCAGCTGATGATTCCTCTTAACACCAGATGACTACATGAGAACAGAGTCACAAATTTCAAAGAATAAACTCAGAATTGAACAAAATTAAAGTCACAGACAAAAATAGAGTGCAACACTGTCAAGAAACCAGTTTTAAATTTATATTATATATAATAAAATTTATGAAAATGAAGTTAAAAGTTTTTGAGATTTTAGTTGTGAAAATACAAGACAAGTCAGAAATGTACTGAATTTTAAGTGTAGATATAAAAATAAAGTCCAACATTTATAAAACAGAGTCAAATATTAACAACATTTCAACATAAAGGCATGGTTGACGATTAGAGAGCCCCCCTTCGGAACTCTGAGCGGCTAAGAGTAGCGTAGCAGCTTAGCTACAGGAGCTGTGAAAGAGAGGGACGCAAAAAAAAAAAAAAAAAAACTGTTCTGCTTGCCCCACCGCCAAAAGTGCTAAGAAAACACAAGCCGACACAAGAAAGGGCAGAGACGAAGAGGAAATGTGACCAAGTGAGGAATCTAACTCGAATAAACATCGGGCCATCCTTCAAGTGAGAAAGCTCCCCCAGGATTTGGGCCTTATAACAGACACAGAGACAGCAGTTTTTGTTGAACAGGTCATTTTTGCCTTTTATCGTGGCACATGTTACATCAATAACTCTTATTAGTCTCTGCAATGTCAACACGGCAGCTGTCCAGGCAGCTGCAAACGGTGCTTGCTAGCAGAGCTGGCGTTTACTGCCGCTAGTCACCAGCAATCCGACATGGTGAATCCTATTTGAAGCTAGCGTAGGACCTTCTGCCGACAGGTTTCTTGCTCTACCAGATGGGATGTGCTGTGGGGAGGGCGATACAGGTTCAGGGGGAAGTTATCATGGAGCACAGAGGGGAGAGGTTTGTGTGTGGGGGGTGGGATGTTCTTTTTTCAAATTTGCCTCAATGGTTCAGTTTTTTTTTACTGCTTCTCAGATCGTCAATCATGCCTTTAATTGGAAAAGGTCTGAAAATTTAGTCTACAACATGAAAATAAAGTGCTAAATTTATGAGAATAAAACTGGAAAAATTACAAGATTTGAGTCATTAACTTAAAGAATTAAGTTGTAAATTCAGGAGAATTGAGTCACAAATGTAGAAGTCTGAAGTTCAATATACAGTTCAATAACAAACATAACAGATTTATGTCAAATTTATGAGGATGAAGCCAGAAACTTACAAAATTAGTCACAGCTGGCAGAAATTAAAGGTAATTTTTTTTTAAATTATGAGAGTAAATAAAACAAATCTATAGAATTAAAGCTTTATATTAAAGCTTCAAATTTATGAGACCAGTCTGAAATTTATGAGAGTTTAATTAATAGTAAATAAGATTTAAAATAAGATTCAAAATACAGTATTGAGAGTTAAGCCAGAAATTCAAGAGATTCAAGTTTTCCATTTACATGGACAGAGATTAATATTTTGAGAGTTAATTATTAGAAAAAAATGATTTTAATCTAATTAAAATCCCACAGTTACTGAATTAAAAAAAATAAAATATATGTGAAATAAGTCAATAAGTCACTGATCAGACTTTAAACATTTATAAGAAAAAAGTCAGCATTTGTGAGATTAAAGCTGTCAATTTAAAAGAATAAAGTCAGAAGTTAACAAGAATGATTTCAATAAATTATGAAAATACAGTTTGAAATAAATAAATAAATAAATAAGTCCAAAATCGTGAGAAAAAAAGTCTGAAATGTAAAGATTAGTACCTCTAAGTCCCAAGTCCCTAAACAGACTGAGGTGGAGGTGGATTAAGATGACTAAAATGACTAGTCTAGTGTTTGCAGAGAAGGACTGATCAGCTGATTGTGGCTTAAAAATCCTCTTCCTCATGAACACAAAGCTCCCTGTCTTCAGGATCTTCTCTTGATGCTTCAGACTCTCAGGAAAACAACCAGAGCCAATCAGGGACAAAAACTCCAGTTGTAAGTGGATAGGATGAATCGATCATGGACAGTCCCTATCACCCACTGCACCAGACTGTGGGGGCCTTAAGCAGCTCCTTCAGCAGCAGACTGAGACTCCCACTTTGCAAGACGGAGCACTACCGCAGGTCATTCCTCCCTTCTGCAATAAGACTTTACAACGAACTGCAATAAAACTGGACTCACACCACCACTTTTTTTCTGGTACTTAAATTGTGTATATTGTTTATAGTTTTATTTTTTCTTCTCCCTTTTTCCCGTTCTATTTTTTTTCTTAATTAGAACATTTGTTTAAGTTCTTAATATACGATCTTTATTTTTATAACTGCATTTTTGCACTTTGTCTGTGATGCTGCTGTGACAAAAAATTTTTCCCCACGGGGGATCAATAGAGGAATATTCTATTCTATTCTATTCTATTCAGCCCTGAAGCTGCAGGCCAAAGAAGCTTCATGGACCAGATACATAGACTAATCCAGGAGAGGACCAGTTTAAAACCAGAGAGACCCTGAGGATACAGACTGGGCCTAATAGAGCTCATTTGGAGTCACTGTCAGAAGACTCTCCTGTTGGACCAACACGGCTCCTCCTCCTCCTCCTGGTTTTATTTTCTATAAGGGAGTCTCCGTATGGAAAATATTGACCTCAGCACAGAGAGGCCACCCTGCTCCCCGTCTCCACCCCGTCTGCTGTTTTCAGACGTCAAGACTCCATGTTGTGAATCCTCTCTGACATCATGACCCTGACGGCGAGCGGTCTCTCACTTCCTGCCCGCCCGCCGCTTCTGACCAGTCACACGATCAGGTTTCGTCCAGACTAAACACTAAACAGCTTCAGGCCGCTCTCCCCATCACAGCTCGCTCTGATGTCACACCACCTGATATCAGCTCAGGGGCCTGCAGAGGGAGGGGCTGCTTGTTTTGGCCCTCGGGATGATTTGATAGGAAACAATCTGATCTGCCGCGGCTCTGTCTGATCCTGATTCTGCTGCGTCAGGAGGGGACAACAGGTGCTGCAAAAGGTTTGGCCAAAGCCCAGAGAAAGAGTGGGTCCTCAGGTCTTACAACAGAGTGAAGCAGCAGATAGTTCAGACAGAGGTCCAGCTCTACAGCCGGGATCTTAATAAAGGGACAAAAGTGAGTCCATTAACTCTTTACTCAAAGCAGGTAAAATATCTCAAAGTAGAAGTCCTCTCCTGGACACTGGCTGGTAACTGCAGAAACTCAGATCTTAGTAAGGTTTTGGTCTTCAGGGCTGTCACATTGTACCTACATTAATGATAACTGTTTAAAAAAAGAGAGCTGAAACTTTGATGTCCTGATAAGAAAAAAAAAAAAGTGAATGGAAATAATGTGAGAAGTCCTTCAAGCTGACCATCACACTTTATGGGAGGGATGAGATGAAGCAGCAACTGCAAGTGAGCTAGCTGTAGCATCCTTCTGAGAGATGATGAGACACTTAAAAAAAACTAATATTCAAAGATTTATTTAAAAAAAATACCCCCTCAGGTTTCTTATCAACATTTATGGTAGCCTATATAACCCTCTTTAAACAGTTTTCATTCAGTTTGTCTGTAACAGATTTTAAGCTTTATGACAGTAAAATTGTTTCTGTGCATTTTGCGTTTTGTGTATCTTTTTTCTGAATCAGAGAGATTTGATGCCGCATTTGCTCCTCACATCAGTAATTTTCGTCTGTCTGACCGTCTCTGTGGTCACCACCACCGGGGTGCATTTCAGGAGCATCATCTTGGATCCCTGAAGGAGCTGTCCTGAAGTAACTCTGAAACATGCCGCAGGTCAGAACTTTACATCTATAAAACTGCAAATCCCCTAATGCACCTGTGCAAAGTCTATGAACTAACAAGGAAGCAGTCAGTGTTACTCTAAGACAATGTGTGCATGAATTTACTGTCAGAAGTCTAAAATGTTTCTTCCTCTAGGGTGGACTGGAGTGAAAAGATCTCATCTATGGATTATTAAAGACCATGATCACCAATAAACCCAGGAAGGTTAGGTTAATAAATATCAGGACTAGGACTTTAGCCTTAAGTCATGTCTCCATAATACTGGGCTGTTTGTAGGATCTGACCTGAGGATGCTGTTGGAGTCTGAAGGCGTCGCTGCAGTGAAGCAGAGTGATGGAGAGCAGGCAGGAGATCAGCAAACAGCCACACAACTGCATCTGAAACAACAACATTTGTGTGGTCATTTATTTTCTAGAGCTTTCAGTGAGGAAGGTCAGAGCTGCATGTTCTTGTGTGCCTCCCTGTCACATCCCTGTCCAGCTCCTGTACTGTTTTTTTAAACCAGGCAGCTTTATAAGGACTTAAACCATCTCAGTGGCTTTGACCCCCTGACCCCGAAGCTGCAGGGTTAGTCATAATTGGACTGCATCTGAGGATGGCATCACAAAGCACAACTCCTGTTTCTTTGTTAACAGGTGCTTACCTGGTCAACCAGCTAGCGTCACATGACATCACAAACACTGCTCCTTCTGCAGCACTTTCAGAGTCCGCCATCTGTGTTGTATTAGTATGTTAAGAATCATAGAGTAAGTAGAGCCCTGAAGCATGTAGCTGATGCAGCCTCCACAGCCCTGTGCAACACTGAAGGCATGCTCGGTTCATCCACTTCCCTATCTTTTAAAACTCATCCCTGTTGTATTTCTCATCTATTTATTATTTTTCTTGTCTGAAAATAACAGAGATTTGATTTCATATTGAGTAAAATAGCAAAGTTTATCTTTAACCAAAAAGAGTGATTCTCAGATTAAATGTGAGTCATTCTGTTTGTTTTATTTCTGCTGCTCTGAAACAAAAGTTTAACTGTTCAATACAAAACATAACACCATAAATCAGCTGATTTCTCTCAAGCTATTTGAGCTGAATTAAAGATTCTTAATATTTTGTTCCAGTTGCAAACAGGACGTCCATTTTTTATTAAGCAAAATGCAACATGGGATGATTTTATCCGTCAAGATGAAACTTCTATAGTCTGAATATTTTCACTTTTGATTAAAGCACATTTTACCTTTAAAGGTTTAATGTCATCTTCTGTCAGCTACAGCTCTTGCACACACTTACCCACACTCGCTTACACACACACACACACACACACACACACACACACACACACACACACACACACACACACACACACACACACAGCAGAACACTTTTAGCTCAGCTGAGGGGTGAAGTGTATTGTCCAGCAACATCGGCTAATTTTAGCATTTTCCATCCCTCCAAATAAACGTCTTTGGACCGTCACATGCACGCTCACTGACGTGCACACTCCTGCATTCCCCCTGACACGTACACACACCTACAATCACACACATACTGAAACACATCCAAACAGATGCAAACACACGCGCAACAACAGACACTTGTTAACGTCAAATGCATTCTTAATGAAGCACAAACATGCACACGTACAAAATCACATGTACAAAATCACACACACACACACTCACACAGAGGTGAACTTCTCCTGTTCCCACAACTGCTGATGCTGACGTTTCATTCATGCATATGTGAGGACAAACACACATGCAAACACACACCTACACACTCTCTGCAAATTCTTCCATTCACAAAAATACCCAGAGTTTCCTCCCAGCAGCCCAGCAGCAGACCAACATCACCTTCAGTATCAGACAGACACCTGAACGCAACATTTTTACTCTTTAACCAAAGCAGCTTGCATCTTGGAGGAGTTTAGAACCAGAACACTGTCAGATTAACTGAGAACTGAGAATATTAAATCAAAAAGCTGTTTGAGTGTAAAAATAGTTCAAGTTCAAATTTCTAAAATTCAAAAACATCCAAACAGATATAACAAACCTTTTAAAGTAAGCTTTTTGGCAGAGATCAAGCTGAAACTAAAGGGGCACAAGAACAAAAATCATTTAATAAATGATGCAAAATGTCAATATATAAAATATACAGCACCATAAAACCCTAAAATCCTGCAAACTCTCCTAAAAGGATTTTTTGACAGACCAAAACACCTGCAGCCAAAAAAAGGCATGAACAGTTTCCGCGGCAGTGTCTCAAAATCTGTGTTACTACTCTGATTCAATTCTGCAGGGGGGGAAAAAAACTCAAATTAAAGAAGAGAAAGGAGCAGACCATAAATAAATTTTTGAAAAATTAACAGCGCAAGTTGAGTCAGAAACAAGAGCTGGTAATAACTTCTCCTGAGAGATTCTTTAAAATCACCTGCCAAAAACAGACTTATTTTGCACCTGCAGGAATCCAAACCTGAGCACACCTGCTTTGCTCACACACTCATGCACACACATACACATATATGCACTCACACACAGTCCCGTGCATGCACAGGAAGCAGTGTGGATACCTTCAGTCTGGAGTGGAGTCTCTGTGAGGAGGGGGGAGAGAGTCCGTCCTGCTGCCTCGTCTCTTCTCTGTCTTTCTGTGTCTTCTCATCAGGTTTTATAGCAGCTGCCCGGGAATCTCCTGTCCAATCAGCAGCCTCCGTTCTGCTGACATCACTTCCCATGCCCCCCCAAACAAACTCTTTTCCACTGTACGTGTGTGACATGTCATCATCAGGACCATTACCTGTTAATGAAACCTCTGGGGACTAATCATGCCTCACCTCTTCCTCTGTAACCCTCCTCTCCTTCCTCACCTCTGACCACTTTTTCTCCTCTTTGGAAAAAAATACTTAAATTTGTGTCAACTTCATAACTGAGACCTGGATGGTCAGATTCTAAGGGCCACAGAGTTTTATTCTTTGCAGGTCTTTCTCTGTATCTCTTTGAAAAACAATCTGAGCCTGTCAGGGACAAAAACAAGAACTTTATTATTACAGACACATAATACAGTCATTAAAGCCTGTTTGACTGCTGCAGGCTGAGGAAACCTACCGCAGCAATCCTAGAACTTTTTGTCACTTTACTGGAGCCCAGAACAATTAAAGATGAGGTTTCTGAATCAAAATATGTTTGAACTAAAGAGGATGAGCCGGAGTAGGTGATTAAATAGTTACAGAAATTTATTTGAGATTAGGTGGTGGTCAGAGTTTTAGTCATAGATGGATCAAAATTACAGATAGTTATTTAGGAAATATGTGCTAAGAGGAACAAAAGTTATGGCTTACTCACTTCTGTGTTTCACAGGGTACCCTGAAACAGACTCCAACAGGTATTTTAAATGATTCAAGATTTTAAAATCAGATGTATAGCCTTGTCTTAAATAAGATGATTAAAAAAAGCTTAATAAATCATTCAAACAAATTCTGCAGGGTATCTAAAAACAGACATGAATGAGTATCTTTAGAAGCCTCTGAATAAAGCCTCTTAAATTAAAAAGGTCATTCCTAACTGAAATTTGACACAATCGCATTATTGGCTGTTTACACATGAAAATAAAAGAGTATCAGACAGTACAGGGTACCATCATCAAACCTTTCAGTGTCCTCCTAAAACACCAAAAAGCTTTTTTGAAACATGCATATGAAAGTCCAGTAAAAGGACACTAATAACTTGAAACACAAAGTGGAACAGCACAAAGGTAACCTGATACCTGAGGTAAAGGGTACCTTGAAACAGTCCCTAGGGGTACTCTTACAGTTATGCCGTGTCCCCTGGAATAGACCTGATAAAGTCCCTCAGATATTAAGTGAACCCTGAATCAAACTCCAGTCTATACTTTGCAGGCACAGCTTGTGATAGATAGCTTGTGTTAGAGATAAAAATATTCAAAGGTACATTTAAATGAATGAATAATAACCTAATAATAATGTTTTTATTACCTTATCGCAAATTACAGGAGCTTCTTGTCCTTGAGGGACACCATCACTTTACCAAGTTATGAGGGGTGAAGCAAAAGAGTGCTTCAGTGTGGGATCTGACTTTTAGATATTATTTAATCTTGTCTGTGGCTGTAAAACAGATGCTGAAGTTTGAACAGGTAGTATAAAACAGACAGTGTGAGCTAACTCAAAAAGAATTAAACAAAGCTGAAACAGACAGAGGTACCAAACAGACTCTGGATCAACACTGAAAAAGTTCCTCAAGCATGCTTACTCTGTTTGTCATGTGGAGCTTTTTTCAGTTGCTGTTGCCAGGGCGACAACAATAAGGCCCTCTCTGCTGGTTTCTGTATCCCTATGGGGTGGGCTGACCTCCGCTCCATCCCTACCTTCATCCTTCACTCCAGTCATTCAGGACGGAGGATTGGGTCATTGAGAAAACACACCTGGGTTAATAATAGTAATGACACTGCAGCTAACACGCTAATAATGACGGAAAAATCCCCTCTGACCGCTCGCCCCTTCAATTAGTGACGACCTCCTCTGATGGAGGTGATGTCACGTTGCCCCCTGACCCCCTGACTTAGCCTTCCCTCTCTGTTGCTATGGGTACAGAGTACATTAATTTAAATACAGGTAGGTAAAGAAAGCAAGAAAGAAATTATTAGAAGGCAAACAGTGGCTGTAATGGATGATTGTTACACACACGCACACACACACACACACACACACACACACACACACACACACACACACACACACACACACACACACACACACACACACACACCTTGTGTGTGCAATATTTTGGCCATTATAAAAACACACAGCTGGAAAAAGTGACAGTGAGCCATTCACTGGCATATATTGTCAAGTGACTGCTGATTGGTTTAGCAATTTTAGTGAAGAGTTTTAATAAATATGATGATAGTTCCATTTGTTTTTCGTGTTTGAGTCTTCAGTATAGTCTCCGGCTGATAAAATCAACATTCCAGGGACATTATTTTAGCAAAAGTTCCAGGTCTGCACTCCAGCTGATCAGATTTTATTTCCCCACATGATAATAAATCCTTAGACACTTTGCCTCTGGTCCAGACTTTGCTCCTTAGCTTCTAGGAGAACCCTGGGAACACTCTTACCCTGATAAGATTCCATGTTCGGGGTCCTATAGATGACCTTAACCAGCTCCTGAAGAGGCAGCACCTGGATCTCAAGCTTTTGTCTGACCTCTCTGACCTATTTTTGAGGCTGAAGATGAAACTCATTTTGTCTGCTTGTGTTCTTACTCATACTTTTCTAGTCCATTCTCGTGTGATGGCGAGAATTCAACCAACTAACAGTCACAAGTTCAGTGGTGAAATATCTTCAACAAGAAAACCTTTTCAGTAAGTCAGATTTTAG